TGCTAATAAGCTAGTTTTTTGCAGTTTTTTAAAGAATCATTATTTTTGGGGAAAAAATATTACCTCGTTCAAACAAGTAAAAATTATCAAAAATTCCGTTCAGTTTATCGATTACATTGTATTCATTTCTGTTGATTTATATTTAAACTCACATAGCTCAACAAATGCGAGTCATCAAGTATTAAAAACCAGCTCACTTATTCTATAATTCTATTTATTTTGTCCGATCTCTTCGACATTAAGTGTGAACAATATAATTTTGCAAGATGTTTCATATTTGTTCACGATTTGTAACCGAGCGTAAGGAAACTAGTCTATAATTTTCAATTGAAATATTTAAAGTTGATTTATCGTAATTCTATAGTATGGTTTAAACGGAATTTGCATTATGACAAATATTTAGTACAATTTTACGTTTTAAGTAATGTTCTAGTTATGTAAGTGACGTGATTATAAGAACAGAGTTTAGTATAAATAGTACTCGCAGTACTTCAGAGGCGCCTTGATTTGTTTTAATTATAATATGACGCAATAGTTCAGGAAAATTGGAAAATGTAGTTCAAATAAACATTGCGACGTCAAAGGCGAGAGGCAGCGCCCTTCGCTCGACTCCGGCTTAAGGTTCCGGTACGTTTCATGGAACTAGGAAACGTAGATATGATATTTAATCAATAACAAGCTAAATTAATTGCGTTATTATTTACGCAACTTTTACGAAAACATTCCTGGTCCGGTCCTAGTTAAATCCTTGCTTGTTTATTGAAATGTAAATATTCTTTTACAAAGGAAGGTTGGAAACGTAGAGAATAAATAGTATTTTCTTTAGAGACTTTGTTAGGTTTTGTATATATGCAGAGTAGCCATGTTTAGATATTTACGTTAAAGTGTTGTATGTATATGCTTATATATTAGATGATATTTCAAATAAATACATTATTGTTTGTTAATAATCAAATAAGGTATAAGGAAAAAGTTCGAATCATATTGTTATTGTATGGATGTCCTGCAACGGTTAAATTTGTTTGAATGTAATAACTAAATGCGTTCTGAAGTGGTTAAAATCATGATGCGTAAAAAAAACAATATCCACTGTTTTATTCTACTTAAATAATGTAATACCGTCTCCACATATCATTGTTAGATGAATAATTCAACAAAGCATTAGTTTGACACATTGCTATACAGCATTAGTCAGGGTAATTAAAACTTCATTCATGTAATACAGAAACGTAGATTATATACCGATATACCACGGTGTATTAGTCTGTGTAAAAAGTTTAATTTGTTGTTTATTACTATTTTGTTTGACCTCGCCGCTGCATAAAAAGGTTGCGTTCCAATTCTTTGTGCATTTGTGTTAATATTGTATTCCGGTGTTTATTTTGATATATTATTTTTAATTAAGGCCACTTAAGTAAAATAAATTTTTGAGTTCATCAAAAAAATGCAGTGGTTGCAGCGCTTAATATAAGCTATACAGATGCGATAACATTTTATCAGACTTGATATCGAGGTAATTTCTAGATACAAAAATAAATTATTAATCTATTACAAGATATTTCCAATAATTTAAGGTAATATTACACATGTGTGTAAATGAACTCTCAACCTAAAATTATTTTACGATTCAAAAGTATTGCAAGGTGCGGCAACGGACATTGTCGATATGTCAAGGGTCTTGATAGTGTACATGAAATGTTATTCTGTGCCATTAGACTGACCGATAATGGGAAACCATTGTTTAGACTTAAGAGGGTCGTGCGGAATAAAACTGGCGTTGACTTGTGGTTCCGTATTATTTCCTATAATTACATAATTAATGTTTACATAATTAACAATTACATAATATAACTCCAGTGATGCATTAACGGGCTTGGTAAGCTGTTATTCGAATCCAAGCAAGTTTTAGCATAAATAAGCAAAACTAGAAAGGAAAAACAAAAGACGACGCGTTGCGTTTGATTGTTGTTTCGTCTTTTGTTTTTACATGCTTACTGCTTAGCCTCCTAGACCACAGCCCTGCGATTCTGTAACTCACTTTTCGAACTCACACAGCGGTTTTCGCATCGGCTGTCGCTCTCAAATCAGTCGTGAAGCAGTCATTTTATGATTTGGCATTCTGATAAACAATAAACTACAAGCTCCCACCTTTTCAGAGCGATCCACTGCGATCTTTCTTAAATAAGTTAATTTGGGTCTTTTCGTTCATCTACTCAATATTAGTTTCTATTCCTTCCTGTCTGTTCCTTTTACTTATTATTCCTTAACAGTTAATTATAGTCACCGGTGGGAGATAAAACATTTCAAAGGAATTTGTAGTAGGATTTTCCAAGTTGGAAAATTAATATCTATAACGATTGCGCTAAGTCCGCAAATTGATATTACGCCTGACCTCTACAAAACGTTCTACTTATTTAATATACAAAGGTTATCTTTGCTTAGGAAAGGTCAATTAGCGTATTTATGTGAAAATACAATTAAATTTATAAATATTATATCGCCTTGGCTTAGTAGTGTCCCTAGGCCACGTAAAAAATCTGGCGCAGCAATTTGTTTACTACGTCCCCCAGTACGATTTTGGACTTCCATTTTACTCTACTTGCTTTGGTAGTGTCTCAACATATGTGGAACCAATGACAATTGTCTTTGATCAATCTAGAGATTACTAGTTTTATTATGAACACGCTTAAAATATCGCAGTCATCTGCGCATGTAACGAATTATCAAAATTCATAACACATCATAAGGTGTTTGTATATAAAAGATTATTATCCGCACGAACGGTGCAATAACTAGCAGCAATTAATGTTATAATGGAGCTCATTGACTTACATTACGATTGTAGGGTACATGCTTCCAATTGTAGCGATTATGTAAGTCGATGACACCACTCGGATTATCTTTTATTACCCATTTAGGGTTTATTCAAATTTGGAACTCATTGAATTTACATAACATAATTTGTAACAGACGTAAAGTGGACCACACACTATGACAGCGTAATCTGTTTCATAAAGATACTTTATGAGCAGAATTTTTTCATAGAGCAGAGAGTTCAGTTGCCCCAGACAGGATATGGATAAAATTTTCTTTTGTATATCAAAACGCAACGTCCTTATTTAAATTCTTGACACTGCTTAATTATGATGCCGAGTTGAATGTTATATTTTGAATGATGGTTTAGCTTTAATCCTTTAAACCTTGATTTACTTATCCTGATCGAAAGTCAAGACAGGTTTCTAAGTTAATTACAGCAATTTATTGAGTTATTAACATGCAAAAGTATTAATACCGTGTAGAAAAACAAAAAGGTCAGCACGTTTATGGAAACTTGCGGATATCTGTGGCTAATATTTATCTATTATGTCAAAGTAAACCATAGTCAAAACTTCGCGCCAAATTTTCGACAAATTCAAACATGGGTATAAAAAAGTAGGTTAGATATTTTGATTAATGTATAGTAAAAATATTACGTCAGTATTAAATTGAAATAAGAAACATATTCTCGAATATTATTTTTACTGCAGTTTAAGGTTTATATGAGCAAGGCCACACATTACATATCATGTTGTAATTTCAAAATACGATGATTTTCGACGACCTTGGCTTAAAACTATTTCATCTCATTGCTTCAATTTATCATATTAACAAATTCTGGTTAGGAAATAATTGGCCGACGCGGCGGGCGCCAGGGGCCGATGCTCATGCGGGTATCTCTTAGATTAATTATAGGTATGCCACAATTTAAATTTTTGATTCGAACATGGATAAGTTGAATTGTTTAGTTTTTTGTAAAAAATAAATACATTGAGGTCTCTTTATTTAGCATAAAGAAATCGTTATCGTTGCTATGTCACTACTAAAATAGCGTCTAGTTATCCTATCGACATGATCGTGGAACAATGTCGGATTTGAAAAAAAACCAAAATCCACGTTTTATCATATTTGGATACTACATTGACTAAATATTACGGCTACATTAAAAAAAATCCATGTGTTTTAACATACAAATTAATCAGTCGGGAAAGTGACGGATTTAATAGAAACCTGTGATTTTTCCTGGAAACTGTGTAATTTAATGTTATTAATTTTATTATATTTAAGAACAAACCCTTTTGTTTGTTTATATGCCAATTTTTATAATAACAGAATAGAAATCAAAATAGATATGACAAAAACTAACATGATTATATTATTTTGAAATGGCTGCCCTGTAAAGTTTACTATTTATCAGATCCGTCACTATTCTACGACTATGACGCTATGTTCTAAATTATATACTAAATTATTGCATACGTTACAATGAAATATTAATTAAGTAAGGTATTCAAAAATAGATAATACAAATAGCAATTATCTTTAGAATATCTTTATTTTTAATTAATCTAATAGTGTCATAGGTCTCCTTTATACAGAGTTTACTGCTTAATGAAAGGCTTGTAAGACACGATAGTCGTGTTAATTAGATAGTGTCGTGAGATGTTAAAGCATTTTTTAGGTAAAGTAATAAAATTATATGACATGTTAAGAGTTTAAACATTTAAGTAGTTTATGGACATTTATCACACCGGCATACATTCATACATATCGGCACACGAAGTCAGGTGAACAATAGTATTCAATAAAATATATAATATTATTATGAACGATCCATACTAAAAAATAAAGACATTTTAATATATAGAAAAAAAAATATCAATACAAAAAAAAAATTATATGAGAAAAGATTTAGCTACTTTAATATTGTACAACAAGTTTGTTTTTACACATCGACTATTTGGGTTTAAGGCATGCGGATTTCGTTACAATTTTCCGTCACCATAAGAGCGAGTGTTAAATGCACACGAAGAAAGTCCATTGGTGCATTGCCCGAGTTCAAACCTACGACCTCAGGGATGAGAATCGCACGCTGAAACCACTCTAAGCCCAACATGCATAAAAATGTTTGGTCCTTATCACTCTTTTCACACATAAGCGCGACAAACATTAATTAGGTCATTATGTTATTACATACACCGTTGCACCCAATACAAATGTTTGAATTGCATCTGAAATGCGGTGTTGACATTTGGTTAAGTCGCAAGTTCATCACACTTGTCATGGTCACTTGGGTGAAAAGGTGATAAATAAATATTTATAGGTAATATTGCAAATATTGCCAAGAGAACTTTGACATAAATTAGAAACTTTGCATAATAATTTTACCATTTAAAAAATACCCGCTACGTTAAACGTAATCGAATTGGACTGAATAAAAAAAGCTGTGTAATCATATAATAGTGCGGCTCTTTATTTTCACATGTGACTAGAAAGCATATTTGCTTAAGTAGACAAAATACCTAAAGTGACTTTTTCCTGCCATTAGAATCAGAAAAAAAGCCGCATCGAATGACCTGGGTCCTGTGTCTCTACGATGAAAAAAAAATTACATACGCCGTTGAAAACGCCCGTACTTATATTATTTTTAGCAAGATTAAATGCTGTATGTAGACCAAAAATCTAGTCATTTCAGACATTTCGCACTTACAGCAAAAGAAAATCTGCATTTTTTCATTACAAATACTTACTTCTTCCCATTTAAAAACTTAACGCTACTTACAGCATTTCAGCGGCGTGTGATTTTTAATTCGTTTACTTACAGCAAGTTTAGGGAACTACAGTTTTGGTTTTTTTTTACCATTTAGACATTTTATTTCAACCAAACATTACATTACCAAATGACCCACTGCATTTCTAGATCTAATCATAATTATAAACTAATCTTACATCTTGAATTGCAATTAAAAGTACCCAATAATAAATTTCCTGCATACAGCATATTTACCGCCTGTAAATTGATAATATTTCCGCGCGTACATTTTTTCTTCCTTAGTTACAGCGTTTTAAAGGTTTGTGATTTAAAAACTGTTTGCTGTAACTACCAAACACTACTTATAGTAACTTTGGATAAAAAGTTTACATTGCAAATGGTGACTGGCAGTTAAATAAATTATGTTTCAAAAATGTAGCAATATCATGGATAGGTCAGACACTATTAATTTTTTTCCGAAATTAATAAAGTTTTTGGCTCTGGTGAACAATTGCAATATGTCTACTTACAGCAAATGTGCTTTCCTACGTCGATGTACACAATAAAAACTTTGATCCAAGAATCTAGGGGAAACGGCATATCATAGTCCCAAATCGACGATGTGTGTCGAAGTCGTAGTAAAACCCATATAAGGTTATAACGCTACTAAATTTTATTGGATTTAACATATCAAATAATCGTTATTTGTCTTCACCTTATGATTATTAATTGAGAACAATAATCCCTTTAAAATTTCCTTCTCTCATTTAACGAATATGTATCAGCCAGCAATACAGCGAGAAAATGCTGCCAGAATTAAAGGTACACTGCCTTAGAAATATTGAAATTATTGTATATTTGTGTGTTGGAAATATTTGTTTTTATTTGTCATACCTTTGAAATATAATTGCTATGTACATATTTATCGCGTTGTAATAATTGAAATAAGTTTAATTTAATATATCAAACAATAATTGTTATCCCGTGATTGATGTAACAATAAACAGTATATATAATCTCAATTTATCAATCAATAATACTTCATCAATCAAAATGATTGATTTGCTACCGATCTATCCCTATAAAGTGATACATTTCTCGCTAAAATTACTTTACCTTGAACTAAATTGGGAAAAAATATATGAATTAAATGAACACGTCTTTAGTGTTAAGTGAAATCCGAAGCGTTAGTTAGCTCGCGGGCATTTGTTTAAACTATATTTTTTATATAAGACAAAATATGTCGTAATTATGACTTTCTTGTAAAACTTGTAACTGGTTTGTTCAGTTATAATTATTTTTTGTTCTCAATATTTTTAGACCTTTAAACAAAGGGTGTAAGGGAAAGAGAATGGACTGAAAATATCTACATTCTTTATAATTATAAAATAAATTTCAAATAATTTGAACGGCCATACTTCAAAGAAATGCATTTTTAATAATTTCGATGTATTGTATTTATTTAATTTTAGATTTATGGTATGTATACCATAAAGCTGTAGATTTAAAGCCATGTTGGACAATATTTTGAAGGCAATTTGGAAGCATCTGCGTCTTGGTAACCTTAATTAATGTAATATTTTTTCATTGGTAAATGTAAAAAAGGTTCTATAAAATAAGGGGGATAACTTGGTACTTTATTGTACAAATAAAAATAAATCTATTCCTTAAATTTCATTGTAGAAAGCACTAGCTTATTTGTAAATTGATGAGGATGTTCTGCGTATAGGAAACAAATAAAAATAAATCTATTCTTTAAATGTAGTTGTTGAAGAAACTAGTTTATTTGTAAATTATTGAAAATTTTTGCTTATCAGTACCGACTACGAATACTAATTCATAGATACAAATTAGTCTCATATGGCTTGATCTATTTAGTTTTGCTCTCATGTCAAATTAGGAAGTAAACAAAATCAAAATATAGATTTGCTATGAATAACCGAAAGAGATAGATATAGTTTTGAGCACTTGACTCATATTACTTAACATGACATAGTCTTTACAATAAAGATAATTGAGGTATGTAATTTCGTAATCAAATAACGTTCAGTAACCGTGATAGATGGACAGAAGCGGCCATTAATTAAGCGAAGAACCAGTTCGTTATGTCTGCATTCAAGATATGCAGGAAACATAGAATAAATATGACATACATAGCTACATAGTAAATAATTCAATATATGTATACAATTTCATTCTAGACAAATAATTTAGCGCACAGAAGGCTCGGGTCGCAAATAAATTTCGTAAATAGACGTATGAAGTATCAAGTTTCTATTTTTATTTATTTATCAAATTTTAATCAAGCAATGAAAAAAACACAGGCAAATTACAAACAATTAAGAGCGTAATACACAAAATTACGGTAAGTAAGTAAGATTTTTGTACTATATGTGTTTATATATATTGTCATTAATGTTACTAATTAAATTGTAAGAGAGTTTGTTTCGCATTTACGACAAATGATAGTGAAATTTGGCCTCCCAGCCTCTAGTGGGATGAGGGTCTCGACTAACGGTGAATCCTGAGCTGACTTGAGAGCCTTTTAGTCTAATAAAATTAATATAACACATTGTAATCAGTTATTTTGTAAGTAGGCAAGACAAATGATGTGATAGATAACAATCTATTTGTACGAAAACAACTGTTACCTCACATTACCACGGTTAACGACGCGAAAATAAACGCACTCTTTACACGTTTGTGGTCTGTGTGGTCGCAGTTTTAGCAATTCTAGTTATAGTAGTACGCTAAACGCTTATGACTTTATCTTTGAATTCCTGTGCTTTATTTTTCTTTATAGACAAGTAAGTGATCAGTATCTAGCGATAATAATAACACTGTTAGCATATGACAAACAGGAGGTAAGTACGTAAACGCTAGCATTGGTCCGAACGTTTCTTGTCCAATTCTCTAGACACCGTACGACGCGACGGCCCGTTTAATCTATAACAATCGATCACACGTTTCTAATTTAATATTTTATTTTTACTCAATGATATTAAAAACGATAACCAATGAAACTATTGTCATTAATGAATGAATGTATTATTCAATAATATACACAACAGGAAAGGAAAGAAAACGTATAATTATTAATAGAAGTAATGAGATTATATCATCCGCTCGCAATCGCGCCATATCCTTACTATAACGATGAATTTACTGACAGTATCTACAAATAATTACTTTTTGCCCTGATTAACAGGTTGGGTAATTTTTTATTGATTGATAGAATAACTAGTGTAAGAACATTCCATCATTGTATGACTCAATGCTATTAATTTCATTTATTTAACGCAATTAATAAGTATGAAATCAGGTCAGCGGAGCGATTTTGATAACTATATTAATATATCGTTTTATTGTTGCTTAAGAAAATTAATACGTGGAAAATAACAACTGTAATTTATGTTTACTAATATATCCGTAAGAAAACGTTATGTATCTGAACCTTGCTGGCAATACTTAGAAATGATTATTTAGTTCTGTTATTTTTTTAAAGGTAAACAAAAATATGTTTGATAAAAATTAATAACGCTAGCTAAGTAACAGAAACATCTATGAATAATCAAAATTATAGTAATACATGTACAAATGCATAATCGGATTAAAATTAAGTAACTCTAAATAAATTACTTAAGAATCAAGAGCGTTGAATCTAGGTAACTTAAGAAATCTGTTATTTGCAGGTATTTCGTCAGTACAATCCTGCAGTTCCAAATCCACCGAGCACTTTGTGAGAGGACTGGCCAGTACATCCCTGGAGACCCCACTAGGCCTCTTCACAAATGCGACATCTACAGGAACCCGGAGGCTGGGAGGATTTTAACGTGAGTAACAAATAAATTAATTATCCACTATGTGGAACCAGCTACCTGCTGAAGTATTTCCCAACCAATTCAACTTATGGTCCTTCAAGGGCCTGCCGGTGCCATTTATTAAAAGACCGGCAACGCACGCACTCTCGCCTTGAGATTGTCTGTGGGCTTATCACTTAACATCAAGTAAGTGCTTATTTGCCCCCGTTTAAGAAAACCAAGAAACGGGGACAATGTGACACATTCCTATGGTGGACGGTGGATGGTGGAGTTTTATGGCTTTGTGCTTTCAATTTATTATTTCTACGGTAATCAAACCCTCTGGATATTAAGTATCAATCAGGCGTGACTTATTGAGCCAACATCTAACCCATGGAGAAATAAGGTGATCCATACAAACAAAATCAATCGTATGCCATTTCGAGTCATCACCAACGTCATTCTGTCAAATCACGTTTACGCTATGATGACAAAAGACCGCGTGATTGTAAATAAACTCCTAAACGGATCGATTTTTATGAAATTCAATGTGTTCAAGGGGCTTCGAGAATGGTTTAAATTTACATTTTTATTTGTATTTAAGACGTATGCACAGGACAACGTCGCCCGGGTCCGCTAGTATTTATTAAAATTCGACCTGCCCTTTAAATTAATAATAAAATCCTATGGACAGGTACATGATTTCCTAGTTAAGAATCAAGCATGTGAATGGCTTCATAATTATTTCATAATCGTGCCATTCCTGTGACCTTGTGTTGCAATAAAATGTATTTCAAATACCGTTTGGGAACTAGATATAAATGTATCGTGAGAATTATTAAATATGCGTATTTTCGTATAAATATTCTTGCTTATTAATTAAGGAAGTTACAAGTGGTAATAACGCAATGCAACAGGCATTATCTGTGGTGCTGTCGTGGCCCCTTTAGACGATTTCCTCGTGCCACGTGCAACTTGATCAATTAGTGCGTAATTAAATAGAATCGAAGTTAAGGATATTCTTGTAAACCCTTTAATAAATATCTCGCACTCTTGGTCTAATATTATAAATTTTAATATCATATATAATTATGTTTTATTGCATTTCTTATAATTAAATAATTATGAATAAAACATTAAAAGAATTTTGTTGTTCGGTATCCTATTTGCTACTGCAAATAATAAATAGGAAACCGAACAACAGTATTAAAAAATTATCGTAACCGAATTAGACCAGAGCTATATGTATTAATAAACAAGTATAAAATTGTGAATAATAATTGATAAAAAAATTAATGAATTAATTTTCAGAAAAATTACGATCACGCTATCGAGTTCAACATAATAAGCTTTCAACTTTAACGACATTAGATTTCTAACGTTATATATTAATAAGTTTGCGAAATGTAGAGTTCTTTCGAAAGTTTGATTTAAATAAATCCTTACTTGCAATAGTTAACAATAAATTTAAGCCCGCATGATGCCCTTAAGCCAAGTGGTCATTTCCTCCGACACAGACGGGTCAATTGTTCGTTTTATTTTCTCCTTTTTATTCACGCAACAGCAAATTGCGATGTGCTATCTAGTCAAGTGATAATAAAGAGTCTACCGGTTCATATTTTAAATAATTCCAAAGAATATTCTGCCGAAATTGACAAAGAAACCTTAAAATATGTTTGCCCCATACTTCATATCAACCTAAATTGAATTTATTATTATCTAATTTAATTGTTTATGTTGATTAGCATTATGGTTAATTTAGTAAAAATTTTAACAGGCAGATGTTTCTGGTAATTAAAAAACTGCTGAGTGGTCGTTACATTAGAATTATTGGTTTATACGTTTAATAATGCTATTTTTTTAACTGGGGGACAACGGGCAGGAGGCTTAACTGATCTTAAGTGATACCGCCGTATAGAGACACTCACATTACGAGAGGGCTCGAAAATGCGTTGCCGGCCTTTTAATTGGTACGCTCTTTTGTTTAAGGACCCTTCACGTCGAATTAGCATACGATTTTTTTTTTAAATATCAATTTATAATAATAAAAGCTCCCATTTAGCCATTGTTTTACACTGAAAGTCAAAATATGCGAATGTATAATCTATTACCATTACCATATGTTGTATTTTAGTAATGATTATCGTATTGAATCCACACACGTAACAATTACCCGCTTACGGCATTATGTTAATCTAGTTGTTGTTACAATATTCAATGACCTTTTACTAATTTCAAAGAAGAAAGATTTATTTTTTCTGTATGTTGGCAATAAAAATAAAATCTGAATTAATTTTACAAATGCTTACCCCATTCGTCGTAGAGTACCTACATATATTTCAATAAAACCCGGTGAGGCCGTTAGCCAGAGATAAAATTATGTGACAGCTCCTTCGTAAACACCTTTAACCGTAATTCTGACATTTTCGTTAATATCTTTTCATAATCAGTAATTGACCGCACATACTTTTTCATACCTATTCCTTCTATATTCATGCATATCCAGTTTGTACATTTAGAAGAAGAACATGCTTCAGGGAAATTCAAATATTCTTTTTGATTATTATTCGTGTGAATTAAATATGTTCGAGAGTTTTCCAGCGATTTTCATAAATCAAACAATTCATAGTCGGTTATGTATATGTCACCGTAAAATTGTAAACACCGTTAGATTGTAATCTATCTCGCGAGATTATGAACTGTCGAAAGATTGTGAACCTCAACGTACTGCTTACAATTTAACGTATTACTATTCGGTAGATTGTAATCTATCGAAGTGAAACCGTCAAATTGTGAAAGATTTATTTTTAACATATATATAACGAAATATGTTTTAAAAGGCGCCTACTGTAAACGTAATAGCAAACTAAACATTATGTATCGCGTAATCGCATTTAATAAACATTCATTTCGTTGATCTGGTAATCAAGACTTATATAATAGGGCTTTTGTAAGCTCAGATATGAACAATGATTACACCAGTTTGTAAACACAAATGTAATGCGATGTACCAATTTAATTTTGAATACATAATTTTTAACAAAAAAAAACAACTATCGAAGCAAACAATTTTTTTTATTTTTGAACTGATTTTTGCAAAATTATCCCTCTGAAATGCTTATATGATGTTATCCATAATCAGTAATCATACCTCAAAAAAAGAATCATAAAATGGGTTCATTAGCGGATTTATCCAGGCAGACACATAAAATAAATATATACGGTCGAATTGAGAAAACTCCTCCTCTTTTGAAGTCTGTTAAAAATGTATGTATACTTTACACCTTGCATTAACACGCTCTACCGATAACTTTATCAAAGATTACTTAAATTGTCTTTGATTTAACTAATCTGATCGACAAATAACCGGTCAATAGTTATAGACAAAGATTAATATAGAGGACTCACATATGGAATATATATGTATTTATATACATATTATTAAGTAGAAATAAAAAATATAGCACTTTTTAACCAACTTTCACCGTGCACCTCTTTGTGGCTGCTAGTAGAGTCATTTCCAATACGGCTTAGGGGCCTGTAAGAAAAGAGCGTACCATTGTTGTCTCAAAAGTCGTCAACACAGTGGACGGTGGACGGTAGTAGCGGTTTACATTTTATTCTAAATTACTAATTGCCTGTTACGAAATAACATCACCTTTGTAGAATATTTATGTCACCATATGTTTGCGATTGATTTTATAGAACACATTTGCAAGCACTTAACGCTAAGTGACCCCCTCTGTTCCACCTTTAATATTTTACACGAGAAGCCCTTCACACGTGTGCAATAAACATTGGTGCAAAACACTTCTCATGATTTATGAACGTTGAGACGATCTCATTTACCTCAATAGGTATTAAATTGTACCTGTATTGACATAGAAGTAGGAAGTGTGGCCTGTTGTTGCGAAAACAACAGATTGCAATGCGAAAATGTATCAAACTTTGAAGAGCTAAAATGTTACTTTTCAAACAAAGCACCGGACGGATTTTGATTTACATCAAGTATTTACCTCTATTCGTTTATGAAATACTAACCTCCTAATAAAAATAAAACTATTTGCATTATTTTCACAAATGTATTATTATGTCTCTTTCTGTCAAATTATGGTTCTGCTGTAAGAAAAGAGACAGGTTTTTTTATATAACATGGGGCAAACGGGCAGGAGGCTCACCTGATGTTAAGTGATACGTTACCAAGGACACTCGCATTGCAATGAGCGTTGTACGATCTTTTCTTGAAGGCCCCAATTGGAATTGGTTTGGAAATACTTCAGTGGGCAGCTGGTTCCATATAGTGGTGGTGCGCGGCGGAAATTGTCTTAAAACCGCTGAGTTGTGGAACGACAGACGTCACGGTCTGTTGACCTTGTTCACAAAATTGACTCCAACCCTCTGGAACTCCCAATTGCGATACCGTTAAGGATACCAATCTAAATAATGAGTTATTGTAGAGAGAATTTTATAAACTGTAGAGGAAGTTGTATTTCTGGTTATTTATTGCTTCATTTGTTTTTAAAAAAATGTTAAGTGATGCCCCAGTAGAAGCTACTGTGTTTAGTTTCGAAAATATTGGATTTTAAGTTTTTTTATCATGAACGGAATATATTTAAGAAGCAACATATTATCGCTTGAACATGTATTTCTGCCTTTATCTTAGCCGAGCTGGACATAACTTATGTAATAGAATGTTCATGCAAATCTGTTTCATTGCAATATTTAAATGATACCTGTGAGCATTTCTCCATAAACAATAATTATAGAGTAGGTACCTATGGTTTTTATTGCGTATATTTGTGATGTAAAAATCTAATAAGGTAGCTTAGGTAATATAAATAGGATATTCCTAGTACTACAACAATATGTTCTATATGACTTGATTTTATCTGCGTATCAACCTTGTCAATCGAAGAACACTATTTTAGGCACTTAGTTTTTACGAATTAAAACCCGTATTACTCGTAAGTAACTCCAATTTTTGTATTTTTTAACATGAATAAAATTAAAGAGTTAATTACATATTAAAATTAATGAATAAATAATAATTATTATTAATAAATTAATTAATACGGAAACGAGGGAATAATTAACTACGAGTGGCCGCTAGCATGTGTTGACTTCCAAGGAAACAGTAAGTAAAATGTAAGAAAACCTATGATAACGCTAAAAAAAATTTTTTTTTTCTTTTTTTTCCCATTCAGGTTTCCAAAACGCAAACGAAGAGATGTACGCATAATTCGAGTTTCCGAAAACTGAATTTCACGAGCTGAAGGACCTAGTAACGAGCACGATAATTCTTTTTTTTTATATAACTGTACTCTAATTACTTATAATATCTTTGTTACAACCGCGAAACGTAATACGTTACCATTTCAATAAATCCGGACGAGGCAAGTTTCTAATAATTATAACAATTCATATGATTTATACTTATTATAGTTATTTCGAAATACTAAAGGAATAGTTTAACCGCAATTTAAAATATTTGTACAAATATGTGTTTAATGGAGCATACACATTTCTGCGTTTATTTTATTTTATTTTTCTTTATAAGCCTTCATCGGCAATGTAATTCGGTCTATTCCAAATCAGTTTTTGAAATCAAACCCACGTCTTTGTGCCAACTTAGCCATTACGCGGCTTATTCTTCTTCTTTTATCTGTGAATATAAGATAGTTTTATCAAGTAACTGATCTCAAAGTAACTAAACGTTAATTAAAAAAATTCAAAACCGTTAGCTGATGTATCGAAAAATATGCGATTTGTGAAGCATTTCCGCAGTGCTTTTAGTATCTCAATAAAACTATGCCTATGACATTGGAGCGAATAACATACCATAGATACTGCGTAAAATTTTCTCATTGTACTAAAATTACAGCTCCGGATATAGTGAACTTAATACGCATTGCATACTATAATTTACAAAACTAAATTTGTTCCACTAATTTCGAAACTAACCGCAGCTTCACACATAACGAAATTCTAATTACTAATAATATGACGTTATTTATGATTTAAAATATTTTTTTAGAACCAAACTAATTTATCCTGACAAGCATTGACATTTGACATCCTGATATGTTATATTTTATCTTTGTTTAAATGTCACATTGGGACATTTTATTTCGATTCATCATTGAATTACACAACCCCTTTTAATTAAATATCTACTTACAATCCAAATTATATTTTGTGGGGATACGTTACCTGCGTCTGTATTATTACGTAATCGTTTTTCTTTGGATGTAATAACAAGGCATAGAACCGTGCTATTGTGTTATTTTAATTTTAATTTATTTATTAGGAATTATGAATTATTCCTTGTCAGCGTAAGCATTAAATTTAATATCGATGTACACAGTCCCTCCATATAACAGATAGAACAGATTAAATTTATAATATATTTAGATTAAACAATCAAAATTTTATACAGACCTAAGCTAATTTAAAAAAATATATTTTTCAAAAAATCAGGCTAACAACGCATCACAAACCACGTTAGAAGACGGAATAGAAAAGACTAATAAGTGATAGGTATTATACTGAGTAGATTTTCTCCTGGATTCGTGGTAACTATCTAAACAGCATAAAAGTATTATGGTTTACTATTAGACAAGAATTCTAATGTAATAACGATATGTTTCACTACTGTCCTCGTTCACATAAATATGTCCCTTAGATCTAAGTTCATATTTAATTAAAGTGATCTCAGCGTGTCCAAACATCTTTTTATTATGCAGTAGAATTAAGCCTAGTTTGTATTTAGGATGTTTAATAGAGCGAAATAATTGTAACACATAATGACTAAAACCTTCATCTTAAACAATCGTTGCTAATCGGTACAATAAATAATAGAGTATGGTATAGCGCATTGTAAATTTATTTCTAAACTTATTTGAATTCGCCTACGCCTTCGTTTGATCTTTACGCGTCAGGCGTATCACTTACTTAGGTACATATTAAGAATAGATGTCTTTATATGCTTTAATGAAATTTTAAAATTATATACCTATAATATTCATAACATATAAAGTATCATATTATGTCGGAGTAACGGTACACCTGTCAGCTGCCATTGTCATTTATCATAGAGCTCATAAATTAACAACGTCAAAGTCTAATCAGTTTAAACCCCTTAATACTTGATTGGTTTATTTGATTTGACACTATTAATAGATCACTAGTAATAGTGGTTACATAGTCATTATTAATATTAAAAGTAATTAGTTATGTCGAAGCAATGGCGTTACTCAGCTACCATTGCTCCGATAAATATGAAAAACTAAAGTTACACACATTTACATAAATATTTATTTATTTACACTTCGTTACCATAATATACAAAATCATACATATAAAAAAACAAAAAAAGCAGCTTACATAAGTTATTAGGCAACGGGCGGCCTTATCGGTAACAAGCGATTAGGGAACCCTAATATGGAACAATAGAAAAATAAATACATACACATTATTCAGTAAATTATTTTTATTTCAGTCGTTTAATGGAACGCGGTGCATCAGCACCCTGGAGTCAGGTACTGCAAGAGTCGATAGGGGAAGCGAGATTGAATGGAGATGCTCTACGAGACTACTTCAGACCCTTGGAAGACTGGCTGAGGAGTGAAAACCTTCGGACTGGAGAGTATTTGGGATGGAGCTACGATGGGGACTACTGCAAGTTTAGGTAATATTGTTTTTGATAGTTAAGTGGATACGCGTCCTCACTACTACTAAGGGAATGTGTGACTCAGTTCTAGGCTTTTAGAGATGGTTACACGATCGCAGTTCTAAGCATCTTAAACGTATCCGAACTTAAGCACTTCGTATAAGATATTAAATTAAAATAGTAAATTCAGAAATAAGTAAAATCAATGTGTACACTTTGTGAATATATGTGAAGCAGTATTTTGGTGAACGAAAACTTTAGTAGCGCATATCGACTATAAATTTTGCGTTCTCAAGTTTTTTATATTATTTTTTACTAAATTATGACAATTAAAATTATAATAACGTAACGTAAATTTAAAAAATCCCTGTGGCAGTGTTCCTTTCATTCTGGGAAATTTTTTTCTCTTTTTTTTTTTTCATAGAAACGTATGCCGTCACGTATTATATACATGAATATATAAATGTTACATTTCTCGGAATTAACAATTAAAATATTTGTTTTCAGTATCGAAACTGCTGGTTTGCAAGTATACGGTGGATTCTACAACGCAGCGAGCAGACACTTCGATATAAGCAGTTTCCTTACCATTCTCTTAACTTCTATGTTGGCAACAATCATTAGCTTAAGAATTAGATGAATATTGACAGAATTTCCCCTTATATAAATAATGTTTTAATTGAATTATATAAAAAACTTGTACTATTTAGACAGGTGACATAATAATATATACTGTAAAATAAAAATAAAATATATTTAACTTTGTATATACGTATATAGATTCGTTTAAGAGCTAATATTACAAGGAATAAATAAAAATGTAATTATGAAACGGTAGTTTCACTACATCTAGGAGATATTTCCATTTGTAAAATCACCCAATCAGTTTTCGTACTCATTTTGTAGAAAGAAAATCGTGATTTCTTTTGAAAGTAGAGCACTGAACACCTGTAGGTATAATTTCAGGGGTTCTGTAATCTTTATGTAAAACAAAGGATAGTGACAAAGGCTTTTTCCCTAGAGCCTTAGCGGAAACGTGCTCAAGTGTTATATGAAAACTCCACCACAACAATAGCTATCATGAGTCTCTAAAGACTATGCATGTATATATTTATATACATAGCCCAGGTTAAATACATATGTGTTAAGTTTTATTACTTTTACTACCAAGCAGAATCTATTTTGTGTACGTTTTCGGTGCTTAAAAGCTCTCGGTGTCAAAAAAACATACGCTTTCTACTGTAAACACATAGAATATCTATGACATTGACACAGTTACTAGCTTTGTTTTACTTTAAGATTACTGTCTATAAGCATTAATAAATAAAAATAAAAATGAGTGGCTCCTCTGTTTTGTGACATTTTTTTTCTTATTAGAGTAGTATTTTGTGTATGCCGGTTTCCGTGTGATGTTGTCTTCACCGATGGAATGAAAATTTAATTTTAAGCACAAAGAGAAGTCCTACGGCACCACCAAATTTGGAACGCTGGGCTCAAGCCATTTGACTAGTTAAAAAGCTTTTGGGAATCTATTAATATAGTAAAAATAAACAAATATCGCGCCTATTCTTACATATTATAAAATGAAGTCGTCTGGCCACGTCTGTTTGCATATACGTGATAAACTTAAAAACTACGGAACATATTTTCACAGCTTTTACCAATAGATAGATTTCTGAGAAGGGCTAAGGTATAATAGTCATTATGATTCTGTGTGAATCGGCTATAACGAATTATTTTGAAAATTCCGCAAGAGTTTTTGGCAAAATTTCCAACTGCTAAGCTAGTAATGCACAAAAATGGTGAAATAAGATGAGAACTTTCAACTATCGCTCAAGTATTGAAGTGCAAATTGGTCCTGATTTATTAATAGCACTATTACTTAAAGTGGTATATAACCAACACAAGTACTACCAACAGTGTACAATATCCCCTCGACGGATGCAGTTTGAACAAACACTCGACAAAGAGTATAACATATATAGCACTTATATTAGATTCAGACACCCCGACTTCACGTCGCCTCTTTTATTGAATTGCTGTCCCCAGCGTTAAACCAGTAGATATTGTTATAAACGTTTCCACGGCAATTTGTTTCCTTGCGAATAAGAAATAAAGGCTAGATTTGCGTTTAACATAGCAAAATCTCCTTCCTATTTCTGGTAGCCTAGTACAAAATGCTCCTGTTACGTTTTCTAAATTTTATTTTATATTTTGAAGGCAGGTAAATAAATAATAATAAATCATAGAATTTTTTTTTAATATAGCTGTTTATTATTAATAATTAATTGTAGAAATTATTATGAATATATATTATATAAACCATAAAGTATGTAACAACGGAGTTTTTCGAGTATCTCTGAATTTAATTAATACTTTCAACTGACATACCCTTCATACGGAATTCATTTGTTTGTCTCACAAGGTAGGAAATTATGTTGATGGATTAGATCAGAAAGTTTTAATATTTCTGTCTTATTTTTACAGTATCAAAGACATCTTTTATGTAAACAGGTATATCAAATACATTTCGCGTTATCATAAAGTAATAACTAACTCGCCTTACGTACAGTGGAAATTTAATTAAATCTGTTTGAATGATAATTCTTAGAAAGCTGTAAAGGATGCGGTGCCCCTATTTTTCCTACGACCCGCATTGCTATCGGCTGTACCATCCTGTCGCATCCCAGTCGAGTCCCGATGCTATCGTCGAAAACACGCGACAACCACTTAAGTGCTTATCTCCTGGTATTTTACGCAGTTTCTTAGTGACCAAATACTGAAGTGATTGTGAATAAAAAAGACCTGTAAGTTTTTATAAATTAACTCTACTTATTAACTATGTACTTAATAAAATATAGTTAGATATATTTCAAAAAAATCCATCTTGCGGCAACTTATCAGGTAGACCTTTTTTTTTGCTTTATAAAGCTCTTATAAGATCAACTTAGAACCCACACAGGTATAGGGATACCGCATAATACAGAACTATTTCAAAGCTTTTTTTTAATTTTATACGCAGCGTCGTATTGGCGGAAGCAATTACGGAAGATACATCAAAATAAATAGCAGTTATAGGCGATTGGTAATTTTATATCACGAAATCTATCTACATGAATCTGTATTAATCTATCTATATCTACATCTATCCTATGAATTGCTGTCAAATTCTTGTTTTATCGATCACCAACCCTGCTTTCAATCTATCCGTTTACCGCGTTGATGCAGTATTTAATTTACAGAGAAATAATAGTTGTTGTGTTTGTCAGTAATGCCATGGACTTTTTTTGCCCAAGAAATAAACATTTCTTTAAAAATACGTTTGGTTCCAAATATCCACTCCAAGCGGGGCTATAACTGAAATATCAAAAGGCTTTAATACTCCAAGATCGAAATAACAGCAATTTTATACTAAGTACTTTAATGTATTTTTGTTGGTCCAAGGGGGAACATTCTGCTTCAATCAAATATCTTCTTAAAAAACGACAACACGGGTACATATGTCGGCCCCATCTTATTCTCCTTTAAAACATATGCAATTTGTGTTATTTATTTAATTGCAGATATTCGTTATGATAAAAAATTAAATATTATATACCAGTTTGGAAGTCCGGCTAAAGCGCCATCTCTTATTGCCACTTATCAACATAGCATAGTGATTTTTATCAACGCAGTCGTTTAGTAAGAAAAGGTTATCACAGGGTGCTTAATTACTGTTTTGAAATGCAATAATTTTATAAATACGTGACATAGAAGCTTTTTCTTTAATTTTCTGGGGTTAACCTGCCCTATGGCAAATGTAGGGCATATACATATATATATTTGTTATAATATGCCGGGTATAAAGTATATATAAATCGTAATAGAAACATACAAGCCTCGTGTTATCGCCTGAGGAGCAAACAGAATTAAATCTACTTACCAGATGTGCAAGTAATTAAGCCAATTTACCATGAGGCAGCCATATAGGCAGCTGGCTTATACATTAAACTAATTCTCTGTGTTTCAAAATTAATTTTAACTAGGGCACATTCATGTAAGTTTTAATAGCGTTGATGAACCGAAAGTGAATTTGTGAACAAGTGTCTAAACATGTATTTTTATCAAAATCTAATTTTATATGAACACCAATAAAAAATTATCTAAATTTACTACCGGTTCAAGTTTTACCCAAATCAAGGGCGTAGAACGGATGAGAAGACCTGCCATCAAACTCACCACCACTATTGAAAAGATTCAATATTTCAATACACAATTTTTTTATAGAAAGACTAGGACCCCACAGACGTTGTCCTCATGATATTTAAAGCGATTAGGATATTAAGCAAAGATGAAAGTACCGACTGCAGTGCCATTCGGTGATTTGTGAATCTAAACCATCCCCAGAAAACACACAAAAAAATTCATCAAAACGGTCAGTCGTTTAGGAGGAGTTCAGTCACATACAAGCAAATATAGAAAGATTAGGAGCTGCAACCGTTAGCCTTTTTAAGGAGAAGGCATGGCGACATGTAAAACACAAACATACAAAATACTAAATATAAATTTAAATTTTATATTATTAAGTCTTGGAAAATAACATCTTAACCTCTGCAGGACGACTCCACTTGACAATGATGAAATGATTTACGATTTCCCCTTGCTACTTTTCTATTGTTTTTTCATTTTTTCAAAGTAGGTATATACCGTTTCATTGCAGTAGTATTTTCTTTCCGGATACCGTAGTTTTCATATTTTCAGAATGATTATAAATCTATACGTTCAAGCCAAATCTTCGAGTTGAATGCTCTCCATAATATTATTTGAAGCCAATTTGTACAGCCCGTACCAATAGAACAACGGAAACAGGCAGTTTTCCCCCTTCCATTAGAACTAGTTACTGTAACTGGTCTATGACAAAACATAGGCGTTATAGTTCACAAACTGATTGATAACAGCACCGAATTTTAACGGTCAATGATATTTCATTTATATGAATTTAAATTCACCAATGATTAAGCTAAATTCTCAGAATTGATCCAATTAAGCTATCAGTAAACATTCTTTTAATTTGATGAATGATTATTATTATCTGAAGACTAAATTTTTGTATTTCAAATTATTTCACTCAAATTTAGGGTCGCGTCATATTACGTCCTGCTTTAAACTTCGTAGTCCATGGTATCCGAGAGATGTAGTTATAAATAGGTAACTAATAACTAAACTAAGGTCAACTAACTGTACAGGATGGGGAGCGTAAATAGGACATATGAATTAATTGTCACTAACTGTCGTGTGATAGGGGACGCGTTGTGTCGTAATACTAAGATTGCATTATTGTAACCGAAATTGTTAAGTACATTAGCGTCGGCTTCCCAACGTCCCCCTTAAAGCGATGGTACTAGAGTGTGTCAAGTATCAATTTGTCAAATACATATAGAATGTATGGAATCAATATTTATTTATGTATTCCGTAATCCTACATCTAACATAAATTATATATAATAACAAACAGTTACACTGAAAATATAGCCAGATATGGAGTACATAATACATTTAACTACAAAAAGGTTCAAAAATTTACATAAGGAAACAAACAAATAAAAACTATTCAATACATTTAACTAAGTGGTACCTAATTTGGCTGTGTTGTATGATGGTGTAAAAGTGAGTGTATGTACGTGATGGTGTGTATGTGGAGTATGTTCATGATGCAGGTGATTTTGCGCTATGGATATTCTTAAGAGCTGCTTTGAAGCTATTCCGCGATAGCTTAAACAAGTCAAGGCTGAAATATTGATCGTTGTACGTGTCTGGTAGGCTGGAGCAAGGAAGGGCTATTTTTCTAGAAGGGAGCTGCAATTAATTTTATTTGAGATGATGTCATGGAGTAGCAATAAATCATATTGTTTTCGTCGAGAGTCTAAAGTATTAATTTTAAAATGTTCTCACACAAGTCTTTATATGTATTAAACTTATTATAGGTAATAGGGTAATATGTATTATATTTGGTATAAAAAATACAGTACTAATACGAAAACGTCTACCATTAAACGCTTAGCAGATGGTAATCAAACAAATCAACACCTTAAATATTTTACAGATAAAATGAGACATAGACGAATATAGTTATTATGGATTGGAAGAATTAGTAACAAAAATGACAGTTCTAAAGTCATGGGTCCGGACCAAAACAGTGATTTGTGTGTTATCCATACTGATGGCCATTGTTTTGCAAGTCACAAGTTTGAGTGGACCCAATGTGTGCACAGTGAAACAGAAGTAAGTAATATTCAATGTAACATAATCTCCTAAACAAAACAATTGTCGAAATAGGATCACTATCCTTAGATGTTGGTTTGCCTGTGGAAAACAATAAATCACGTTCAATGTTTAACTCGAGAAGTTTTTTTATTTAATAGCTGTTAATAACCTGAGTATTTCTTTATTCAAAATTCACATTGTAATGTATAATATTAAACGCCTTCATAACACAATAGATTAATTTAGATATAAATAAAAAAACAAAAGACACAAGTTCGCAGATACGAATGTTTACCTATCGAAGCCGGGTGTATGCTCCACTAGACTGCCTATTGGGACTACAGCTAGGTTGTTATAAAAACAGGAAAAATTTCAGTAAAACATTTTTTATTATTGTCAGGCTTTTGTATAACAATACTGATGCTTTTTAATAAACGTTTCAGGTACAACATAACGAAACGTGTGAAGTATCGCGCTCCAATGTCAGTGAGAACATACGAGTGGTGCTTCTCAATGCCGCCGAGATGTTCTCGCTGGAAGACCGAGATGAGAGACCTGACGAGACTTGAAGTATATTCATAATTATACTAGCTTGCAATAACATACACCAAAACACACTACCATTCAATACATTAACAATCAATCAAGATCATTCCTAATTTCATTTCAATTAGAACGAATAAAATCTCAGGAGAATTTTTTATCAATAATAATATGTTTACAACAATAATCATACACCTAATGTGTGTAAAGGTATTTGTTTTGAAGTCTCAGCACATTATCTATAATACTCGTATAACTTAAAAAAGCCGGAAATGTATATTAAAATATATGATGTACCTTTTTCAGACGCAGGAACGTACTGCAGACGTAACTGTGTGCTGTCCAGGATATAAAATGAAGGAAGTTTCGTGTGTTCCTATTTGTCCAAACGGAAAAACTGGCAATAAATGCTCAGAAGGCAAGTCAAGCTTTTAATTTGATACTATCGACCTAAACGGTACAATTCCTTCGTTTAATTCTGGTTTAATTTTTTTAGAATGTCCACCAAACAAATGGGGGCCAAACTGTGTGAATAATTGTAAAAAATGTTTGAAAGGAACTTGCTCACCAATCACTGGAGATTGTGAATGCCTGGAAGGATGGCAAGGTGAGAGGTGGGTTACCACTTACATTATAAAACTGCTTTTCCTAACTTATTTCAAACCTACACAAGTCAAATATCTGTTTCCTCCCCATATCTTCTGAATCGTCTAACTGTTTAATTATTTAGTTAACCCAGGATCAAAGCACTTAAACCAATATATTTTATAACGTAAGTTAAGTTTTTTATTGTAGATGCTTTATGTATATAAGGATTTTTTTTAATTTTCAGTTGCAATATCCGCATGACTACACAACCCCCGCCTGCACTAATGGAAGAAATACTAACAACTACAAAGTCTACTCTTCAAACTTTACCTCCCTTTACTAAAACTGTTGCCACTACCAAAACGGTTTCTTTAGAATCGACAACACCTGTGACTTATAATAGTCCAATATCTACTAAATATGCCACAACTCTTAAAACTGAAGAAATGACGACCTCTACAAAAACAACTATGATAGTAGCCAATGATGCATATAGTAATGTTGCTTTACCCTCCACAACTGCTGGTGCACCAATGTCTATAGATACAACTCAGACAGTGCCAACTACCTTTGTTTACAATAGAACCGAAACCCCCACAGAAGGTACGTCGACAAACTTAACTTCTGCGCATGTAACTTCAGTTTCTAAGTCTCCATTGACTACTAAAACCATCCGAAACATCTTTATAACCACACCAATATCTTCTACGATTTATTCTACGTCTACTCCAGCTTTGACTACTTTGAACGAAATTTCAACTACAACCGAGGCCGTTAAAAAGATTGAGACAAATACAAAGTTTTTAAATGTCTCAAAATTTAAGCCCAAGGAAATATGGATCAAGCCGACTCAGAAAGGTATATCAACAGAATTCAAATTGAAAATTAGTCCAAACCACGAACGAATACCTATAAGAAATGGAAGTAAGAATGATTCATCGTCAGAAATAACTACTCCGAGGACAATTATAGTTTCTATTATACCCACTTCAGTATCACATGCTTCATTTAAAAAAATTGCATTGACGACCGCCACTCACATAGCTCGGAATACGAAAACACAGAAAACGTACAACCAAAGTGTGGAAACTGGCTTTACAAGATCCATGGCAGCGACCCCTACTCAAGCACCCTTTACCATAAAAATATTAACTACACGCCAAAGAAATTTATCCACCATGACACCAATTATAAAAAATGTTACAAAAACAATGATACCAAAGACGTCGTCTAAAAAAGCATTAACAAAAATTTCACCTGCCGCAAAACCTTCTAATATTACAAAGGTGGCTTTCACTACATCAACACTGAAAAATAAATCAACTAACAGCATGACGAATCTTGCAATTACAAATCAAAAATCTTTTTACAGCACTAACGCCATAGCTTTACAAACTTCCACTAGCAATGTTTCTGAAATAACAACTAGAGCGACCATAAATTTAAAAGATGAAAGAAAATTCTTAAAAGACGAAATATTCAGAACTCCAGAGACCACCCATGAAACGACTACTAAAAGATCTAAAACAACTAACATTACCGAACAAGTTAAAACTACTATTCTTGTAAAAATTCCACCAAAGAAGACTAATCTGAGAAATACAACTAAAACCATTCCTAATACAATAACAACTGAGAGTCCGTCTGAAGATGAAACATTTCATATTTTAACAGAGCCGGAGCATATCACAGCAGTCATGACCGATAAGGAGAGAGAAAAAAATTCGCTTGATCTTATTTCTGTTGTAAGTGTCGTTGGAGGTATAATGATGGCAGTTATAACAGTGGCTGTAATAATAGTTATGTTTGAAAGGTGTAGGAGGCCTAGATATGATGATATAAGGAAAATACACGATATACAGATGAGGGCTATGATGGGTAACGATGATCCGCCTCCGTATGTAAGGAGCATCTTTCATACGCCATTACCAGGTTAGTAACTTTTTAATACATTTTTCGTGCCTTCTGATAGTTTTATTGATTTACTATTTTGTTATTTTTATATAGAAACTTTATCAAACAAGTTTTATCTCTAGTATACTAAAGTTATTTTTAAATCATGAAACATTGTCCAATATGATACAACATTTCAAGAGTGGATCACAAGGCCCATTAGCTCAGTTGGTTAGAGCGTCGTGCTAATAACGCGAAGGTCGCGGGTTCGATCCCCTCATGGGCCACTTATTTTTATATTTTTCCAGAGCCACCTCGTTCAGAAAAGTGCCACTATCAACCAATATCCACATTGGATAGAAACTTGAAACAATTTATGAGGCCTGTAGTAGTACAAAACATTTCACCGATAATGCTGGAAAACTTTCGAGGTATAATTATATATAACTGAGTATATTTAATTATTTTTACTTTTAATTCTTACAAAATCAAGCCTCCTTATGTTTTAGGCATTCTTGAATGTCATTATGATCACCTACCACAAAGAAGTCTAGAAGTATCTGCTCGGTCATCTATCGCGCCATCTATTAACCATGAGGAACAACACAGTCATCGAACCTTAGCGGAGTATACCATTGACGCACTGAAATGTGAAGCTAAATTAGACATTATTGACAGTACAAATGCTGAGCCATTATACGCCGAAATCCCGTGTTGGAGGCCGCCATCTGAACACGCTGTTGAAGTCATGAATTTAAACGGAGAAGCGGTCACGGAATTATGACCGTATTGTTAGTTTAACCTTTGATCCACAGATGGCGCTAAATTAATTGCATTGTAATAGATTATAACAGAAATGGTGTGAAGCCATTAAAATTACATTAGTATTATGTACATTCTTACGGTACATAACAGTTAATTAATAAAAGTATTAAAATATCGTATGAATTGTTTACTTTATCTTACATATTATTGTTGCTGCGATAGTGTCCTCGGCCTTTGGGCATATCATATCGACACTACATTATTTATTAAAAACAAAATCAACAGATAATAAGTTTAAAACATATGTATAGAGTATAATACTCCAATCATAAATATTTTTATGAATATCCTATCGCTTAGATTTTTTTATAAGGACAAGAGGTTTTTGTTTTATATTTATAATTGGTTACTCATAAGCATAGACGTACATGGAGTAGGAAACAGGTGGACCATGCCCACCCAAGGGACACTAGAGGCCCAGCCAACCCTCTAAAATAACCCTAGATTCGCCCATACTCCTTAGCCGTAGGTAGGTATATTTTAATAATGGAATTTCATGAATTCGTAGAATTAATACATATTAATTTAGCATTGGATTGATAAGTGATAAACGTGAGGGTCACGCGTGGGCTTATATTATCTTACGTTTCCTTTAATAACAAAACTAATTATCAGTATATAATATGCAAGTTGAAATAATAACGCTCTACACAACTGTTATATGCTGCAATAATATTGTTTTAAAATAATAACTGTGTTTAGCTTTTTTTTGCTAAAAAATATAAACAAATCAAAAATAAATTGCATCAAAAGAACACACTATTCACAAACAACAAGGGATTAAATTTGCATCACATTTATTTATTTAAAGAGAGCCATCAGAAACATTTAACAAAATGTTACTGGCTGTCAAAGAATAATCCGCGCGCGAACTAAATCAAAAACTAAACGTAATACTACCTAATGAGTTGCACTTTTTTATTTCTTCATCATGATTATAAAAAATGGGAGCAAGATTATTTTAAACTCGACTGACGAACTTTGCTGCCTTGACAAAAGATGTAATATTTGAAATTTGTCTGAACAAGCTCCAATAGACTTCTTATACTACTAAGGCCTGGCCTGTCTCTAAAACATTTAAACATACATATTTTTATTAGTCAAATTTCAACCCTAATAATTCCGCCGAAACCTAGTTTAGTTAAAGGATAAACAGTTTACGATAGTAATTCAAGCTACTAATATAATTACTGATACGTATAATAATAATGTTAATAAGTATATAGTATTGTAAATAGTTTATGTTTCCACCACAGTATATATAAACTATGTATATAATAAAAAAATGTAGTTTGAAGAGTGATATTAATTTATTCTTAATGTACCTAATTGTCCTGCGTTTTAGAAGACTAAGACTGTAGAAAATGAATTATACATGATGTGGTGTACGTATATAAATAAATACATATAAAATATATTATGGATAATTCAGAAGTTGCACAACGAGGTAGAATTATCTCATCGCTCGATGACAGCATTATAGCGAGAAATAGGGATCACTTCTATTCATAAAAACCTTTATTAAAATTAAACAGACTTATTTAATTGGAATCTTATCTATATTATCTTCTCAACGATTAATTCACAGGTATATAAATATGAATTTATATTACATCTCTTACATTCTCAGCTGATCGGTTAATCAATGATTTCATAATGATAACTCTTGCTACTCTAATTAGATCTAGGAAAGAAACGTTAAACCAAAATCGCATTTAAAAGTTATATTAAGAATTGACAAAATGTCTCTCTAATAAAATTCATATGATTCCGTACTATTTAAATCAAAAACAGGTTGAATACGTACGGAATCATTTGAATCTCCGAACACAAATCATCCATAACCAGCACCCAGTTCTTAGTGTTTTTGTATTGGTTTAACTGAGTAGTTGATAAAATTGTATTTATTACAGCTATTTTCCTTGGTCCAATCTATAGAAATACGAGAAAGGTCTATACTATTGGGTAAGTTATAGGCTTAATTCAAAAATACCTGACCTTCAAAAATTTGAAGGCTTCGTGGCATTAAAAATTGTGAGATTCCTTATTTCAAACCAGTATGCTTTAAACATCCTTTTTCGTGCTATAAAAAGTGTTATTTTTTTTTATTATTAATTTTATTTGTATATAGATACATTGTACACACAGAATAAAGATGATAATTAATAAGTTTACATGCCGATGACTTAAGTAACAATTTGACAGTAAAGTACCGTAACTATTTGATAAGTTGCTTATTCAAATATTCATAATAAAGTCTTTTGTTTGCTTTGTACTTTAAATATTTCTGATTGTTTTGGCAATAGAAAAAGTATTTTCAAACTTTACCAGTTATACATTGTTTTTGTGTATAGTTTACAAATTTAAGTGTGTATTATTTAAATTATTTAACCGGATTAAAGTTATGTATTATTATAAATTTACAATTATTTAACATAATTTTAAATAAACGTCGGATAAATTTCGTTTAAAAGTTTTTTCTTTAAATGTGTAAAGGTTATATTAATCAAAGACAATACTATGTGTATGATTATCATTCTGTGTTCAATATTAATAATAGAACCTTGAGTTGTTCACTTATAGAATCATATTTGCGTAATGTGTGTAGAAAAATATATTTTAAATCCACAGCGAGGTTAATATCTGATCATGTGTCGGATATTAGCTATTTTCATAGCCCTGGTCTGCGTGTACGCAGCTAATGCCCAGTATGTGAAGTCAGTCAAAGGTGGTCACGAAGGTGGATATTATCGTGAATACAATCCTGGAGCTAAACTACCTAAGTATGTTTTAAATTACTATTAAGCAATCTTATATACGATATATTAAAAATATTGTTTATTTTTAACTAAAGGCGGTCTGAAATATTTTAGTCCCATTCTTATAATCGAGAACAGAGCCCTTACTCTGTAACTTCCAATGGCCAATAGCAATATTGAAAGCGATCCCCATCACAAAGCCGGCTTTATGTACCTCGTGATTCCAAGGTTGCGACATCAGCGCTTCGTTCGAACTTGCATATTGTCGGTATTAAAAGTTAAGTTATGCGTGTGAATAGAACATATTAATCCTAGTTTTAAATCGAATTAGACCAATCAACAATACGTTTTTCCATAACCAAATAAACTGAATCAATGAAATTGCAGCGATTAAACCGTCTACCTCTAAAAGGTTCTAAGTCGTGTGTCTCTTTTCACCATACCGTTATCACAACTTGGCAGATTTATTGAGTGTGGAACGCTGTTTTATTGTCACTGATTGAGAATATACAAACTTAGAACTGAAAAGTTTTAGTTCAATAACACTATATTATATTATACAAAAAATAATATGTTTGCTTAGAGAGTAACTGTTTTCTTATTTTTAGCTTTCATGGTAACTCAACACAAGGAGGTTTTAGCTCTCAAAACAGAACACAAATGCACGTCAACTATGATATAGGTGTTTGTTATATAGAAGTACCGTAAGTATATAACCACACAAATGCAATATTCATCCTACATACCGTGTCGCCGTATGTATTAGCGAAGGTTTCTTTATTTTGCAATCTAAAAAGTACAACAACAACAACAAGAACTCAACAAATAGGTTGATTAGATCACTTTAGATACAAAGAACAAAATCAGAGCGTTGAAATATCTTCAGACAGTATTCAACTTGACGCCGGCTAGTTCACAAACCGTGCCGGAGCCAATAAAGAAAGAAGAAGAAGACAGTATTCTTTGGTTAGAGTTATTAAAAATGTAACTTTGGTGTGTGCACCAAAAACACTTTTTCATTAATTAAATTTGCCTATTGACGCATGCAAGCTTACCACGCTAATACGGAGTTCAAGCCTATTGCGGATTTCAATGAAAATTTCAAGATGACGTCATTTTATTCTGCTAGACTAATGCTAGCCAATCGTTAGATTGCTTGCTAATTTCTAATTAAAAACCTAATGTAATCCGTTTTGAATCGGTATTGAAGTTATGCGATGAGATTGCTTGAACGACTTTGAATTATTTAATCATTATTTTAATTATTTCAGTACTGCCAGTTTAGTCCACAATCAGGCTCATATTCCTGCTGGAAACGGTGTAAGTACACAAAGATAATACTTAAATAAAAACAACATTTAAAGTAAAGTAAAAGTAAAAAATCATTTAATCATATAGGTAACATAATTTACACTTATGACTCGTCAGTAAAGAAATACATATTAATGCTTCTAAAACTGATTTCTTTATGTTTAATTGCTGGTTTAAAAATACCGATAAAATATTAATTATTATTAGATATTAATACATGTTCAGTTACAAATATTTTTATATTACAACAAAGAATAGATAAAATACAAATATTTCGCTTGATTAATTTAAACTATTAATTGATATTGTAACTAGTACACCGAAAAATAATTTTTATTGTAAATATTTTGATGAATTAATTTTTGTACATATATCTTCATGGTTCCTTTAAGATAATTTTCGATTTTTCAAAGGAATAAGAAAGAGACAAAAAAATATAAAAAATATTTTTTTTCTCTTTATACACAATACGTTACAAGCTACCTTAATCTCTATTCCATTTCAGTCACGCCCAGAACTTAGTCGTATACGATCATGTTGTCAAGGCTACATAAGAAATATCCATAACTTCTGGATTTGTGATCCAGTTTGCACACAGGAGTGTGTGAATGCTCTATGCACAGCTCCAGATACATGCAGCTGTTTCCCGGATCACGTGAAAAATCTCGCGGGTTTCTGCATCCCAACTTGTCCCATTGGTTGTCAGAATGGTCAATGCGCTGGCGGAGAATGCTTATGCAAGGAAGGGTTTGCTTTAGACTCTGAGAGCAAATATTGTTTCCCTTCTTGTAAAGAAAGTTGTGGAGGAATTGGTATGTTTTTGATACTATTTAAACGGAACCTTAAAATGTACTAAAATACTGCTAAACTAGACTAGCTGTTTTACCTTATTTATCGCCCTCTAATAGAGCAGGAAACATGAACATTCACGTGTTTTATTAGTTTTTAAAGCAATCATTCTACTGTTAATCTGAAAGAATTATAGGTTCTGGCAATCGTACCTCTATTCATACATGATTGACCATATATTACATCACCAGTTGAACACCAAACCCTGACGGCCGCGTACTAAATTCAAAATAACATTAATCATGGTTAAAAGAGGTTATATGCTTCAGGAAATTGCACCGCACCGAATACCTGTGACTGCAGGAAAGGGTATCGTTCAACACCAACTGGAAACTGCAAGCCTGTGTGTGAAAATTGTGAAAACGGTGATTGTGTGGCGCCTAATGAGTGCCGATGCAAACATGGGTACGAGAGAAACCCACAATCTGTTTGCGTGCCTCAATGCCATCAGTACGTATATAGTCATAGCAATTAGACGAATCCTATAAGTCCAAATTAATATAAATAAATACATAAAGCAAAAAGTTCATATGATCACCTAACAGTTCAATACTGCGTATATATTGAGACCTTGTCCCTATAATTCTTAACTATATCCAAATGCAACTTGGATTTGATTTCTCTGCCTTTCTTTTTCAGGAATTGTGCACCTAATGGCAAATGTGTCGCACCGGGTAAATGCGAATACCCTGAAACTACCACCCCATTAATATCGACGACCTTCCGACCCTCACCTAACATTCCACTTTATCCTGGTAATCAAGTTTACGCTGGTAACAACACCAAACCGGGGAATTACTCAGGTCCTTATCCCGGACAACAATCGGGATATCCGGGGCAACCGGGCCAATCGGGTTATCCAGGGCAGTCAGGTCAGCCAGGACAAACAGGTTATCCAGGGCAGTTAGGTCAGTCAGGGCAAACAGGATATCCGGGACAAGCCGGTCAGCCTGGCCAAAGAGGATATCCAAGCCAACCTGGTCCTAATGGCCAACCCGGACAGCCCGGATATCCTAGCCAATACCCCGGATATCCCAGTCAGCCAGGACACCCTAATCAACATCAACCTGAGCCCCAGAGCACTGGCCAAGGCAACCAAGGATATGGTAACCAAAACCACGCCTATCCCCCTAGTTCAGGGCTTTCCGGAAACCAGTTTCACACGGGCGTACAAGGCCAACAATTGTATCCTGATATTCAGCAGTATAACCAAGAATATGAACCGGATTGCTTGCAGCCATGTGTTAATGGATTCTGTGTAGAGGGAAATAGATGTCAATGCAACAAAGGCTTCGTACTGGATAAAAGTGACCCCACCGAGTCGAGGTACAATTATGTTTACTTATTCATTTAATTAATTGCAGTAATTGGAATACCTTTCCGTCGCTTTCTGTCAAATAGTTTTTACGCTGTGATAAAAAGATACAATATGTTAGCTGTTGACAATCTGTCTAGTATCGGCTCGCTACTCATATTTTTACGTGTTAAGATTAAATTTAACTTATATTTTTTTCTTACTTACATCCTGCAGATGCATACCTCATTGTGCTGGCGGCTGTCTGAATGGTGTATGTTCAGCACCTAACTTCTGTATTTGCAACATGGGCTATTACAAGGATCACAGTGTCAAAGGAAGGCCACAGTGTGTAAAAAGGAATAAAAGATCTGTAGAAGAAACACCAAACATAGCCAAATTTCTTGTTTTTGATTTTCCAGAAATTATGTAATAAATTTTTCTAATGATTTATGCCCAAATGTACTGTCGCATTTTATCTGAAATGTAATTTATTATTGAAATAAAAGAGTCATGTTTTTTACAATATAATATAGGTTTGTATTTATATATTATTTTTTTTTTATTAGTCATAAAAGTTTATATTTAATTTTGTGTGCACAATATTTATACCTGTATATAATAGTATCGAGCGATAGGTGCCTAACCGATATGCGATGTGTATTAACACAATTGTGTATGATTTTTCTAAAATTAACAGTAATACGATGCGATTCAAGTTTAACAGATAAGTAAGTAACTTATTTATTCTAGGTTATGTTAAGTCCTGAGTATATACTTTTCGTTAATTCCTTATTTACGTAGAGAAAGCCGAAAAGTCCAATGTTTTCCATTTCTACAATTTTTTTGTCCAAACCAGACAGAACGAAGGTTTTAAAATCGCCGAAACAGTTATGGAAAATTTCCAAAATATGTTTTCCGAATGCGCAGCTACCAGTATGCCTCATCAGAAGTAAGTTTTTATAAAAATATTTATATGCATAAACTTATCGTTTCTTTATTTGTTAATTAACGTATTAATATTAATAAAATGTTGCCAAATTATTTTAAAAATAATGTCTGTCATAGCTTTTTTGTAGATAATGTTCAGGTTTTTATAAATTCACCATCTAAAACCACAGTTGGAGTCGCCGAAAAGTTTACGACCAATAGAAAGTTCTTCGCTAACATGATAAGCACAACTGCGTTTAAAACTATGCTAGATCATGATGTAAAGGAGTTAAAAAAGGATATTGTAAATAAATTACGATTTTGCGATGATGCAATAATGAATCCGGATCTGTTAAAGGATTTCTATGTTCGCGAATCAGACCCTATATGAATGTGAAAAATAGCTTAAAAAATTACTTTTGATGTGTTTTGTGATTTGTGGTTCTTTGTATAAATTTATTTGAAAATAAAAATTGTAGTGTAGCCAAGATTTTAAAAATAAAAACATAGGTACCTATTATATTTATAATAATCGATTAATTTGATGAAATTATAAAGCACCAGATGCGCGCACACAAATACAGTACCAAGACAATTAAAGATACCAAACGATACTTTATAAAATAAAATAAAAGATTACATATTTTTTAGATATTTTATGAGATAACATATTTTTTGCGGTATGGAATTGCCGCACTTAATTACGCTGATATAAACACCTAATAATAGTCTTCACCTTTCACCTTTTCCCACAAGTATATTCCACAAACCCAGGGGATGTGATAGTTAGGTATGTATGTAGTACACAAAGCAGGCAAGCAGCCTACGAAGCCAAAACAAAACGTAAACACGTGCAAATATAAATTTTATTATCGTATTACAGAAATTTAAATGATGAAACATTCACATATTGAATTCATATGTACGAGTTCGTACATATGTCGTTCGTATGTATACATCGTTCGTATGTACGAGTACTTTTGGCAGGAAAATCCTACAAAACGACGTCTGCACTTCGAGACTCCAGCCATATTATTTACCCGGGATCTATATCGAATACAAATTAACAATGGGCCAAGAGCATCATTATATGTATAATAAATATTCTTATTATAATTATAAAACATAATCATAGTATATTTGATGACTGATTAGTGATTGGTCTAAGTAATCAATGTATACTTTAATGATACTGTACAATGTACATATGAATTACATAACAACGTGGTGGTTGATCTTGTATTTATTTGTAAACATTAAGTGTTGCAATATACTGAACTTTAAAATAAAGTTGGGTAATAAATTATTACATACCCCTCAAATTCGAATTTACATTTACTAAGTTTTGTAAATTCAGAAGACTTTGCTATATGTCCAAATCATTTAAAATATGTTTGACTTTTTGAATATTGACTTGACTTTGAAAAGCTCAACGATGCCATATTTTAAAATATTTGTTACACCATCTGTTGTTAATTTCCTTCACGCTTACGATATACGTTGTCAAAAACTCCGTTCAATATGTTATTTGCCAAATTCTTTGCTGTCTTTCTGTTGCGTTGGACAATTTCTTAGTGTACTCTTTTCACAGACTTGCGATTTTCACTCATGTATTATATGTATTCCCGGCGTCGGGATCTGACGTGATAAAATATATTTCGGGGCAATGGCGTTACCTTCTTCTTTATTTTTAACGTCTTTTATTTTACAATAACACTTGAAATGTATTTAATTAGGAAATAACGATTCCTAGAAGCTGGCAGCATTAAATCAGAATAATGATAAATGATTACAAAGTCAAACTAAAAAAATGTTCAGTATTTGTTTCATATTTTGGCTTGAATGCATGGCATTTAAAATAATTGAAATAACTGTACCAGTTACAACTTCATACTATACATACAGATAAAAGTTACGCTGATATGGATTTTGAGAGTGATACTAAATTAAATGAGGATCAAATTATTCAAGAAGGTGGTAAGTTATAATATTCATAACAATTTTAAACCAATGTTAGAAAAACATTATATATACATATAATATGACAAATTACCATTCTATATCTAAACAATAAAAAAATATTGTAAATAAAATTTATACATATTTTTTTATTTTTTATTTAATTAAATAAAATTTAAATTAAATACTTGTTTAATATTAATAAAAACTTCATAATATACTAAAATCCTTTCATTAATTTATTGGATGAAAACTTTATTATTCTTTATGGGCTTTTTCCATCACAAAAATTGTAAACATTTCCCAATTGCTCTAAAGGAATGGAATCCAAGCATGAAAAATGCATAGTCCAGACTCAAAATGGATGGATTTGTGGATACATTGATAAAAGAGATGAAGGGACATATTACAAATTCAAAAGTATACCTTATGCGGAACCACCTGTTGGAAATCTAAGGTTTATGGTAATATTTTTTTTTGGTAACGATTTAGAAATACGTCGCCTGAATTGGGGGTGCGAGTGGGTGGAGGAGGGATAGAGTTATTTTGGCATTTTATTCAAGCCTTCGCAGCTCCGGCTTATTGATCGCCTTCGGTGACCAGCCTTAGCCTCTACGGCTTGCATAATTCTTGTGCTTTGTTACAGTGGGTGGTGGCTGCCCCTCCGCGCGTACGGATTTAAAATAAAACTCTAGAACAGACTAGTAACACATCAGTTGTGGTTGACGGAATCGATGTTGTCATAAATACGGACCTAACTTAACCAAGATCTAGTTTGCTTGTAGATAAATATTAATGTAACAGTTAACATGTAGTAAATATTTATTAATAGTGGTATAACATTTCCTCGATTGTGAAATATATCCAAGTCTCAGTGTAATTTCTGTCAAAATATACATTCAAAATAGCGGTTTGCGTTTTGTTTCACAGGTTTTGAAATATTATAATGATTAAGAGAAAGTATAAAATGTATGTTTCGTTTAACGAATTTCAATACAATACACAAAATTATATTAAATTATAGACGCAACTCCGGCAGCCAAAATTACTTGGAGGGGTTCCAATCAAGGTGGTCCCCCGAGACACCTACATAATGAGTATTATCTAATTCAGGCGACGTATTTATATTTCCAACCCTTATATATATATATATATTTAAAAAGCACGCGAAACGTCGGTTAAATTTAAAATTATGAAAAATAATTGTAAATATATAACTTCAATCCGGTTAAAAATTGTTTTATACAAACAGATAATATTATCATATGGTTAAAGGTGAAGGAACACATTTTTCAAGATAAATAAACCATTTCTACCGGTGACATATATAATTCGTGCTATATCCTTCTTTATTTCAGCCTCCCAAATGTCTAAAACCTTGGAAAAATATACTAGATTGCACAAAAGATGCACCATTACCACTATCACTCTTTGTTAATCTAGATGTGTTTGGTTCTGAAGATTGTCTTTATATTGAAGTATCCTCCCCAAACATTAAACCTGACGAACCACTTCCTGTCATGTTTTGGATTGGAAGCTGCAACTTTGTTTTTTATATAGATTCAATTCTTGACCCAACTCATTTAAATAATCAGGGAATAGTTTTCGTAAGATGTGGATTTAGATTGGGACCCTTTGGATTTCTATCAATAAACGATTTTTCTGCACCAGGAAATGTTGGATTAAAGGATATCATATTAGCGTTAAAGTGGGTTCAAGCTAACATAAGTAACTTTGGTGGTGATCCTAACAATGTAACTGCATTTGGAAGTGGTACGGGAGGTACGATTGTACATCTTATGACTTTATCTCCCTTGGCAGTAGGCTTGTTTCATAAAGCCATTGTTCAAAGTTCTAGTGCCCTTAATGGATGGTCTCTAGCTAAGAATCCAGTTGAAACTGCAATGACCTTAGCAAAACATCTGGGTATAAAGAAAACAGACAAATTTGAAGTTGTTGAAGAAATGAGAAAGTTATCAGGCTACAACATTATGAAAACCTATTGCACATTCTTTTTTGATAAATACCGAGTAGAGAATGATGTATTTGATTCACCATTCAAACCATCTATAGAAAATGAATTTGAAGGTCAACCAACATTTATAAGCAAAAGTCCAGCTAAAATACTTAATTCCGGTAAGTTTAATAAAGTTCCGATGATGATTGGTACCAACAATGTGGAAGCTAAGGTGCTACAATATATAAAAGAAGATTTTTATAAGGATTATAATAAATACAATGAGGATGTCAAACATCTGGTTCCTAAATCATTAGCAAGTGTAAACAGTGACAGTCTAAGAAAAATTGGCCAACAAATATTATCATTCTACTTTGTCGGGGTAGAAAAAGTTAATGAACAAACCCAAAAACAATACTTACAGTTTCTCACAGATTACTATTTTCATTATTACTTGGACAAAACAATACGAATACATAGCAAAGTTTCGCCTGAGTGCCCTATCTACTATTATGTTCTCAATTACGCTGGGGAATGGCTGGTGCCTAAAGAATTAGAATTTTTTTAATACTATTGGACATACTGCAGAGCTTCCATTTTTATTTCGAATAAAATCATCAGATGGCTCTTTTTACAAGGGAAGTTGTGTTTCACTCACTACAAGGGATAGATGTGTCAAAATGTGGACAAATTTTGCAAAATATGGGTATGTAAATATAATAACTATTTATTTTTAGACCACAGATCCATAACATGTTGAATGGATTCAACAATTCAGAATAAGGAACTAGTTTAGAATTAGTAAACATAAGTTGCTATGGTGAGCCACGGATAGCATACCAACTCCTTAAATATTAAAAAAGAAGAAGGCAGCATAAAATTTATTCTCAATTATAATATTGGTTATGAATGTATATGTATATTTTTTTTTATATGGGTCTGGCACGATTTGTGCATTTAGCCAGAGTGAAGTATAGGATTTTTTATAATTCATGCTTGTCTTTAGAACTTCGACCGTGTCCTCCATGTACGGTTTAGGCACTCGCCCGGTACCGCAAAACCCTCCCAAAGGCCGAGAACAAATTTAAATTAAATTAAAACTTGCCCTCGAACCGGGAATCGAACCCGGTACCCCTCACATCGCTGCCACTTAATAAGACCGCTAGGCAATGAGGCCCCTATGTATAAATTTACAATTATTATTCCTAAATAATGGTGTTGTTTCAGAAATCCTACTCCTACAGATAACGATGAACTTTTACAAATCACTTGGGATTCTGTAGAGAATGAAAAAAGGCTAAATTTTTTGAGTATAAGCTCAGATTTAACAAAAGGAAGAAATCCATTTTATAATCGTATGTTATTTTGGGAAAACATACATAAGGAACATATTGTTCTTAAAGTTATCACACATATGAATGACATGGGGCTGAAGTTTTAGTATAAGTGTAGATTTTTTGTTTATTTATAGAATTGTTATCATTACATTGTTTATATTTATATGATAATTTTATTTTATTTAAATCTTTAACATAAAAAGTCATTATTATAGGCAGCGGCACGTAAGTCTAGCGCTGGCCGATACGTGGAGGGGATTGCTGCGCATGTGTACTGTCGCGCACGCAATACAATATATGCCACTTTGATTAATGATTACCTAAATAACGATATTAAGCTGAACGAAATGTGAAGGATAGCTGCTGCGCATGATTACTGTCGCGCATGTAAGTAATATTACCTATCTATATAGATTTTACCTAATTTGCTGATTATACTATTAAATTTTATGTTTCCTGCCTTAATGATTTCGGCAGTTTGTTTTATCTGGCTCAAATTTACAATGTTGCTGTCCGAATGACTGAACAAAGTATTTGTAGCTTCGTCAATCTCACTTTGGATTTGTTTCAAAGAATCAATTAATTCGCTAGATTCCCTTTTAAAAAAACAATTCACGTCATAAACCATTTTCCTGGCTTGTCTTTTCAAAACAGTATTTGTTCTAGGCATATTCACTTTAAAGTCACAAACAAACTTACAAAACAAATAACAAACAACAAAACACTAACAAATTCAAACGTAACAAAAAACAACAAAACGTAACAACAGTAACAATAATATTAATGACGCGACTGTACACGGGATTTGGTCCAACGGGGAGGCGCTAGCTGTTAGCTTGGACATAGCGAAAGCCTTCGATCGGGTGTGGCACAGAGCACTGCTCTTGAAGCTTCCAGCCTATGGGCTACCCGAGAAATTATGCGATTGGATATCCAGCTTTCTGGCCGATCGGAGCATCAAGGTCGTCATCGACGGAGCATGTTCCGACCTTAAACCCGTGAACGCGGGGGTACCACAAGGCTGTGTTCTATCCCCGACCCTGTTTCTTCTGCATATCAATAATATGTTGCAACTTAACAACATTCATTGCTATGCTAATGACAGCACTGGGGATACTCTTTACACTGGCCGGGCAGGTATTTCTCGGGCAGTTGTCGATGAGTACCGGAACAAATTTGTGTCTGAAGTCGAAACTCTACTACGTGGAGTCTCAGACTGGGGCAGACTAAACCTAGTCCAATTTAACCCCAAGAAGACACAAGTTTGCGCGTTTTCCGCTAAAAAAACACCCTTTGTCGCTACTCCTCTTTTCGAAAACACTCTCCTTAAAGCCACAGCCAGCATTGGAATACTTGGCGTTGACATATCGAACGACGTTCAGTTTCGCGGTCACTTGGAGGGAAAGGCTAAATTAGCCTCCAAAAAGCTTGGTGTGCTCAGCAAGGCGAGACGGTACTTCACTCCGGGGCACCGCATTCAACTATATAAAGCGCAAATATGGCCCCACATGGAGTACTGCTCTCACCTCTGGGCGGGGGCTCCCCAGTACCAGCTCCTTCCAATTGACCGTATTCAACGCAGAGCGGTTCGAATCGTCGACGACCAATCCCTCTCCGAGCGGCTTGATCCTTTGGCGTTGCGTAGAGATGTGGGGTCACTCTGCATCTTCTACCGCATTTATCATGGAGAGTGTTCAGAGGAGTTGTTCGGATTAATACCTGCAGCTGAGTTTCGTCATCGGACGTCGAGGCAGAGTACGAAATTCCACCCGTATCACCTCGACGTCAGCCGTTCCACAACTGAGCGTTTTTCAAGGGGCAGTTTTTGCCGCGCACCACCACTTTGTGGAACCAGCTGCCCACTGAAATATTTCCGAACCAATTCGACTTAGGGTCCTTCAAGAAAAGAGCGTACCAATACTTGAAAGGCCGGCAACGCACTCGCGAGCCCTCTGGCATTGAGTGTCCATGGGCGGCGGTATCACTTTAAAAAAAAAAAAAAGGGCGCGGGGCGTCGTATCGGTGCGGGGGACGGAATGCGACTGGAGAGCTAATCGACGCTACGCGCGCCCGCTCTTCATTCCGCTAGCCCCCCCTCAGGTACCTTATTTTTTTCTTCTGCGCAATAACGGTCAGCGCTAGAGTTTCGTGCCGCTACTTGTAACCTGGTTTAGTTAAAAAATTAAGAATTTAGCGGGATATTAATCAATTAATAATCTTTCAAAAAAATAATCATTTGTTTACGGAAAATCAAAAACCACAAATCGCCAGCACTTTGATTAAAAAGTGGCGACGTCCGCGTTTGGAGGCTAACTGATTGTACCACCCTGGACGCGTATGAAAGGGGAGGGGTAAAAGTCAACTATGGGTCATTCGCTATCCAGACGTCACAGAGGTCACACCTGAAGAGCTCTGACAAGAAAAAACCCAGTGAAAATGGTTACCACGGCAGAAGAAGCAGCTCAAGTGGTGGCCCTACTGCAAATCGGACTACGGCAGGTTGAAGTTGCTCGGCAAATGAACATCAGCTGATTTCGAGTGCAACGGGTATACCGACGGTTCCAAGAGACTGGAGTTTACATCAGGAGACATGGTTCCGGGAGACGTCGCTGCACTACCGTCAGAAATGATCGCTACATTGTGTCGACGTCTTTGTGGAACCGCTTCTCCAACGCTGTCGAGCTGCAGTAGCAACAGCAGCGGCTTCGAGCTACTCGAAGGACAGCAGTCAGCTGCCCCGGAGAGCTGCTACAGGCCCCCAATTGACTGCCATCCACCGGACGAAACCCGAGTGTGCCTGTACACCAATGACATGCGTAAGAGAGTCTACAGGCGACCAGGGGAGCGTTTCACATCAGCCTGCACCGTGGCTATGGAGTAGGATTCTGCATGTTCAGGGGCGGCATCTTTATTGACGGCAAGACAGACCTCGTGTGCGTCTCCAGAGCTGGAGGTGGTCGTGGCTAGGGGTCTCTCGCTGCTCACCGGTACATCACCGAGATTTTGAAGGAGCATGTGGTCCCATATGCTGGTTTTGTCGGCGCTAGCTTCGAGTTCATGAACGATAACGCCCGGTGCTACACAGCCTTTTTTATCAAGGACATCAAGGTTATAGATTGGCCAGCAAGAAGCCCCGACCTTAATCCTATCGAGCACCTCTGGGACGACTGAAATGGGGGGGTTCGGGCCCGTGAGCCAGCTCCTGCAACTCTCGATGAGCTTCGAGATGCCATCATCGAGGAGTGGGACACTATTCCCCAGGAACACGTCGTGACGCTCATCAGGTCCATGACTGACCGCTTGGAAGCTGCTCGGAGGGCTATAGGAGGCAACAATAGGTTTTAAGACTAATTTTTAAGGATTGTTATTGTTGATTTTTATGTTTTGTATCGTTCCTTTTCTTTGTAATTTTGATCAGAATACATATTGTTTCACATTTTCCCAGAATTTTCTTTTTTTATGGGGGTGGTGGCCAATTTCCTGCCGTTTTCAATTTCATAGGGTATTTAATTAGCTTTCAAATGATAGGGTACAGGAAGGATCTTAAGGTGCGCTTACACGGGCAACTAAAATTGCTCAATTCCAGTCAATACTCGTCAATTATGACGTCACGACTACATCAAGCAATTTACGGCAACGGCAACAAGCATCAATACTGCGCAATACAATATTGAGCGATATGGCGCAACTTCATCAACTAGGCAATACTGTCATACACGAGCATTTCAGTTTTCGCTCGCTATGGACGACATTGTTCTTGCTGCGGCGGCTTGTAGCGCTTTTTTTTATCATTAATCAAAAACAAAAAAGAAAGAAAAGGAATAGGCGTACCTGGGTGCGATCGTTTTTGGCAAAGAGGACAAAATTTTCATTATGTACAGAATTAGATGATATATTGTTCAAAAACTTTACAAGAATGTCACGAACAGACTTTGAATTACTTTTGAATAAAGTTAGCCCATTAATTAAGAAACAGACGACCTACATGAGAGAACCAATTTCTGCATCAACAAAACTTGTTTTAACACTTCGATTTCTGGCAACTGGAGATTCATACAAAAGTTTAATGTATCTGTTTAGAATTTCTGATAGTTGTATTGCATTATTTGTACCTACTGTATGCAGAGCTATTGCAGAAGTTCTTCGAGAATATATAAAGGTAAGTTATTTTAATTTAAAAGTGAGGATATTTAATTTAAAAATAATTGTATTAATCAACCTTTTTATTTATTTAAATTCACAATTAAGTAGATTTTTAATTCAAATAAATCAATCAGGAGTAATGTACTCCACGGCAGTAGTATTTCCGTCTGAATTACGAACTGTTCTAACCATCAATACACCATCTATTGCTTGTTGAATTGCTTCTGTATATTCGATCTCTGCAGCTGGAGTATTGGGGTGGTGGTTTATTGAAGAAGAAGCGTTTGTAGATATAGGAGACTACTGAGATTTAATGTTTAGTGCGTTTGTCGCATTTGAGTCAGAAGAATTGCTAACCTCGTTAACCGACGTAGGACTAGGAGTGGGTATAGCATGGTAGGAAAGAGGATAAGGAGCAGGAGAGTATACACGTTGACGGTAAGAGGAAGAAACGCTGGGTGAAGAAGAATACTGCTTTCCCGATACACTGCTTCTGCTTCTTTCATCATAATATCCCATATCGGCTTCATATAAGATTGAAGAAATTTATATTCGACTTGATTGCGTACATACTGACTATATGTTAACAGCTTTTGGTTTACATGAACAAAAACAGAATGAAGTTGTAATTTATAAATAATTATAAAATATATTATTTAATTATTTATAAATTACAACTTAACTTAACTTTTATTTTAATTTATTATTTTTAATTTATTTATAACACAACAAACAGAGGCTGACTACGCGCTGGACTCTTGCCGCGCGCTATCCTACTTCCACCCGACCTCTCGCTCTCCCCGCAAGCAAGGCGGCAAAACAAACAAGTGCGAATGAGATATATACAAAAATTGCTAGGAATTTCCAAGTCCAATGGATATTCGTCAATTCGTATCTGCGACATTGAGCGATATGAAATATCTGGAGCAATTAGAAGCAATATCGCCGAAATAATTTATTAAAATTTATTGAATTTATTGAAATTGCTCCATTAATTGCTCCAGATCGGTCCATTCGTGTTGCCGAGCAATTATTGCCCTCGTGTAAACGCACCATTAGGAGTTATAATCGCTTGACACGAATTTTTTTGACGCCGAGTGTATACGTAGTCAAAGTAGTCAAAACTCCGTTTAATATGTTATTTGCCAAATTCTTTGCTGTCTTTCTGTTGAGTTGAACAATTTCTTAGTGAACTTTTTTACAGACACGCGATTTCTATTTTCAATCTACTCATTTATTACATGTATTCCCGTCGGGACGTAACGTGAAATATTTCGGGGGGGCAATGGCGTTACTATCAGCGTCACCAACATATACTATTTCTTCTTTACTTTTAACATCTTTTATTTTGCAATAATACTTTAAATGTATTTAATTAGAAAACAACGTTTCCTAGATGCTGGCAGCATTAAATCTAAATAATAATCACAAACTAAAAAAACTGTATTTGTTTCATAATTTGGGTTGAATGCATTTAATATAATTGAAAAACATAGAATATCAATTATATATCAATTAATAACTGTGGTATGTGGTTATGGAAATAAGTAAAATAAACGTACCAGTTGCAACTTCATGCTATAGGTACAAACAGATAAGATTACGCTGGATTTTGATAGTGATACTGGAATCCTAAATGCTCGGAAAAAAATAAATGTGGATTAAATTACTCAAGAAGGTGGTAAGTTATAATATGCATAACACATCATTATTTATTCAGGTACATCTATATCTAAACAATAAAATAATATCGTAACATAACTCTAACAATCACAGAGATCGTAAAATTTATTTTTTATTTAAATTAAATACTTGTTTAATATTAATAAAGAATTCACAGTATATTTTGTATGTAATTTCATTAATGTATTGGATCAAAACTTTGTTATTTTTTGTGGGTTTTTTCCATCACGAAAATTGTAAACATTTCCTAATTACTCTATAGGAATGGAATCCAAGCATGAAAAGTGTATAGTCCAGACTCAAAATGGATGGATTTGTGGATACATTGATAAAAGAGATGAAGGAACATATTACAAATTCAAAAGTATACCTTATGCGGAACCGCCTGTTGGAAATCTAAGGTTTAAGGTAATATATATATTTTTTTTTAATATATAATTGGAAAAAAGCAGATAATGTTATCATAAGGTTGAAGGTTAAGTGTAACACATTTTGCAAGATAAACAAACCATTTATACTAGTAGTACATAATAAGTGCTTTATCCTTCTATATTTCAGCCTCCGAAATGTCTAAAGCCTTGGAAAAATATACTAGATTGCACAAAAGATGCACCATTACCACTATCAATCTATGTTAATCAAGAGGTGTTTGGTTCTGAAGATTGTCTTTATATTGAAGTATCCTCCCCAAACATTAAACCTGACAAACCACTTCCTGTCATGTTTTGGATTGGAAGCTGCAACTTTGTTGTTTATATAGATTCTATTCTTGACCCAACTCATTTAAATAATCAGGAAGTAGTTTTTGTAAGATGTGGATTTAGATTGGGACCATTTGGATTTCTGTCAATAAACGATTTTTCTGCACCAGGAAATGTTGGATTAAAGGATATTATTTTAGCATTTAAGTGGGTTCAAGCAAATATTAGTAACTTTGGTGGGGATCCTAACAATGTAACTGCATTTGGAAGTGGTACAGGAGGTGCAATTGTACATCTTATGACATTATCTCCCTTGGCGTGTGGTCTGTTTCATAAAGCCATTGTTCAAAGTTCTAGTGCCCTTAATGGATGGTCTCTAGCTAAGAATCCAGTTGAAACTGCCATGACCTTAGCAAAACATTTGGGTATAAAGAAAACAGACAAATTTGAAGTTGTTGAAGAAATGAGAAAGTTATCAGGCTACAACATTATGAAAACCTATTGCACTTACCTTTTTGATCAATACCGAGAAGAGAATGATGTATTTGATTCACCATTCAAGCCTTCTGTAGAAAATGAATTTGAAGGTCAACCAACATTTATGAGCAAAAGTCCAGCTACAATACTTAATTCTGGTAAGTTTAATAAAGTTCCAATGATGATTGGTACCAACAATGTGGAAGCTAAGGTGCTACAATATATAACAGACGAATTTTATAAGGATTATAATAAATACAATGAGGATGTCAAACATCTGGTTCCTAAATCATTAGCAAGTGTAAACAGTGACAGTCTAAGAAAAATTGGCCAACAAATATTATCATTTTACTTTGTTGGGGTAGAAAAAGTTAATGAACAAACCCAAAAACAGTACTTACAGTTTCTCACAGATTACTATTTTCATTATTACTTGGACAAAACAATACGAATACATAGCAAAGTTTCGCCTGAGTGCCCTATCTACTACTATGTTCTCAATTATGCTGGGGAATGGCTGGTGCCTAAAGAATTAGAATTTTTTAATACTATTGGACATGCTGCAGAGCTTCCATTTTTATTTCGAATAAAATCATCAGATGGCTCTTTTTACAAGGGAAGTTGTGTTTCACTCACCACAAGGGATAGATGTGTCAAACTGTGGACAAATTTTGCAAAATATGGGTATGTAAATATAATAACTATTTATTTTTAGACCACAGATCCATATCATATTGAATGGATTCAACAGTTCAAAATAAGGGGCTAGTTTTGAATTAGTAAACAAATGTTGCTATGCTGGGCCACAAATAGCATACCAACACCTTAAATATGCATATCATATATACAACAATCTCATATGAAGAAAGCACAAAATTCATTCTCAAATAATATTGTATATTTATGTTGTTTCAGAAATCCTACTCCTACAGATAACGATGAACTTTTACAAATCACTTGGGATTCTGTAGAGAATGAAAAAAGGTTAAATTTTTTGAGTATAAGCTCAGATTTAACAAAAGGAAGAAATCCATTTTATAATCGTATGTTATTTTGGGAAAACATACATAAGGAACATATTGTTCTTAAAGTTATCACACATATGAATGACATGGGGCTGAAGTTTTAGCATAAGTGTAGATTTCTTGTTTATTTATAGAATTGTTATCATTACATTGTTTATATTTATATAATAATTTTATTTTATTTAAATCTTTAACATAAAAAGTCATTATTAACCTGGTTTAGTTAAAAAATTAAGAATTTAGCGGGATATTTGTTTTAAACAGCAATAAAGTATAATAGTAATAAATAATTTGAAATATGTAGTTATTGACTATCACATAAATATTAATAAGGTAATTTTCGGTTTTCCCAAATTTCAATAAAATATATGATGATAAGTGTCGGGCAAATAATTCGGCTAGTGTAATTTTCCTACTAGCGTCGTGCGTGGACTTTTCAGAAGAGTGCTAAATTATAATATAACTGCTTCACGGTTTCGCCCTCAACTTAGCTTGCCACGGAGCGGCAATGTATCTTCTGGAGTATGTTGTTAATTGAAATTCCTAAGTAAAAAATATTTTTTATGGAATGTTTGACCTGAATATTTGCAAAAGTACTACAGTCTTTTCAAATGATTTACTGGTATATACAATAAAAATGGATAACAGCTGATGATTGTTGATTGTTGTTTCTTTCAACTTTTTTTTTCTAAAGTGTATTTTCTAGTATTAGAAATTACTAGTTAAATGGAAATTTAATATTGAAATTGATAATTTTTTTATTCTTTAGAAACATACAGCGCATATTGAACTCTTGACTGCGCGTATTAAACCTCAAATTATAGATAGGCTAGGGTAAATATTAAAGTTTTTATTAAAAAATCTAGTCTACAATTTGAAGGAATAAACACAATGCTTATTATTATAAAAAATTTCAGTCTAATTGCTGTCATTTAACTAAAGTAATCTTTTGTCTCTCTCTGTCAAGAGACGACTGGTTTATTTAAACAAAAATAGAGGCATAGATAATAAAACAATATTAATAACTGCACGTATTTTATTGGATAATATGATTGCGGCACGTGACAGTCGTTTTCGTTTCCAATTAATAGTTCGTTATTAAACAAAGCAAGGAAAAAAATAGTACATTGGATCCAATTATTTAACAAATATATATATATTTATCACAAGTGTTGAAGATTAGTAAAAATAATGCAATTGCTGCCAACTAAAATATACAATTTTTACAATAAAATAATTGTACTAGATACACTGATATCTACAGTTGCAAAATGATGATATAAGCGATTACTAAAATCAGAGAAATCAATGAACACAATTTACCATATATGCGTAATTGGTGCGAAATAATATAGATAAAATATATTATTACACTCTGGTGTAGCACTCGCGAAAGCACACCCTTTCCTTGTTAGACATCTGAAAATCGAAGACAATAAATAAGCAAAACATTTTATAATTCCTCAGGTTTTATTTTTTTTCATTACATAATATGTAGGAAACAAAAAGGGTGCGTGTACTTATGTACGCGCGTAAGAAGTTATACTTCTTTGGCATTATTAAAAATAGTTTTTGATTGCATGCAAATAATTAAGACTGGAAAAGGAGTCATTATAGTCAATAAAGTTCAGTTTACATTTGAAAAATTAAATAAACTAATATTTATTATTATTCTTTTACATTAAGTGTAACATAAATTATATTATTATTCGAATGTTGTTTTTAAATTATGTCCAATGCCGTAGCATCTTCCGTGGGCAAATTCATTCTGTTAAGTTTGTGCGCGCGCATCGTAAAATTTCACTCTCATCAATTTTTCATAACGCGCCTAAAGAAGTATAACTTCAAATCGGTTATTTTCGCGCGATGCGCCTGCCTAGCCCACCAAGAACCATTAAATTACCTAAAATACATACTGCACAATCTAAGCGATTAAAACTCGTATCCGCCCATCGGTACCGCTTGGTCCGCGGTGAAATTGAACTGGTCTGTCGTCGAAGACACTTCGGGAGCGAGCCGGCTGTCCTCATTCTCAGTGCCAAAGTAATTCTCGATCATTTCAAACGCCTTCTGATATATATCGAGGTTCTCGTGAGATTGTAAAAATTCTATTTTGTCTAAGCCTGTAAAAATTTACAAAATATTATATGGAACTAGCTGACCCGGCAAACGTCGTTTTGACATGTATATTATTTCTAGGAAACATATAATAAAAATAGGGGTTGATCGTAGAGGGGTGAAAATTAAGGGTTGTATGTATAATAAAAAAATATAAATTACGTCCAAAAAATAAAAAGTTAGGGGTGGACAACCCTTATCACTTAGGGGTATGAAAAATAGATAGTAGCCGATTCTCAGACCTACTGAATATGCATATAAAATCGGTCGAGCCGTTTCGGAGGAGTATGTTAGTTATAACATTGTGACTCGAGAATTTTATATATAAGATAATGTTCAATTGGCGCTGAAGCCTATGAGGCTTAATTGGTGATGTCGGGTTCAGCATCAATACTAATCTGGAAATTACTTAATCTTCCCAAATTTAATGGATAAACATTTGGCTTTCACAAAGAAAATTTCGCAACATTCTCAACATTTTTTTTTTGAATACTAAGTCAAATCCAAATTATTTTCTCGTTAAACCAAAGTTTCATCAAATCGTTTTGGTAGTTTTTGAGATGGGTTTATTATAGGGAACATGTATAATATACAACCTATGTACATAACATATATTCTGATATTATTACTAACTTTAATGCAAAAATATTACATTAAAATATTGCCTTTTAAGTAAAATGTAACCTTCTGAGTATATGAGAAATACATTACGTCATTAAAAAAAAAACAAAAGACAGGTATTTGAATAAGTTTTTAAACCTCAAAAGCGGATATATGAAAAGCTTTACATTTTCGATCGTTACGAATGTACTAGCTATTAGATTTTATTATATGTGCTAAAATTATAATAGATAAGACATACCAAAGCATTCTTCAATGAGGACAGCGTAGGGATTATGGGGAAGGTCCATTTGTTGACCGGCTTTGAGGATATTGTCTAATCCACTGAGGGCCACTTGCACTGTCTTCGCATCGGTAAGGGTTAATAGGTCACAGAGAGGGGAGATACAGCCTTGTTCCACTAGAAGACTGTCATAAAAAATATATTATTATACGAGAAATAATTTGTCCAAATTTTAAAGGTATTTACAAAAAACCCAAAGTTCCTTGGTCAACTTTTATGTCAATGTTCTAAAGTCACACTCTTATTTAAAATTTGATTGTAAAACATTGTTTGCTGTAAAATACACCTTAATTCAAAGCTATAAAGACATAATTCACGGAATAAAAGATAAAGAAAAATCAGTCAGTCAGAAATTTAAAATGTCACGTATCGGGGCTGTAGCAATTTTCCTAAGAGTGCACTTGTGACTTGTGAGTGGCTTCAAGTTCTTAAGACACTCAGAATACAAGGACCGTAAAACGCCAATCAAACTAACATCTAGTTGAAGGTGCTGTCAAACCATTTTTTCTGTATGAAGTTTGACATATTTGACAGCGCTCAAGACTGAGCTAACAAATATGAGTGTGTCATAACTTGAAAATAAACATTTATAATTATTATTAATTTATAACTAGTGAATAAGAAGTATATTTTTTCGAATGATTTGAAGATTTTTTTGTAAAAATAGTCTATTTGACAGTATAAAAAGTAATTATTACTTAATGAGAGTAATCTATAAAGATGGCTTTAAAAAGTGTTAGTATAATAACATTAGTTTATCAAAAAATCAATAATTATAAATATGTATTGCTTTTATATGTGAGTCGAATCGACATTGGCGACTCATACAATATATGTGTTAAATATTGAATGATAATTAACACAAAAAACTTGACGTTTTTTAACATGCATAGTACGTCCAGGGATTGGTGCAACGCCACTTTGCCACCAACGCCACCACCACGCAGAGAAGCGTTTTGGCGGGTTTTTAGCCAACACGTAACATTATTAAAAATAACAATGTGTAGGTTCTAATGTTACTAATAATTAAACTGATTTTTTAAATAAAATACTCTAAAGAATATACATAATATTACAAAAATGTTAGCTAAGGAGATAATTTACCTAATCTGTGCAGGAGTTCCGCCGCTGGTGGCGTTAGTGATGGCCCACGCGGCTTCCTTCCTTGTTTTGAACTCAGCTAGCTTCAGAATGTCTATTAGAGTCGGGAAGATATTTGCGTCTATTACAGCCTGTAAATATTTTACATCTATACATACTAAGCCTTGATAATTATCAATATTTTAATCTTGATTAAAAAACCGAACCCCGTTTACAATTTTACGTGTAATTTTATGACGCCAACTAATCTATAATATAAAAATGAATCGCAAAATGTGTTGGTAAGCGCTTAACTCAACAACGCCTGGACCAATTTGGCCAATTCTTTTTTATAATATTCCTTGAAGTATGAGGATGGTTCTTACGGAGAGAAAAATTTTAAAAAATTGAGGGAAAATCTCTAAAAACAACACTATTCTATATTCCCATACAAAATATTCGTAATAATACTTAAAAGTCAATTTGAACTTTAATACCATATCATAAAGTTCAAGTGTTAGTGGAGGGGTTCAGGGAAGGTAAATTTTTATTTTTTGACATAATGTATTTGTTGTCTTATCAACTTTCTTTTTTTTTATCTTACTAGCTAGACCGGTGTCCCGAATAGCAGAATAAGTATTAAAAAAAAATAAAGAATCGACTGTTAGGCGGTATGATGTTCGCCAGACCAGCTAGTTTCTAATAATTATGAAACTATTAGAACTGCAGTAGATTGTTGTTTCGTTCCACATTATTTTACGTAGAGTCATCTCAATTTCAGGATACTATTAACAATGTTTGGTACAGATCTTTGTTAATAGGCGAACCAAGGACATGCAAAAATTTGTCTACAACATTAATGACGTCACACATTATGCAATGGTCATACATTATCTATACCTGTATCTGATGCGCGTTCCCCGCAGTGATGTTAGACAGGGCCCAGCAAGACTCCTTTCTGTGCGTCTCAGTGCTGGACTTGAGTAGCGCGTGAAGGCTCGCTAATGGGGTGCAGTTCAGCACCGCTTGCGTCTGCGCATCGTTTCCGGTCACGATGTTACCAACCGCACGAAGAGCAGCTGATACCACCGTGAACTTGTTGTGCCTGTGGATATGTAAAATTTATTATTGATACACGATATTTTTAAATTCCGATCTTTCGCTGATCGATTTCTAAAAAAAACACTCGAATCGAGCTATGTAAATAATGTAATACAGACCAACCAACTTATCTGTGAAATGGAGAAAATGGGAACTACGGCCGCCATGTTGAATTTCGGCAGCTACAGGTTAGTGTTGTCTACTTTCTTTTTGAAAATTACCCGATATTTTTTTCATTGATTACTTTTTAACGTAATAATTGTAACTTACAGAATATAAAGCTAAGTGATTCAACTACCTATAGTTCTCGTCACGTAAAAATATACTTATATTAATTACACTTAAATTAAATTAAATACACTTATATTACTATTTTATTATTATAAAACAATGTTAGGTATTGTTTAAATTAATAAAATTGTTTATATTTCCTAGTCCTAGACCTAGTTTCTTATCTGACATACCCAATCATGGGTAACTTTTATTAATTTGCAACACTATAGCGACGGTGGCGCTACCACTCAGTTCACAGATGAGTTGGTGGGACTATACATGTATATTTATAGCCATAAAATGTTTTGATCGCCTGTTTTTGATAGCCCGAACCCCAAATGTTTTGAAGAACTCTGAGCTTGAGAAAGATATTTTTTTTCTAACCACAAATAAACGATTTGATGTTGTTGGGTGATGATTTTATTAGGCTTAAAGCACGTGCGCTAAATGTCATTTGTTGTATGTATATCCACGAATTTCACGAAAACTAATATTGAGATGAAACTTTAAATCAAGTATAAGTTGGCCAGTCCAAGTTTTGTAAGAGTCAGTGCAGTGGTAGAGATATATGTTTCCACTGATTTAGACGCTGGAGGGAAAAATTTATCTTTTGACCTAAGTACCTAATCCAGTAGTCTGCCCAGTTTTGAATTATATTATATTTTTTGTAGTAAGCATACTCACATGAGTAATTCAACAAGTCGCCTACAGACTCCAGCATCAATAACGGCCTGGATCTTCTCGTTTGGTCCATCTGAGAGATATGACAGCGCCCAACACGCGTCGCTTAGCACCTCTGCGTCCGTGTGATGTAACAGTCGCGCTAACACTGGTATACCTGATGTTTAGGCTTAATATATATCGATTGGTTCATTATCTGTTACTCTTAATTTGTTGTTAATCCGTATTGTAATATGTCAACCAAGTACATATATGTCATTATTAAACTGGATCAGTAATATTTCCTTTAGGGGCTTCATAGCCTAGCGGTCTCATTAAATCAAAAAACTCATCATCATCAATTCATGAAATTTCATCAATTTCTGATAGATTTATTCAAACTTTGGTAGGCGAATTCCTTCAACAGCGTATGAATGTTTTTAAAAGTAAATGGATCAAAAAGATTATTGCATGTGTTATTGTTAAATAATATAAAAGAAAAGAAGATTCTGGTTCATCCATTCATTAATTATGAACTCTGATGGGAACTATTTTATTCAAAAGTATATCTTGAGAACTGAAGATAATTTTTGATTATTTTAGAATGAGCATATGACAGGAAAGCATATTTGTAAGTAGACAAAATATAAAGTGACTTTTTCCTGCCATTAGAATCAGAAAAAAACGCATCAATGACCTGGGTCCTGTGTCTCTACGATGAAAAAAATTAATACTTAAAATTAATTATTAAAGATTAAATTTATTAACAAAATTATATTTAGAATTTTACTTACAAAAGAAAATCTGATTTTTAAATATTATTTTCATTAAATAATATAAGCATTTCAGCGGCGTGTGATTTAATTCTTTATTAAAAGTTTAGGAACTACAGTTTTGGTTTTTTACCATTTACGACATTATTTCAACAAAATTAACAAATACCATCATTTCTAGATCTAATCAAATTATAAATAATTTAATTTGAATTAATTAAAATACCCAAATAATAAATTTCTGATACAGCATATTTACCGCTGTAAATTGATAATATTTCCGCGCGTACATTTTTCTTCCTTAGTTAACGTTTTAAAGGTTTGTGATTTAAAAAATGTTTTTAATAAAAATATTATAGTAATTGGATAAAAAGTTTAATTGAAATGGTGATAGTTAAATAAATAATTTTAAAAATGTAAATATCATGGATAGTCAAATTAATTTTTTAAATTAATAAAGTTTTTGGCTCTGTGAATGCAAATCTATAAAATTGCTTTCCTATCAATTCATTTGAAGAGTATGAATATGACTTTTATTCGCTGACAATTCAAAAGATAAACTTAATTTAACTTAACAATCAAACTTAAAAAGCAAAAATTATTATTATAAATAAAAATAAATAGTTTTTTCGTCAAGCATTTGTTTGACAGCCTCTCCTTGTGTTTTTCATCTCGTTCCATCTTTACCTCTTCTTTTTACCAGCTTTGAAAGTGGAGGTTTGAGGTTATCAATTTTTAGTATATATTTTTTTAATTATTATTTCCTCAAAGTTATTTCATAATTTATGGCAAAATTAATAATATCATGTGCAAATTACGCCATCTATGATTAGATTTAATAAACTAAACACTTTCCGGTTTTACAATAAATGTAACAGGATTGCCGGTACTTAATTCTGCCAACTATTAGGTTCATAACTGGTTTCATCATTTAAATCGCCGTTGAGAGTTATAGAGTCATGGGCTCATAATGAGCTACCTTTTATTTGAAGAAAAAATAGATGCTTTAATTTTTTATTATTTAAAGTGTGTCTATGTAAAATGTCTTTAACTTTCCTGATTGTAGGTGTTTCTTATGATAGAATTATTTATTGTACTTTTGTTTATTATCTTACAAACAGCTGCTTTTTCTTTAGCGAATTATTGTTACCTATTTCACAATTTTATCGAGTGTTAATAGTTAATAAAAAATAATAATAATTTTATTTATTGCCTTAAACAGGTTACTTAACAAACCCGAATCCCAGGCCCCTGATGAACTGTATTTCAGGAGCCTGTGACCTACCAGTTACATGTAATGTCTAGCAATATCGAGATTATTTACAATACGATATTCCTTTCTGTTTTAAAACTTACCAGGGGCTACTGCTTCAAAGTTCGTCGGCGGATTCTTGCCTCTACATAGGTTTGACAGTGTCCAAACTGCGTTTTTGGTCATGGATAGTCTTGAATACTTATTTAAAATTCTGAAAACCATTTCGTTGTATTAAGCTACAATCAAAAGTAATTTTAAGGTCTGTGTCTCAGATAGTTGTATCTGTTTCGTGATTTTTTTTCTTTTAATAAGCAAGTAGGTGATTAGCCTTCTGTGCCTGACTCACACCCACGTTTTTTGGGTCTAAAGCGTACCGGTTTCCTAACACGGTTTCCTTCACCGTACAAGCGATTGGTAAATGCGCACATTGACAGAAAGTCCATTGGTGCACAGAACCTACAAACTCACTTTCATTTCAAAGATGTTTGACCTTCATTCGACATTTGGTATTATTAGTACGCCGAAGGTTATTTAATTCTTTTTATTATTTGTTACTCAAGTAAGCTTCATCAATGAAATAGATCGCAAAACTGCACTGGTTCAATCGTGAAAGAAATTGTTAATACACTTAGCACAACCTATCAGTACGGTCTCTAGCTTCGGTCGTACAATTAGAACTGTTTCATTTCCGTCTTAAAAAACGTGAAACCCATATCTAGTTTCAAGATTATATTTTATAAAGTTTTCATATTATGTACATTGTAAAATACGGGCTACTCACTCTAATAATGGCGGCAACAATCCAGCCGCGAGTACCGTATCACGACATCTCGGGGAATCACCAGCCACATTCCCAAGTGCCCACAGAGCTTGCTCTCTGACGTCATCACTAGCTCCAGAACTGACCAGCCCCACTAAAACAGGGACTGCCCCACATTCCACAACCACGCGCGTTTGCTCTGACGACCCCGACGCTATATTCGTCAAAGCCCACGCCGCTTCGAACTGGAAATGTTAGTAAATACAAAAACTTTTATTCCAAGAAATATGATTTTTGCACGGCGACACAATACCTTGTGTATATGCTACGATTACGTATCAACTATATATTTGAGTATAATTGGAATGTCTAACCTTCAAATCCACAATGATGGCAATACAAAAATATAACATACATAGAATGTAGTAAATATGTTTTAATTTTTTTGTTATATAAATACTAGCGGACCCGACAGACGTTGTCCTGCATGATATTTCAAGTGATTAAGATATTAAACAAATTGTGAAAGTAATGACTGCAGCGCCTGATTTGTGAATCTCAACCATCCAGGACTCCACCCAAATGCATAGAAAAAAAATCATTCAAATCGGTCCAGTCGTTTAAGAGGAGTTCAGTGACATACACACCTAGAGTAGAATTATATATTATCAGCTATCCTATCTTTTAAGTTAGATCAAACTGCACACGGTGTGCAAATTTGACTGAAATCGGTTAAGTAGTTTAGGAGTCCATAGCGGACAAACAACGTGACGCGTAATTTATATATATTAAGATTACCTACGTAATTACAGACAAAATAAGTCTTAAAAATCTCACTACAGTAAAGCACAGTTCTCATTAATGTGTCGGTAATAATTATAAACTATTAGCTATGTATTAAGTTCATCACCTAAATAGGCAATCTATATTTCAAAACAAATTTAAATATTACCTGTAATGTGGGATTAGCACTATTAACAAGAAATTCAACAAATTTAGGAACAATTCCAGTCCTTATGACTTCATCTATGGGAGGATTAGGCTCTCGGCTTAATAGCTTCCTAAAGGTCTGTGTTGCTATAACTTGGTCATAGGGATTGTCGCCATAGAGAGCTGCCACCATCTGTGGAGTTATGTCTTCAGATGACGAAACATTTAAGTCATCCTGAAATCAATAAAATAATGATTGTAATGCATTTTAAGTATTTTAGAAACATTCTCCGTAGTTAACATTAGATAACTTTTCTGTCTACCTACCTAAAAACCTTGTCTTATTAAAGTAAAATAAAATATGTTTATTATGGAACATAAGATACATGTATCACTTATTCCACGTCATTAAATTTGAATTTGTAGGCATCCCTACTCATCGGCAAAGACGACAGAGGGTGTAGGTCGAGAGTAAAAGCCGGCATAAAAAACTCTCGGTACTCTTTTAAAATAGCAAATCATCAAACAACACTTATTTTAAAACAAATATCGCAAATTAATTAGATAGAAGTAGCCTGTCTAGCACTAGTCCCAGGCCCTTTTATCAACTAGATAATCGTTGACTTTATAGTAAGCCTTTTTACAAAGCTTTTCTTTAATACATATCTTAAATTTATTAAAAGGCAAAAATAAAAGAGCCTCTGGGATTTTATTAAAGAAGAGTATCCCTTTTCCCAAAAAAGAATTACTAACATTAGATAGTCTAGTACGGGGAAATTGCAGCCTGCGTTTGTTCCGAGTATTAACATTGTGTGTATGTTCTATTCTAGTAAGTAGTAGTTTTATTAGTATACCTAATAAAATTATACATGGTGTATATATATATACACCATAATGAAGCACTACATAAGGCTTATTTAGCTGTTTTATTTAACTGCTTTATATAATTAAGTTCACACTATTTAATTTTATTTTAATTCATAAATAATTATAACTTCTTAGACACGGTAGTAGATAAAAGTAGAATTGATATACCTGCAATGCAACATCTGGCGCATTAGGTGCAGGTATATTCACATTCCTTCTCTTAAGGAGCTGTTGCTCTCTCTTCTGTTTCCGGAGCTGTACACCTTCTTCCTCACGTCGCCGTCTCAGCTCGTCAGCACTGAGGCCTGCGTTCTTGTAACGATGCTTGTGACCTCCAGACATCTACAAATTTCATAAAGGCACCATTAGATTCTCAGTGAATATCTTTTTTTTTAATACAGTTGTCTTTACTATAGACATCATGGAACAAAACGATCTAGCCTAGTTTATGACTAAAAAGTAATTTAAGTCTAACCTAATTTACTAATAAGCCTTTTTAGTAAATCAGGTTTACATAAGAAACCGTCCAATAACACTCTACTTACAGTCTTTAATAAAGGGAAAACACTCTGTTCTTGTGTAAATTTTTTTCACATACTACTGTTTAGCACTTAAAACTAACGTGCACTAACACTAATTTAAATGGTTTTGTCTTTTTCAGTCTTCTCACTAGGCCCGTGGCGTCAAAAAGTTGAATAGCCTCAACATTCACGTGATGGACGCCTATGTGCGTGGGCTCCAGCAGTCTTTTTTATTATTGTGGCGACGTCCTCTACATTAAGGTCCAGATGGAGGTCGTTATTGCGAATGTACCAGGGAGCATTGGCAACACTTTGTTTTGGAATCGTTGAAATTTTTTGATGTGGCTATTACTGGTACAGTCCCACAGCTGGTTGCCAGCTAATAAGTCCATACAGGACTTGTTTGTAGATGAATAATTTATTTTGTACAGATAACGTGGAATGCCTACCGAGCAACCAGTACAATTTACTGTAACAAAGATCCAACTCTTCGCGCTTCTTAACATGGACTTTCCATCGGAGTTTGGTATCCAGCGTCATTCCTAGGTACTTAGCTGAATTTTGGAACGGCACTATGACGTTTCATTATACACTGGCTGTTAATTTGATGTTTTGGTCTGATTTGGTCTTATCCATAATTTTTTTCGTCCACAAGCCAACAGCAGCAGTGGCTTTTTGTAGTTTACTACCACTTCCTTTTCAGTAGCCTCCGTAAACATGATAGCAGTATCATCGGCAAAGGTCGAGATTACGTTATATTCAGGAATAACGCATGTATATAAGAGGTAGAGAACCAGACCTCATACACTCCCTTGCGGCATCCAAGCTTTTCTTCCTTTCAGTTCTGAAAAATCATCTTCTTGTCATACCCTAAACATTCATTGTGTTAAATATGACTCAAAGATGAAATGAGCATCAACATCAATTAATCCAAGTTCCAAGATTGTAAAAAAAAACATTATTATAGGGGTTCTAGAATATTATATTTGTGTATATGTATTCATTAAATTATGTTTTTCACATTCACCTGTAACATTATACAACTGAAAGATACAACTAAATAACAAAATGAGTAGACAAGATTATATATACATCAAACTTATAACGACATCGTTTACAACGACCTATCGGTTATTACAACCAGATTGCATGGTCCTCCAATCCCTATAAACTATTCAGTAAAGAAACCGCTTATAACAACATCGGATACAGCACATATCGCTTACAACAGAAAGTTTATCGATATGCATCGGATATAACGACCAACCGCTTCTTGTCTCAGTAAAACAAAACAATACAAACGATTTTAAATTTTATTTATAAGCATTGAATGAATATTTAGGCATATTATTACCTACGCACTTTCTCCCAACGAACAGTTTCAGCCAACAACGATTTCCGAGGCTCTTAACGCTGTAACGATTTTGCAAAAATTTGTTGCCTTTAACGAACAGTTTGATACTGGTGATACTCATACCTTGAGCAGTATGAAACGTAAAATGCAAAAAATATTTGAGACTGGGCTAAAAAAACAGACTGACTGATTACTTTTGTACCTAATTATTTCGTAATAAATATTTTTGTTTCTTTTTTGACTCGTTTACATATTATAATATTAACATACCATATTATAACCCATACCTACCTATATGTACATACATATGTACTGTATTTGTGTATATGACATTGCTTATAACGACTATCGGATATAACGTCGGCAACTATACGGTCCCTTCAATGTCGTTATAACCGGTTTTGACTGTAGTTCCAAATTTAATGTTTATGTGACAAACAGATCTTGCAAAATCACTTCACCTACTGTGCTTAGTTAATTAGACTCATTTGGACATAAGCAGAATTGGCCAAGCCTTAAGTTCAAACGGTTTAAGTTCAGTAACAGTACAGATCTTTACGTTTATATACATCAGTGACATAATACATTTCAGAATATACATACCGTATAAGTACTGTTAGAATAAGCCCTAACTTGTCTGAAAATGTAGCAGGCAATAGTTTAGACTATATTCACTGTCTTACTTCATTTGAGTAGCTATTAAAAACCTTGAAAGACAGAATATGTGACAAAAGAAATATTAAAAATCAGAGTTACCCTTCTTTACCCTATGAAAACATTATCAATTGTAAAGGTAAATATTATCTAAACCTCTAATTTACAAAATTAAAGCATTGAACTTACATTTCTACCAAATAAAATACAGTAAACCAACATAAACAAACTTCATATTAGATTATAAAGATTAGACAAAATTATGAAGATTAAAAATTACTAAACAAAATATTTATTTTATATATGATTGTAAGTACAAAAATAGGTTTGTAATGCTTTCACACTAAAACTGCTACACCAATTGGATTTTTTTTGACTTAGGAATTAGATAGGACCTTGAAATAATACAGAAATAAGTAGAAAAGAAAGCCATCATTGATGATTCATACATTACTATTATAGATTACCAAAACTAAGGGAATCATTATAATATAAAGTTTTTCTCAGAAATCAAACAACATCTTATTACAAATAAAAATACACATTTTTGTTGCATGAATGGAATATATATACATTAGATATAACTATAAAAAATATTAATGGATTTCAACTACTTACATTTAAACAATATAATGAAAGTTGTTATAGGAAGAAAACAATCCAACATCTATCACGAAATATAAATATAAAATTTCGTCGTATTTCAATAATTTTCAATTCACCATTAATATTTTATGATAGATGATAGACCGCGCACCAATCACCATTCACCATTGAAGAATTTTCAGTCATCGTCAGTCGTTACGTCAATGCAATTACCAATAGGTCATTAATGACGTTTGACATTACTACAAACTCAAGATTTCGCCGCTGAAGTTAAAACTGTTAACTAAACGGATGACAAATGGCAATTAAATCAATTTAGCGTTATGTCAGTGTGATCAAGGAAAAAATATTTGATAAATAACAAAAAATTGTGCAATCATTTGAACCTCTGAATTCTACGCCAGAGAACTTGTTTCGATATTACAAAATGGAGAAGTTACTTCGGGTTCGAGGATCCATTTCGTTAATAAGAAGATGTCTGTGTACACCAGCACAAGATAGTAAAACGCAGGCTCAGGCAACTGTTGAGTCACTATCTTCAAGATATAAGCCTACAGAGTTTCAAAAATTTCTTCTTGTCTGGACCAAAAAATATAAGAGCAAGGCAGACATCCCTAAATACGTAACGTATGTCTCATGCAGTTTACCACTTTGTAATTTAATATGAAACAATTCAAAGTAAAATAATTGTATTTTCCTAATTTGTTTTAATATTGGTGTTAATGATTACAGCTCTGATGTTATTGATAGATCCAGGAGTCAAGCTAGAATAAAGTTGTCTAATATCTTAATGGCACTTACTGCTCTTGGAAGTGTTTTTGCTATTTGGTCTGGCAAAAATGCAGCAAAAAGAGGAGAATCTGTTCATCAAATGAATTTAGATTGGCATAAACAGTACCAGGAGGAGTTTAAAAAGAACCAAGAACAAGCACAAGCAAAGTGATGACAGTATAAATATTGCATAGATAGTTGAACACCCTAATCAAACGCTTATTATTTTTGAAATCTAGATATATATAACATAAAAGATATATTTTTCTGACATTATAATTTATACCACATGCAATATTTTTAAAGATATTACTTTGAGTGGATAAGGATAGTATATAATAAAGATGTTTAGGAAATGTGTATATTGTTTTTTGTTGTGTTACTGATAACTTAATAATTATAAAGAAAATCTACATACAAAATTATAAAACTGTATAAGTGATCTGATTTGCTGTTCAAAGTGAAAAACCAAAATAGGTTAACAGTATATTGATAGATATATTTCTACGATTCTATAAATAATCTAGATATTTACATTCAACCAATTCATATATTTATTTCAGTCTTGTTTAGTAACTAGGCTTAAAATAGTTCCTACATTTTTCTGTAAATAACTTAGTTGTCTTTTCCTTAATTATTTCCTCAACACTCAGCTCAGTTTGTAGAAGTCGTAACTGAAATAAATGCAACAATTAAAGAAACAACAGTATACAAGGAAATAATATGCCAATAATAGAATGAAGAAATGTTTTTAAGGAAATACAATACTCAAATGAAGGCAAAGATACAGTGATGTTTTAGTATACAGTGTTAAGGCTAAATAATTTGCAAGTCAAGAAATGCAGGTGATAATTTTTATCGTGTTTCATAAAAGGTTAAGCTTCTACAACTAATTTTGTTTTCAATACTCTTAACTATAGCTTTATGTTACTTAAAACAGTTTATATCATCATACCTTTCTTTGTTCTGCTTTTATATTTCTTAGCAAATCAATATCATCTGGCTTTTGTTCCTTTGCAGTTTTTAAATTTTTTACTGTATCTGCAGATGAAATGATGCAATTTTTTATCACTTTTTCCCTCTCACTATGACCTTTTTGAATTTGCTCATAGAGGTCTTGACAAGCCGAAGTGGCATCTATTTTAGTTTGAAAAGACTCCGTCGGTAATGATGTATTTAACGCATATACAATTTTATCGTCAAGTATACGCATCTTTTTTATAATATCCTGCAATAATAAAAATGATTTGGAGAACTAAAACTTAAAGCAAAGGTTTGTTTGTCTACACAGTTACCTGAATACAAACCTGAAATTCTAGAAAATCTGGGCAAATCATGATAACAATCTATACACAAATAATGTTGCCTAAAGTTAGAGATTTTGTGTAAATATTGTAATTTTCACTTTGTTCTCAGATATTTTGGACTTCCAGGTTATGTTTAATAATGTAAGGTTAGTCGTTAGGCTGCTTGGTAATACCCTAAAACCAGTAATTATTTTATATCTGTATTGGATGATTCTTTAGTGCCTTATCTGTGTATTGAGAATTCTACAACAGCTAGAATTATATAAAATTTAGGATCGTCATGTTTCAGTTAAAAATATTTATCTAATTATATATTTCGCAGTAAAGTAGTTAAATCAGAAAGTTAAGTGAATCTCTAGACATTTAATTAAATATCGATATTCGATCAACTCGCTAAAGTTCCACAGACAAGTGACTGAACGAAACGTTTAACGAGTTCCCTTACGTTCCTAGACAACAAGACGCATTTCAACTTAGGTAGGGGACCAAGATATTTAATTGAAAAAAAATATATATTTATATATTTTCCTATATATGTTGTCGTTTAATATTTCATTATTTAGGAAAATTAATAGCCAATATTTTTTTTTGTTACATGTTTCTTTATTAAAAAAATAGAACCTGCTCTGCTGCAGATATTTGGTACATTTGTTTAGTTCGTTTTACCTTTATTAATGGCATGTTAAGTATTATTGCACAACCTAAGTATAAACTAGATACTAGCTAGAACCTATTCCACAAAAATTTTATGGGCGAAACAAGTCATACAAAAACGAACTATAAAATATATTCAACAACAAAATTAAAATCAACGATACAAATGAAAAATATGCTTTACAATTTCGGTGTGATCGTGAGAGCTTGGAAATTCCGTGTTTTGTTTTTATTGTAAATGGTTAGGTTAGTAATAATTTTGATATTGTGTTAATAAGCATATTTTTCATTTGTATCGTTGATTTTAATTTTGTTGTTGAAGATATTTTATAGTTCCTTTTTGTATGCCATGTCTCGCCCATGCAATGTTTGTGGACGTGGACAAGACGCTTGAAATGCGTCTTGTTGTCTAGGAACGTTTAGGAAACTCGTAAAACGTTTCGTTCAGTCACTTGTCTGACGGAACTTTAACGAATTGATTGAATATCGATATTTAATTAAATGTCTAGAGATTCAATTAACTCCCTGATTTAACTACTTTACTGCGACAGATACACGACATAGAAACGCTACGCCTTTTTTTTTTTTTTTTACATATTGGCCCGCACGGTTTGTGCATTGTGGCCCAGGGTCAAAAACAGGGAAACGGGTAAAAACATAAAATTATCGTCTGGAAAGGAATTTAGGAATAGAAAATAATGAATCTATAAAATAAAAGATCAATTCTTATAAATCTACATAAAAAAAGAGTGTAAGAAAACATATTTACATATAATTACGTTCATATTGTCTAAATTTTTATATTATTACTTAAGATAAAAGCAGCTAAAAGTTTATATACATGTGGGTCCAATGTAGAAAGTAAACATGATATGGATGAAGGGAAAGGAATTGGAAGGGAAATGAGACCTTCGAGAAGAGCCGACCGGTCGCGTCGAGGACAAACAAATATGATGTGATTTAAATCACCTACATCATATCCGCAATCGCACGTAGGGCTCTCATTAATATTTAACTTAGTAAGATGAGCTGGGGTGCAGACGTGTCCCAGTCGCATACGAGACAGTACTGTTGTAACTTTTTTACCGAATCTCAGTCTCCAAAACCAGGGCTTACTGGGTATAGAAGGTTGAATAGTACGATAATGGCGACCTTTTGAACTATCTTGAGCCCAGGATTCAGTCCAGGAATTCCTGAGATAAATCCCTGAAAGAGACATCAAGTCATGCGCATAGTTTCTAAAAATGTCTACATCTCCACTCTCCACCGCCTCATTGGCTAAACGATCGGCTTTCTCGTTTCCAGATATTCCACAGTGACCAGGAACCCATGCAAACGATACGTAATAGTTTTCTTTTATACATTTTAATAGCAGGTTTCTAATTTCGGAAATGACAGGGAATTGATAATGTGATCCAAATGGGAACCGGGCTAAGGCATTCAAAGAACTCAGTGAATCTGTAAAAATTACAGTTTTTTGAAGTTTTAGTAGAAGGATGTATTCTATGGCTTTAACAAGGCCAATACATTCGCCAGTGAACACGGAGGATTCAGGAGGGAGTTTAGTTTTTTGAACAATATTGTAATTAGAGTGCAGTACACCAACACCTACACAGCTATCTTTGGAATGCTTAGATGCATCTGTAAATATTCGATGCCATTGTGGCCACTTGGTGTCAACAATATAGTTAAATGTTAACTTTTGGTTTTGCTCAATTTTCACAAGACCTGTGCTAGTATGTGTATCAGGAGAGATTACAAGGGAATCATAACTATATTTGAACAATGGATTAGAAGTCGCTTGGTGAGTAGGAGCCTCAAAATAAGTAAATCTTCTGTAACTTTCAACCAAACATGGTGGGCGTTTGTTTTTCCAATAACTACAATTGGGGATTAAAGATGCCAGGCAAGTCAGTTTAGGTGTTAGGATATGGTTACTGAATTGGATACAACGGAATAGGAATTTATCTGACAGAAATTGCCGTCGTAAGCTTAATGGAGGCTCTATACACTCGACTCTCATACAGTTGATTGGACTTGACTTCATAGCTCCTAGGACTATTCTCATTGCTTTAGCCTGAATACTATCCATTTTTTTAAAACCAGAAATATTTCCTGGTTCCAACAGAAAAGTACCGTAATCCATTACACTTCTGATTATGGCGTTGTAAATCAATTTTAAGGAGTGTGAATGCGCTCCCCACCAGATGCCCGATAAGCATCTAAGAATATTCAAATTACGTTCACATCTTGCAGTTACATATTCACAATGGGGTACACCGGTAAGCTTGGAATCTAGAACTACTCCTAAGAATTTGACGTCATTAGTCGAGGGAATCAAAACACTATTGAACTTTACATGGACCGGGGGAGGCCTACGCATTCTGGAAAACAACACAACCCTACTCTTGGATACAGATAAGTCTAAACCATTCGAATTAAGCCATGATTTTAAAAATGAAAGGGAAGATGTTAGAGCTTGGCAATTATTTTCAATCGATTTTCCTGATTTGTATATAAGAAGATCATCTGCATATTGTAATACGTTTGCTGATGCCTGCAATGATGTTTCTAAATCATATGTGTAGATGTTGTAGAGCAAGGGACTGAGCACAGAACCCTGTGGTAATCCTTTCCACACAGTCCGGGATAGTTTGACATCTTCGATAAATAAATTAATGTATCTTTCTCTGAGCATATTGATAATAAAGTTTGACAGAATCGGTGGTACATCTAAGCAAAGCAATTTTCCCCTAAGAACCGATATAAGAACATTGTCATAAGCTGAGCTTATATCTAAGAAAGTAGCTTCTATCGACTCGTTGTTTGAAAAAGCTAATCTTATGTCCGTAGTGAATATACCTAAGCTATCCATTGTGCTTCTACTTTTCCTAAAACCGAATTGTGACGTTGCTAATAAATTTTTACTCTCTAAAAACCATTCTAAACGGATTTTAACTAGGTGTTCTGCTGTTTTCATTAAAACAGAAGAAAGGACAATAGGTCTGTAAGAAGAAGGATCATCGGCTGGTTTATTGTCTTTTAAAATAGGGATAATAGATTGAGTGATCCAAGACTTGGGAATGCACCCAGAAATCATAATAGAATTTATAATATTTAAGTACAGCATCAGCACACGGTCCGAAAGGTTTTTCAAAAAAGAATATGGAATCCCATCATCTCCTGGAGTAGAATCTTTTACGTTATTGAGTACACCTTTAAGTTCGATCAAAGAGAATGGAGCATTTAATCCAGTTTGGTCATCGGAAATGTAAGCAGGAATAGATAATGGAGGAAATGCCTGTTCCGGTACAGAAGGGGGTGCAAGATGATCCATGAATTGATCAGCTAGGGTTAGCGGTAATTTAGAAGAGGGAGAATTATTATATGCAGATCTAAATCTACGAATATTGCGCCAGACCTCTGACGGGCTGACGTCTGGGCTAATGGAGGCACAAAATGATTGCCAACCATCATATCTCTTTTTCTTAAACAATTTTTTAGCACTACGGGCAGATTCTAAATATAACTCGAAATTTTCTTCTGACATCTCCTCACAGTAATTTTTTTCAGCCTGTTTTCTTGTTTTTATTGCAGCTGTACATTCATGATCCCACCAGGGAGGCGAAGGAATTTGCGATCGGAACTTAGTTTTAGTGCAAAAAGATTCATCGGCAGCTTCAATCAAAACCTGAGAAAGAATTTCGGCAGACATCTGATCACCTTCTTGAGAATAAATACTAGTTTTCTGCTCTACTCGTTGGTTGAATAATTCCCAATCAGCGTTGTTTAATCTGTATTTAAAACGAGGAGAGCGAGTGGTTTTGGTAGGTTTGTGTGAAGGAAAAGTAATTACAAGTGGAAAGTGGTCACGAAGATGCAAGAGGGTGCCAATCTAAAGTTGAAGCTAAATCAGGTGAACATAAAGATAGATCAGGCGCACTTGCACCTTCACTTGGACCAGTAACACGGGTTGGCAGCCCAGTGTTTAAAATACAGATACAATGAGAATCTATAATATCTAATAATTGATCTCCATAATAGTTGGAAGAAGTGCTTCCCCAGGATTGATGTTGGCAATTAAAATCACCTAGGACTAAGAATGGCCTTGGAAGGATGGAAAACAGTTGATTAAGATGAGAAAAAATATTTACATTAGGACGAGAAAAATAAATAGACACTATACAAATTTTATTTACAATAGCAGCAATGACTGATAAGTCATCTCCGAATGAGGGAAGTGGAAATAAGGAATAGGGGAGATTATTTTTAATGACTATGGCAACACCGCCATAGCCGTCAGGTCTGTCCTGTCGGAGAATAACATAACCTGGAATTCGAAAAGTCAATTCCGGGCGAAGCCATGTTTCCGACAGAGTTGAGACAAATGGTTCAAATTTATTATGCAAATGGATTAAATCATTTTTATTGCAGATAGCGCTTCTGCAATTCCACTGGATTATTTGTTCGCGTTCGTGACGCATAAGAGGATTTTAATTGAGTTAAGGAAGCAATCGTTTGGCGGCGTTGTTCGGTTACGTTGTTGTCAGAGTTAGAATTGGATTTAATTTCAGTCAAAAGTTGGATTAAATCAGAGATTATGTCATTATTGTTAACGTTACTGTTTATTAAAGCGACCCCGTTAGAAGGAGCTGGAGCGTCGTAGTCCTTTATCAAATTGAAGTGTTCTGTTTTGTTATACCCCAGTCGTTTTAGTTTGGGGGATGTTGGTTTAGCAAATATTGTTTTCTTATAAGATCTACTATACGACGGAATCGAGGGAGAGGAAGGCGATACATGTGGGACAGGAGAATTAGGAGTATTCTGGATGTTTGAAAACTTAACTATAGCTTAATCAGCAAAAGATTTAGAAACTGGATCATACACTTTATTTGCTTCTGCATAAGATACACATCTCTGATCCATATACAATTTAATTTTAGTCTGCCGTTCATATTCTGGACACTTTCTGTTTGTAGCAAAGTGTAGACCAGAACATAGGCAGCAAGTCGCGGCATCATCTTGTATGTTGCATGTGTCCCCAGTATGGTCTTGGCCACACTTGTAACAGCGGGGCCGAGAGTTACAATTAGACTTAGTATGACCAAATCGGCAACAAGAATAGCACTGAATAGTGGGGTATGCGTAAAGTTCCACGGGCAGGGCATTGTAGCAGACAAATACATGTTTAGGAAGGGTTTGACCATCGAAAGTTATTACAATAGTCTGTGATGGCTTCCACTCAGGAGGGCTGCTGTTACGTACTTTATAATTAAGTCGTCTAATTTTTATAATTCCTCCGCTGCCTACAGGCAGAGAGATGTTGTCTAATATCTCTTCGGGAGACCATTCCGCGGGAACGCCTCGCACCAGGCCCATTCGGGTCACATTAAATGAGGGAATAAAAGCTTTGTAATTATTTCTTGCCAGGCAAGGGTTATTAATAAATTCGTTTGCACATTTGTGGTCAGAGAATGATAGGGAAATTCTGTTTCTGCCTATCCTTTTGATGCTACCATTAATTATGTTTTTAAAAGAATTTTTCTTGAGGAAATAACCAAATTGGACGGGATGAAGAGAGGGGATGTCCGTATCTGAAGAAACTTTTTGTGCATGAACTACGAATGGCCCTATGTCATAGGCCTCATAAGACGTTCGGCCTGTAGGATTTTTTATGGACTGAGAAACGTCTGATGGAGGTGATGGGTGCTGTTGGGTATTAACAGTTGCAGTATCTACACGGTCTACTTTGTTCTGAAAACTATCTAGAGCATTAGCGTTCTTAAGCCCAGTACATATTGAGGGAATTTCAATTTCAGGTATTTGACACGAGCAATCAGTGTCCTTTTGTTTGTTCCGACGCGTCGGATCGAATCTTTTTTTCCTTTTGTTGCAGTGTTTGCAGATTTTACCTACTCGCATTCTTTTTCGGTCATTCCGTTGATCCACATCTGTATCTACACTGGACTCGTCCAGTTTAGAAAATCTATTTTCTATTATAATATTACAAGCTACCTCGGGGGCGAGCCCCCGGTATCCGGGGGCTCGTCCATTTTTTCGCCTGACTCCAGGCCTTGAGGAAAAAGTATACAAACTTACCAGATACTGTAGAATATATACACAAATGAATAAACAAAACTATTAAATTAAACTACTACATACAAATATATACAAACTGATCTTTTATACAAGAATTAAATTTAAAAATTTCACAAGCAAAAAAACCCCCGCCACGACCAACGTTTCCCGCGCTTTTTTTCACGCTACGCCTTATATATTCCCAGTATATAATATTAATTCTCTATGCGCTACGCTGTATTTCAAAGATAGGCTTTTGAATATCGAATGACAATTTTTATCTGTCAATAATCCGAACGTAGAATTTCTATTGTCACTGTCACTCCAAACTCAAAAGTCAAAACAACAGACTACAGTTTCGACTTTCGAGTATCGTTTCTCTCTTTCTTTCGTCACAGAAGTCAGAATGAAGTACGTTTGGTTTACAATATTATATTCATTTTTATTATTTTAATCGTGATAATAATATTAACTTAGTTTTGAATTTAAATTAGTGATTTGTGCTAGATATATCATGAGTGATTTATTTTCAGGATCGGCCTTTGCGCTTACAGTGGTTACAAGATTTACCCTGGCCATGGAAAAACCATGGTTAAGGTGGATGGCAAGGTAGGAATATATTTAAAGTATTAACCCACTTTTGTTATTAGGTTTATCAGTATATTACCAGTATTATGACGGTTTTGATGTAATGTTTTATGTTAGCATATTTGCTATCTTTGAAGATAGATTGTGGCTTACTCGTTCCCTCTTATTATTTTAAAGAGTTCTCTCTGGTTTCTGCAATATATTACTTGTATGTTAAGTGATATATAAAAAATAAATATTTTAACCTTATTTTTTTTAGTCTTTCACATTCCTGAACTCAAAATGTGAAGCTGCACATCTTATGAGGAGGAATCCTCGTAAAGTGACATGGACTGTCCTGTACAGGTAATGTTCATATACAATTATATCAGCTTAAGCGGTTGTTATCTAGATTATACTGCAATAATGGAATATATCACTATGTTGGAAATCATCAGAAGATTGAATTAAAACCTTATTAAATTAATATGTATGCTTTCTCTCTGTGTATGAAACAAAATTCAATAGATCAACAATCTTTTAGCACCAAAATTGTTTGGTTCATTAGACCAACATGTGTCCATGAATTTTTGTATTTCATATGAGATGTTCCTTCTTTTAAAAACTTTCATCCTATCTTGCTTATGAAACAGCTGGAGATTGCTTGAGATCTTTGCAAACAATAGGTATCATCCAAACGAAGCAAGCTATAAAAGCTGTTTTGTGTAGTTAAAATTAATAACCACAAGCTACCCTGGGTTTAGAAGAGTTAGGTTCTGTGAATAAACTTTTTTGAGCGAAGTACTTGTATCGCCTATGTGCGTCAATATTTTATATGAAATGTTTTCGTGGTATATAATTCACAACCTACCTGTGAAAAAGTTTATTAAAATTCATCCATATTAGGTACATTATTTGTACAATTTATTCAAATTTTATGATGACAACATGTGACAATGTCTTAAATACTCTTCATTAAAAAGAAAGCAATGGTGTTGAATATAGTAACCAGCTCATTTTAAACTACTATGCAGTCCATCCCAACAGCTAAGTATCATTATTTCTTATAATTTGTTTTAGGCGTAAGTTCAAGAAGGGTCAAGAAGAGGAACAGGCCAAGAAGCGCACACGTAGAACCCAGAAGTTCCAAAGGGCTATTGTTGGTGCATCACTTAGTGACATCATGGCCAAGAGGAACATGAAACCAGAAGTGAGAAAAGCACAGAGGGAGCAAGCTATTAAGTAAGTATAAGTTTACGATACTAGTGAGAGGATGATATCATACTAATGTGACTACCTGTGACAATATCAAAATGGGGTTTATAAAAAGCTCGAAATTATTCTGACTTACTTTATAAGTGACCCCTTATGTTAGGCAGTACTTTATTTACTTCAATAACAAATATCAGAAAATGCTATAAAGTTAATCAACCTTGTTATTAATATTCTTTAAATCAACCTTATTATTAATATTCTTTAATTGTTTTTTCAGGGCTGCAAAGGAAGCCAAAAAGTCTACAAAGGCCGCCAAGAAAACAACTGCACCGCCAACAAAAGCAAAAGCACCTCCTAAGGCTAAGGCGGCTAAGGTCTCACAAAAACCAACCACACGTATTGGGGGAAAACGATAAAAATAAAATACATTTTTAAGGATTCATTTGTTTTGTTTTTCAATTCCCTGTAAATATAACTTAAATATATTTAAGTTGTAGTGAACATTCATAGATTTTCAGTTTTTACAAGGCATAAACTTGTTAATAGAATAACAAAATGTGCACATGAAAAGAATATTCTCTAATTTTGTCCACTTAAAATATTATGTAATTAATAATTATATTTGGATTATTTTGAATACTCCGTTCTAATTAAGATTCTGTGAACTAGTTTAGATCTTTGCACATATATTAATGTAACTATTATCTCTGAAGTTAATCTTACGCGGATTATTAAGTATACAGTAGTAGCAAAAGCTGATGCATGGGTCTAAGAATAAAAAGCAATTATCTAATTTATTTCTTTACATTACATTTTTTAACAATCTTGATAGACTTGCTTGATCTATATGTTTAAGTTGTGCCACTATATAACACACAAGCTGTGCCTCAGGCTCCTTAGTTTGAAGTGAGATGTCACAGCCCTCTGTGATTCAAAACAAACTAATGAAAAATCAGTAGTTTGAGAGATAAGTGCTTTAAACCAAAGGAACCAACTCTTGCTGAATATTAGCATTGATTTCACCAAACTATGCCAATCCTTGAAAAAATGGTTAGAAATAAGAATATGATCTTTTACAGGAACTAATAAAAAGCTGTTAGTATGTTATATAATTTAATTTTTTTTTTCTTAGCCACCGAGAAACAATTACTATATATATTATGTTTCAGTTACATAATATTGTACATTCAGTAGTGTACTAGAATTAATAACATATTCATTTTGATCTTTCGAAAACTACATTGAGTAAAAATAGTAGCATTTATATTTAAACATTCTTTGCTAGGGTTTCCGCCTTGGCCACAACTTCTTCAATAGGACCAACCATATAGAAGGCAACTTCTGGAAGGTGGTCATAGTCTCCTTGCAGGATCTTTGAGAATCCTTTAATGGTTTCTTCCAGTGGCACCAGTTTACCTGGGTGACCAGTGAAAACTTCAGCTACTTGGAAAGGTTGAGAGAGGAACCTTTGGATTTTACGCGCACGTGACACGGTCAGCTTGTCTTCTTCAGATAATTCATCCATACCCAAGATAGCAATAATATCCTGGAGAGACTTGTAGTCTTGTAGAATTTTCTGAACGCCACGAGCGACGTTATAGTGCTCTTCACCAATAATATTGGGATCCATGATACGGGAAGTGGAGTCAAGAGGGTCCACAGCAGGGTAAATACCGAGCTCAGCAATAGCACGGGACAGCACAGTAGTTGCATCCAAGTGAGCGAAGGTTGTGGCTGGAGCAGGGTCAGTCAAGTCATCAGCTGGCACATAAATGGCTTGCACAGATGTAATAGAACCCTTCTTTGTAGTAGTAATACGTTCCTGCATAGTACCCATGTCAGTAGCAAGAGTAGGCTGGTAACCTACAGCTGATGGAATACGACCCAAAAGAGCAGATACTTCAGAACCAGCCTGTGTGAAACGGAAAATGTTGTCAATAAAAAGTAATACATCCTGACCCTCTTCGTCCCTGAAGTATTCAGCCACAGTCAGACCAGTCAAGGCTACACGGGCACGAGCACCAGGGGGCTCGTTCATCTGACCATACACAAGAGCTACTTTGGAGGTCTTGTCTTTAAGTGAAATTACTCCAGACTCAATCATTTCATGGTATAAGTCATTACCTTCACGAGTACGCTCTCCAACTCCAGCAAATACAGAGTAACCACCATGAGCCTTAGCTACATTGTTGATCAGCTCCATAATGAGTACTGTCTTGCCTACACCAGCACCCCCAAACAAACCAATCTTTCCTCCCTTGGCATATGGGGCCAATAAGTCTACAACTTTGATTCCTGTGACCAGAATCTCCTGTTCCACAGACATATCTACAAACGCTGGAGCTTCAGCGTGGATTGCGGCCCTTTTGTCGGTTGGGATTGGACCGCGTTCGTCGATGGGCTCACCAATGACGTTCATAATCCGACCTAGAGTTTCTACTCCCACTGGGATACGAATAGGAGATCCAGAGTCGAGAACTGGCTGACCGCGAACCAAACCTTCGGTACCGTCCATAGCGATGGTACGCACGACGTTCTCTCCCAAGTGTTGCGCCACTTCAAGGACGAGCCTTGGCGAACGGTTCTGTACTTCCAGGGCATTGAGGATGGATGGAAGATTGTCTTCAAACTGTACGTCTACGACGGCACCGATGACTGCAACTATCTTACCCTGTACTTTTTCCGCAGCAGCTTTAGCAGCATAGTCACGTTTATTCGCAAGTGCTCCAGCAACGAGTGGTGTCTTCTCGGCAATGGCATTTGATACTACCGTCTTCGTAGTCAATAGACCAACTCTACCGACGGTAGAAAACATTTTCGTTGTCGTTTTTCTATTACTTTGTAGGAATGTAGCAGTACTTTACAGTACTTTAGAATTCCACTTTCAAAAGTCCGGTGCCCTGCGGAGTTTACGTAAGAGTAATTGACAATAGAGTAGAATTAAAGTGAGCAGAGATAATTTTATTCTCCCCTAATCTTTGCCAGTACCAAATACTTTTTAGTTTGATCAGTTAAATTTATAACAATTACGAATATGGGACAACAATATAAAAAAAATGTATTAAGACCAATTAGAATGTTTTTTTTTTAATTGGACATACAATTATTTTTTTTAGTAAATCAAGTGAGGCCCATTATGGATCATGTAAAAGATAATAAGAGTACGGATTTTAGAATCCTTTGCGTGATTGTGTTGATATTTTGTCTATTCTAGGCTTCCTAGACAGAAGTAAAGAGATGGATTAACGACGTTGATTCAAAGTTAATAGGTTTAACATTAGGATTAACATCTACTGTCTACTTAAATGAAGTTGACAGAAATAGAATACTTTGAGCATAGAATTTAGAAATAATGTAATTTTATGATATTTACACATCAAACCTTGCGTCATGGCTGATGCACCAACCGTGTAGGCCAAAAAAGAGAAAAAAAAACTTTACGTCAAAGTCAAACTCCAATGACCAACCTCAAAATACGCCTTAGTTTTTTCAGTTCGCACTTCGCAGTTCGCACTTCTCCAGTGACACAGAATACTATTACTTCAAGAGTTCGAGCGATTACGATTCACGTTTTGATTTGTACAACACTTCCTTATTTTACTATTAATATTTAGAAATCATTTAGTGACCAGTTTAAATCAAAATAGTTTATAAGTATTATTATTAAAATATGGAGTATATTGCTCCCGAAGATGAATCGCTGGCCACGGGGACACGAATGTAAGTATAAATTTGTTGCAGTTGCGAGGTTATAATATTTAGAGAATGCCTGTAATTTCGATTATTTATTTTAGATTGTGCTGTCAATGTGCTGTACCTATAGAAGCAAATCCCTCCAACATGTGTGTGGCTTGCTTAAGGGCTCATATAGATATTACAGAAGGCGTTCCTAAGCAGGCTACTCTCTTCTTCTGTCGCGGATGTGAAAGGTTGGTTGGTATAAGAAATAGTTTATATGTATGAATAAAACTATTCGAAAGTCGTTGCAGTTTTTTCAATTTGATTTTTTTCTACAGATATCTTCAGCCACCAGCTGAATGGGTTGTTTGTGCATTGGAATCTAGAGAACTTTTAGCTCTGTGCCTTAAAAGACTCAAAGGTCTTAATAGAGTAAAATTAGTGGATGCTGGCTTTGCTTGGACTGAGCCACATTCCAAACGAATAAAGGTATTTATTATGCTGAAGATCTCTAATTTTATTCTAATCTATTGAAAGTGACAGGATACATTCTTATTACATGTTGTAAAAACTTTCAAACTGTAAGGCAGGGATAATGACACATAGAAAGAAGATAGATCTGGTGACTAGGGACCACTCTCCAGGCTCTTTACACTAATTAATATATATTGTGACAATGACATTTTAATAATATAATTTTAGGTTAAGTTGACTGTACAAGGAGAAGTGATGGGTGGTGCTGTATTGCAGCAGACATTTATAGTAGAGTATGTAGTACAGCATCAAATGTGTGATGCTTGCCACCGCTCAGAGGCACAAGACTACTGGCGCGCCCTGGTACAGGTCAGACAAAGGGCAAACAACAGAAAAACATTCTACTACCTTGAACAATTGATTTTAAAGCACAAAGCGCATGCTAATACACTTGGAATAAAACCAAAACATGGTATGTAATTTTGAATAAGGATTACTTCCTGTAAACTTTCCTTCAATTACTACAATAATTTGTTTTTGTTTCTTTAGAAAGGAAGAAAAATATCAAGTATTCTGCACACATATTACAATTATTTAAATTTTTCCATTTTAATTACATAATAATAGTAACTAGTGAATAAAGTCAAAAAGTATTAAGAAATAATGTACAGTTTTATGTTATGGTGATTATTTTCAAATTGAGTTTATTGCACATTGAAATTAAATGTAACATGATATGATTTTCTATCAGCTTGGGTCAAATATAACTTAAGTTAAACAAAATAAAACTTTCAATTTCAGATGGTTTGGACTTTTTCTATGCATCAGAAAACCATGCACGTAAAATGGTTGATTTTATTCAATCAGTGCTCCCAATCAAATGTCAGCACTCAAAGAAATTGATATCTCATGACATTCACAGTAATGTCTACAACTACAAATTCACATTTAGTATTGAAATTGTTCCATTGTCAAAGGATAGTGTTGTCTGTCTTCCCAAGAAATTGACTCATCAGTTAGGTGCAATATCACCTATCTGCTTAGTGCAAAGAGTAACCAGCACAATACATCTTATTGATGCAAGTTCTGGGCAAGGTACGTCAATTGCAAGATATGTAGAACTAGCTGTGCCCTGCTTAAATTTATTTGTGCATGATTTTGTATAGGTTTATTGTTAAATACTATTCTCTCTGGTATTTCCTGAGATTAGTCTCTGCTTTGGAATATTAGTATTACACTTCATACAGTTTAATATTGCATTTTATCAGGCATTAGTGATATATCAGTTAATTTTATGATTACATAGATTTTCTATAGGAAGTGCATTTAACAGTGATTCTTTCCTATAAAATTATAATTTCTATATTGATACAGGTGTAATTAGTGTAGTTACAAAGAAAATATTATACCATGAGTTTAGTACTGGTTGAATTATGGTATCCATTAAATATAAGCCAGTGCCATGTTATTATTAATTCATGGTTATTATTTTTTTCAGTGAGTGACATATCATCAACTGTGTATTGGAGACATCCATTTACACCAATCTGCAATCCTAAACAACTTGTGGAGTATATTGTTATGGACATTGATATTTTAAAAGAACATGTAAGTTTTTATTCATTTATTAAAAGGCCGGCAACACACTTGCGAGCCTTCTGGCTATGTAAGTGTTCATGGGCACATGTATCACTTAACAACAGATGAGCTTCCAGCCCGTTTGCCTCTTGTTATATAAAAAAAATATTTAATAGGTTTGTTATTAAATCTTAATCTTGGAATGTACTGTGCTCAGTTCCCGGAGAAACAATAATTTTAATATACAATAATATATGACACAGATATCTGATTAAAAAGTAAATTTTTAAGAAACCATTGGTGTAAAGGACGGCTCATTGGTCTAGTAACCACTACCCCTGACTGCGAATCCATGGGTCCCGGGTTCGATCCCCGGCTGAGGCAAACATCGATGTGATGAGCATTTGGTGTTGTGCTTGTGCCTTGGGTGTTTAAATATGTATTTATATGTGTATCTATCTATAATATGTATGTATATCCATTGCCTAGTACCCATAACACAAGCTTCACCAGCTTAGCCAGGGACTAGGTCAAATGGTGTGAATTGTCGAATAAAAAAAATAAAAAAATGCCAAATGAAAAAAAAAAATTATAGGAAAAATCATTACAGTATTTGAGAGTTTGTGAACAAAATTCAATATCCTTGGGTTATGACATCACTTCTTTAGTGGATATAAATTAAAAAGTAAATTTAATATAGGAGAAGAAATCATTCCCTGGCCAAGGTGTGGTGTCAAATAAGCATGTAGTGGCTGATGTATGGGTGGTGAAAGCCAGCGAGTTAGGTCTTGATGTAAATCCTGTACACACTAGAACGCACTTGGGCCACATATTGAAGCCTGGGGATACTGTGCTAGGGTGAGTATTAAAAAAATTTAGTTAAATTTAAATTGTCTAATGATTTTGTTTCACATACAAGTATATATAAAAAGTAGATGCCTACAGAGTTATTATTTCGCCAATTTCTTTTTAATTTGAGATACATTAAAAAAGAGTTTAAACAATGAATGTGCACTAACCACTGGGTCATTGCAGTGCTTTTAATTTAGCTTATTTTTAGGTATAACTTGGGTGATTCCAATGTAAACGATGACAATTTCGATAAGTTAGACCGGAGTTCGATTCCTGATGTGTTTCTCGTGAAGAAATACTATGGCGAGCGGTCGGCGCGTAGGCGCGCGCGCAACTGGAAGCTCAAACATATGGCGGATGAATTACACGAGAGGAATAGCTCTTCTAACGAGTAAGTTTTTTTTTTAAATTGAGATACATTCAAATTTAATACAGTTTAAATATTTGTCTTAGTTGTTCATATGTTACCAAAAAGTTTTGGCAGAAAATTATTGTAAATTAATAAAATCTATATGTTTATTCACATAGTGTACATCACTTAGTAAAAAAAAAGGGTGCGTGTACTTATGTAAGAAGTTTACTTCTTTGGCATTATTAAAAATAGTTTTTGATTGCATGCAAATAATTAATTACAATTAAATAATCAAAGACTGGAAAAGGAGTCATTATAGTCAATAAAGTTCAGTTTACATTTGAAAAATTAAATAAATAAATATTTATTATTATTTTCTTACATTAAGTGAAACATAATTCTATTATTATTCGAATGTTGTTTTTAAATTATGTTCAATGCCGTAGCATCTTCCGTGGGCAACTTCATTCTGTTAATTTTGTGTCACACGGTGCGCGCGCATCGTAAAATTTCATAAAGAAGTAAAACTTCAAAAATACATTTACTACCAACCAGTTCTTGTAAATGTCGTGACAATCGTAATAGTGATCTTTTCAGAAATGTGTGGCCATTGAAAATGTTCATAATATTGCTAGTCATTAATGATGAAATCGTAAAATAGACGTAGTTACTTTTGACAGATAAAATGCTTAGACTAGGTCATTTTTTATGAATGTTACACTCAACATTTATATATACTAAATTGCTTTAAATAAATTATTAATATACCAGGGTTAACCTGGAAAATGCTTGCTTATTAATGCTTATGCTGCTTATTAATGAAAGAATACCCGTTGTATCTTTAAATGTGCCATTATTATGCTAATAATTGTTAATGATACTGACAAACAAAAACAGATAGAATATGTGTGATTATAAAAATAATTCTAAAATATCGATTATCATGTTTTTGATGGCTTCAACTTCAGAGGCAGCTGATAAACGGATAACAATGTAACTTTTAAAATGTCATAATTGGCACATTTCTGTTAAAGAATGTTTTTCTCTTACTAACGTAATCCTCAATTCGCGTGAGAGGGACAAAATACTTTTTTATTCGCTTTTGTGTTGCCATAAAGAAATAGGAGGTATAATGTGTTTGACTTATCACTTGGTGAAAATGTTAAACGAAATTCTGACCCATCCAACAATTGGTTTTGGCTTTTATTTCCAAATATGCTCACGATTCACTGTCCAGATTTTCCATACGTTCTAATTATTCAAAGATACTGCTCGTGCTCAGGGTAATATTTTAAATACAGAAATCATACTTAGCTAAGTCTTGACTGTGAACTTTAGCCTTATTGTGCGAACAAGAAGATTGCGTAATTACTTAGAAATTCTTACTATACTAACACTGCCATATAAATCAATGTCATAAATCTTGTAGTTATTAATTAAAATTTCAATTCCAGTGATTATAATGAGTTCCTTGATGACTTGGAAGAAGATCCGGCCTTCAGGCAGAATATAAATATTTTCAAGGATGCAAACAAAATCCCAGTGGACACGGACGAGATTGATCCCTCACTCCCGCGCATCACACTTGCTGAAATGCTCGATGATCTAGTCATTGAGGACGTTGATATGACAGAAGTGTGATATATATTACATTTCATTTTATATGTATTCCATTTAAAAAATAAAGGGTTATTTGTTATTTCGGTATTTTCAATAACTGGCTCGTGTATGCGCGACTATTTGGGTGGAAAATTTTCCCTTGTACATTTAGAACTTACAAAAATAACATAAAATATCTGCGTACAATAATAATTTTCCTTGCTATTGATAAAAAATAGGTTGACACAAGCAGCTGTTAGCGCCAAGTTGATTAAACTGCATTAAAAAAATTTCATTTTCCGTAGCAGTGAGAATCTCAAAATATTTAATAGAGGGTTATGAGACAATCTAATAAAGATATGTAATCCTAGTGGTTACCGCAGTAAGGTCGTGCGTTAGAAGCATGATTGTGCACCAATAGATTTTTATCTATGTGTACCAATTCTTAAAAGGCTGGCAGCGCGCTTGCGAGCCTTCTGGCAGTGCGAGTGTCTATGATCGGCGGTATAAAAAAAAACGATTTTTTCTATTACTCCTTGCATCAGTCATTCGGTTTTTTATTTTTTTTATGTAATAGGAGGCAAACGGGCAGGAGGCTCACCTGATGTTAAGTGATACCGCCGCCCATGGACACTCACAATGCCAGAAGGCTCGCAAGTGCGTTGCCGGCCTTTCAGGAATTGGTACGCTCTTTTCTTGAAGGACCCTAAGTCGAATTGGTTCGGAAATACTTCTGTGGGCAGCTGGTTCCACATAGTGGTGGTGCGCGGCAAAAACTGCCTTAGAAAACGCTCTGTTGTGGAACGACGGACGTCGAGGTGATACGGATGGTATTTTGTATTTTGCCTTGACGTCCGATGATGAAACTCAGCTGCAGGTATTAGACCGAACAACTCCTCTGAACACTCTCCATGGTAAATGCGGTAGAAGATGCAGAGAGATCCCACATCTCTACGCAACGCCAAGGGATCAAGCCGCACGGAAAGTGACTGGTCGTCGACGATTCGAACCGCTCTTCGTTGAATACGGTCAAGTGGAAGGAGCTGGTACTGGGGAGCTCCCGCCCAGAGGTGAGAGCAGTACTCCATATGGGGCCGAATTTGCGCTTTATATAGTTGCAAGCGGTGGCCCGGAGTGAAGTACCGTCTCGCCTTGCTGAGCACACCAAGCTTTTTGGAGGCTAATTTAGCCTTTCCTTCCAGATGACCGCGAAACTGAACGTTATTCGATATGTCAACGCCCAGTATTCCGATGCTAGCTGAGGCTTTAAGGAGAGTGTCTTCAAAGAGGGGAGTAGCGACAAAGGGAGTTTTTTTAGCGGAAAACGCGCATACTTGTGTCTTCTTGGGGTTAAATTGGACTAGATTTAGTCTACCCCAGTCCGAGACTCCACGTAGAAGAGTTTCGACTTCAGACACAAGTTTGTTCCGGTACTCATCGACAACAGCCCGAGAGATACCTGCCCGGCCAGTGTAAAAAGTATCCCCAGTGCTGTCGTCCGCATAGCAATGAATGTTGCTAAGCTGCAACATATCATCGATATGCAGAATAAACAGGGTCGGGGATAGGACACAGCCTTGTGGGACACCAGCATTCACAGGTTTCAGGTCGGAGCATGCTCCGTCGATGACGACTTTGATGCTCCGATCAGCGAGAAAGCTGGAAATCCAGTTGCATAATTTCTCAGGGAGCCCATAGGCTGGAAGCTTCGAGAGCAATGCTCTGTGCCACACCCGATTGAAGGCTTTCGCTATGTCCAAACTTACCGCCAGCGCCTCCCCTTGGACTCAATTGCCTCTGCCCACCTATGTGTAAGGTATACAAGGAGGTCACCAGCCGAGCGACCACGACGGAAGCCGTACTGAGAATCGCTAATCAGCTGGTGGCCCTCTAGATACCTCAAGAGCTGGCTAATAATGGTTTCCATTATTTTGGAGAACAAGGAGGTTATAGCTATTGGGCGATAGTTGGACGGATCAGAGCGATCGCCTTTTTTAGGGATCGGATGTATCGAAGCGATCTTCCAGCACTTCGGAACAGTGCCGAGCGTGTAAAGGTACCGGAAAAGGCGCGTTAGGACCGGAGCCAACTCAGGAGCACAAGTACGCAGCACAATTGGAGGGATGCCATCAGGCCCGCTCGACTTATGGATGTCCAAGGAAGACAAAGCTTTACGGATAGCACGTTGCCGGAATATAACTTCGGGCATCGTAGTATCACACCGCAATAATGTCGGTGGTTCCTTCCCTTGATCATCCAAAGTGGAGTTCGACGCAAAGAGACAGCCTAGAAGATCGGCCTTCTCTTTCGCGGTATGGGCAAGTGAGTCATCCTCCCTATGCAGTGGTGGAATTGAGGGCTGACAGAAATTCCCTTGGACAGCTTTGGCAAGAGACCAGAAGGCTCGAGTTCCCGAAGGGAGGTGGGCCAATTTCTCACCAAATCTGGCAATGTGCTCTGACTTTGCTTTAGCGATTTCTCGCTTGAAGGACCTGGAGGCTGAATTGTATGCTTTTTTACGTTCGCCGATAGTCACATCACAGGATGTCACCGCTTCTGCCCAGGCTTTAAAGCATTCACGCTTACGGCGCAAAGCCGCTTTGCAGGAACGCCTAAACCAAGGCTGGGACTTGCCACCGACCGGCACCGCAGAGAATGGAATAAAGAGTTCCATACCCTGCAGGACCACCTCGGCGACAGAGTCAGCGACGGCATCTGGAGTACTCGACGAAAAGCAAATGGGCCCCCAAGGGTAGGACGCAAAAAAGACCGCATCCCATCCCAATCTGCTGACTTATAGTGCCACACGCGGCGACAGCCCGTGAAGCTAGGCCGAAGAGGGCGCGTGAACGGCACAATGCTCCGGACCACACAATGATCTGATGAACCCAATGGCGGTTCAACAGAGACTTGGTAGTTCTCCGGATGTGAAGTCAGCAGAAGGTCCAACAAAGAGGGTTTATGACCATCCACATCTGGTATTCGCGTAATCGCAGGGACCATTTGCGTCAAGTCATAAGCCAAAGCAAAGTCGTGAAAGGATCTTCCCGCATGATCGGTGGTTTCTGAGCCGAGCCAATCGGCATGGTGGGCGTTAAAATCGCCAAGTATCACGATTTCAGCGGTAGGAACCCTTTCGAGCAGGGAATCTGTAGCCATTTGGATGTGCTCAATGAGTCGGTCAGTTTCGGTATTTCCGCTATGGGACCTATACAGGCATGCATAGAATCGCGGATGGTCATCGCAGTCTACGCGCAGCCAGAGGTTAGATAGGTCCCTTCCTTCAAGCGTCCCGAGGCGACGAGAACAGATATCCTCTCTGACGTACACGCAAACTCCCGCCCGCGGCACAAATGAATGTTCCAATTTGTACCCCGGGTAGGAGAGGTAGGAAGTATCAGCCGGGGAGGAAATCTGAGTCTCTCTCACCGCACGAAACGCGAGTACAATAAGGTGAACTTATTGCATCACTTCACGCCGGTTTTCTGAGAGACAGTGGTACTGCCCCGGTCGTGCCTGCCCATTTGGCTGAAGCCCGAAGGCAACAGCATGGCACTCCCACTAGGAAAAAGTACTCCCACTAGGGTTTTGGTTATTCATTTATTTATTAAATTAAGAAAGAAAATAATTAGTTTTTCTTTTCTTCTTTTAATTATAATAAGTTAAAATAAATAAAAAAGTTTTTTTTAATCTCTTGTTTGTTATCTTTGGTGTCGATTTATTACTGTTTTGACTTTATTCTAATTCTGTTTTATATGCAGATGCAGTGATAATAGCAATTTTACTCTTCTCCGAATTTGTCTTGGTCTTTTTCCGGCTATTCGTGGATACGGCATTAACTGTTTCGGACCAACCAGATGGAATGATGACTTATCCAAATTAAATCAAAATCAAACAAGAACAAATCACCGGGTAAGATGGGGTACCAATCCCGTTTTGCCCGCAAGCAGGTACCCCATGTTTCCCAAACTGGACTTATGAATAATTGTATTAAATTTGTTGAGGTTATGAATCGAAGCAAGCCACAACGAATTAATGAGTTTAGAATAGTAAAATAAAGAAACATCAATAAAAAAATATGTCACACGTTTTACATATCATATGCTATGAACAGTCACGCACTTTATATGCGTCAATAATTAGATAATACCACTTAAAATACAAAAAACATACTTACCAAGTCAAGGGCGGATCCAGCTTTGGTGCCAGGAGGGGGTCACATAGTCGTGGTCAAGTCAAGAACTTATAATTTAATTTTGATAACAATAGATACAAGTAAAAAGTAGGTATTTTATTAATGTACGTAAGTATTGCACTTATCAATATTTATTCTTTATTGTACACTTGAAAAACTTAACACATAATATTGTGTACATACAGGTTGGTCCAACTAGTGACATCAATAATTTTTCAAAATCTCAGCTTCCTAAAATTAGTTAAAGCTACTCAAAAAAGGTTTTAAAGTTAGAAGTTTAGTTTTTAGCTGGATTTGTTCAAACATTTGACTTCAATTTAAAAATACAAAAAGAAGTTTCCATAGCTTCTGGCTAAGTTTAGAAACTCCGCAGGGTTCTAAGCTACCAAAATCATAGAAAATTATAATACTAGCTGATCCGGCAAACGTCGTTTTGCCATGTATGATAAAAAATAGGGGTTGATCGTAGAGGGGTGAAAATTGGGGGTTGTATGTATTTTTTAATGTTGTATCATGAAAAAATAAAAACTATCTAAAAATTAAAAAGTAATAATTTAGGCGTGGACTACCCTTAACATTAAGGGGGGTGAAAAATAGATGTTTTCCGATTCTCAGACATACCCAATATGCACACAAAATTTCATGAGAATCGGTCAAGCCGTTCCGGAGAAGTTCGAACGAAGTTCGAGTGTCGAAACACCGCGACACGAGAATTTTATATATTAGAAATAGTATTTTTTCAGTAAATTGTGTTTTTTATTTGTTATTTAAAAAACATGTAATTTCACAACTAGCAATAATCATTTCGAATAACATTTTGAATTTTGAGTGGTAAGACCAAAATTATTGTAAGAATTACACGTGCTACTTTTTTTACGGGTATTAAAATTAGTAAAAAATATATCATAAAGTTTTGCCATAAGAAAAATAAAAGTAAAAAAAAAAAAACAGTTTTAATGCTTCAATGATTTTTTGCCTATTGACATGAAAAGGCCGATTACAGCTACATTTATTTTACGGGTATTAAAATTAATTAAAAAACCACATTATTAAGTTTAATTTACCATAAGAATAATAAGTCGAAAAAAAACATTTTTAATGCTTCAATGATTTTTAGCCTATCCACCAAAAAAAAATCCACCGATTACAACAAAAAAAGACCAATTAGTAGTAGTAGTAGTAACATTCTTTTTCTATGATTTTGGTAGCTTAGAACCCTGTGGAGTTTTTAAACTTAGCTAGAAGCTATGGAAACTTCTTTTTGTATTTTTAAATTGAAGTCGAATGTTTGGTCAAATCCACTTAATAAACTTCTAACTTTAAAAACTTTTTTGAGTAGCTTTAACTAATTTTAAGATGCTGGGATTTTTTTTACTTGAACATCATTTAAGGCAATCATTTAACAGAAAAAAACTGCGAAATACCTACAACAAAAAAGATATGAATTTTTGAAACCTCGCTGGCAGAAAACACAAAAAAATGTATAACTCGAAAACTACAAAAAATCGCTACATACATGGGGTATTTTAGTATACCCCCAGGTGTGAGTAATCTAAAAAAAATTATTGACGTCAATAGTTGGACCAACCTGTATACACGTACATATTACCATCTTCTCTTGAAGACATCCAGAGAAACACTATCACGTTTTTTTTTTGAAGTGGAATCTCGCTGTTGGCCTTTAGGGCCTTTACAGCTTAGCTCGGCCTGACTATCACGTACGGAATGAGGCAGCCTATTTATATTACATAACCGTGGTGAATGATTTGTCATAACAGCTAGAAGTATGTCGAGTATGCTAAACTTCGCAAAAGTGAAGAGATGGTACGACAAGGGATTCCATCAAACAAAATAGAAACAGACAAAATACATATATTTTAATAACTAAATCAATTTTTCTTTAGCCTGTTTTTCCGAAACGCGTTATTACGTCATTTACGTCAACGGGTACGTTTTCATGAACGTGGAGAAGTGCCAGTCCGGTTAGGCGATCTTCAACCATTGAAGATCTTAGATTTAATTCTGCGCAACGTAGAGAAAGACCTTTCTGCTGTCGCTTCGGTGACAGGGTAGTGTATCCAATTTTCCTATATACATATTGATGTCACAATTTAAAATAGGACTATGTTATGATATGTTGAAGTTTAGTCGTTCCGATTCCGATTGAGGTAAGGTCTAGCTAGATGTTTCAGCGACAAGCGCGCGCAAGTGTGGCGCGGAAAATTCAAATTTTCGATGCGTTCATTCCCAAACGTTTGCCATCATGTATGATGTTATTATATTATATTAAATTAATTAAATATTGAAGGTATGTAGTTACATATAATCTGTATGGTGACAAATTTATATATAAAATCATTATGTTCAATTAGTGGTCCACCTAAGTCCTGCTCAGGGGGGGGTCATGACCCCCATGACCCCCATGACCCCCCCTGGATCCGCCGTTGTACCAAGTAGAAACCTGCACTCATACGATCAAACTTTTTATGTCAGTGACAAGTAGGTACTGCGAAATACAGTTAGATAGCGCTAAAATAAATTTGCTAGTGACACTGTATTATCTGTTTTGGTAGGGTCCTCATCTTACCTCGCTACCCCGTCTTACCCCACCTTCCCCTACGATATATTTTATTTAAAGCGCCAGTTAACGCTAAATATAACTCCCGTTTTTCAAAAGTGTATTGGATCTGACATACCTACTGGAGATTTAGCGCTAAGTCTCGATGCTGAATAGAACGAGTTTTTGCTTGTAATAAATAAACGTTTGTACTGTACCTGTACATTCTCGTATGAATTGTTTTGACGCAACATTTAAAAGTCAGAAAAGGCACTTTTGAAAGTCAAAATTACTATTGCCCCTTCCAAAAGTTAGTTTCATATGGAAAATAATGAGAAAGAAACTCCATACTTTCTCTTTTAAAATAGTTTTTACAATATTTTGATTTGATAATTATATGTAAAGACCATGTATGTACCTAGAATAAAAAGAACTACTATACTTAAAGAAAATAAGCTGATGGTGTTATCAAAAACAATGCAGCAGATAAGTAAATTATTATGTAGATATACTTACCTACATGGTGCTCACATATTCAGAAATATTGTAACTAGATTTTACATTAATTATACTTTATAAAAACAATAATAATTAACAGTTCAAAAAAAGAAAAATAAAAGCAAATATGAACCTATATGTCTAGATGAGCCACCAGTTGATTTTGTCTAGTTTGATTGTAGAATGAAGCAACATGTTTCCAAGTATTTTAAATCCAATTGTAACAATATACCTGTCTATGGCTGGAGTTCTGTTACGAGTGAAAATGCATTTTTTTAATGAAGTACATAATATAGTATTATTTAAATGTATACCTACATATTTATTAAAGATTTTTATACGGCTAATCGCAAGCTTTTGAAGTGTCTGGAATATGCCGACGGCTCCATACCCACTTTGTAAGTACAAGGCGATCACCTATTTACTTTAACACCCCATTTCATATTGTAATTTGATAATTAACACGAAAAAATATGTGAAATAGTGCAAAATCGAAAGAAGATTTTAAAATTAAATACGTGTTCCAAATTCAAAATAATTAAAAAGTTGAAAAAAAGAAAAGTTTTTATGTAACAGTATTATGTTACATAAAACAGTATTTATGGCCAGACTAGTTACTTATATAAAAAAAATTAACGTCGGTTCCGTAGCTAGTTATTTGAATGCGTAATATCATAGATTTACCGATTTCTTGAAATAGTTTTTTGATTTAAATTTAATTGGTAACAAGAAAATAGGTTAGGTTAGTAGAAATTTTTAAATTATTTATCGTCTGCACATTTTACACTTTCTCAAATCGGACTTAATTGAATGCCACTATAAATAGATTGAATGTTTACCACGTGATAGATTAAAAATTGATTGATTAATAATAATAAATTTGAATAGATAAAATATTTAATGTAGCTTTTTTATACCAGACATGACTGGTAACTTTTAATGGGCCTGAATAACATGACGTATGAGCGTGATGGCAGGCGCATCCATGAGCCTTCAAACATTAATTTGGTTTCATAGATAAGCTATCATTTTCAACGATGAAGAAAAAAACTTTAAATTTAAATAAATTTTTCTGGCTAGAAATGTTTACATAATGCCATTTCATAGTATTATTGATTTGGATTAAAATTCAGGAAGCAATATCATCAATAAATTTAAACACAGCATTTAAGCGGTTTGTTGCAAATCTGTTAAAACGGTATTTTTTATACTATTTTATAAAACTTAGTATAGCCTAAAACGTTTTCAGAACTGGTAAAAAAATATACTCCAAAATTATACTTCTCTAATGATGCAGTAGTATTTTTTATATATTAATATTATCCGTATTACCTTTTGTCATCGTAAGTAAATTATTAGCTGATTTTTCTACGTTCAATTAATAATATTATATTCAATCAACTGAATATAAATAAATGTTAGCCGTGTTATCAATCATTATTCCTTAATCCATCGTTGTGTAAAGATGAAAGTGTTGTTTTGTACATTTGTTATAATAAGTGGGTGTGTTGCAACCAATTATTTATCGACAGGTAAGGATTTGTAATATTTGAAACGTAACATTAGATATTAAGTGAGTAGTAGTTGACATTTCAATGCGTATATTTGTATGGATAATTATATTTATATTTTTTAAAAATATATTTATATTTTTTTAGTTTCTTCTTAATTCAACGAAGAATTACTATTTAGGCTACCAGTTGTTACTGTTATAAGTTGTTTCTTACTTCCGTAATGCGGAATGGAATAAATTTAACAAGATTAAATCATTGTAATAAAATAGTTCTCAGTTTGCAGGTAACAGAACAATGGAAAGTATATTGTATAAAGGAATAAAATGATACCTAGTTAGATAAAAATGTTTAACCTAATTTCAAATTTAATTTCACGCATTTTATCCGTAAGACTGAAAATTATGTTTCATTCGACTTAAAATGCGATAATATAGCGCGATTTGTTCGTGATACGAAAAAGATCATATTTTTAAAATAACGTATATTTTCAGATGGTCTAACAAATTTATTTATTCGAGCGGGCAAAAATAATTTAAATCACTCAGACTGGGGCACGATACATGATTTGGCAGAAATTTTATATTTGCCGCAAGATGAATTTGTAAACGATGAAACAAGATTGGCAGGCAGATCGGTTAGTTGTTTGATTTCTGTTTCACATACTAAAGCATCAATGGGGTAAATTATTTACATCTTTTTCATTGCTGTCTGAGTGGACACGCAAATCTCCTGAGGTTCTCGTAAGCCGACTCAGCCTGGCTGGTATTAGAGCCACTTTCAGCGCCTTACACTTTCACTGTAAAGCCGAGAATTTCGATAGGTTTTGGTGCAGCCCACAAGTTGGAACCGTTGTCTATACATATTTCCCTATATTTTGCTAAATATATTAAATTAGAGCTAATTGCCAAAAGAGAATTTTCAAAATATTTTGCTTTGTTTGAATGTTATTTGTAAATATTGTTTATATGATCAAATTATACCACATTAAATGATAATATCTACGTAGTCCAGCCATAAGTTCTGTTACAAATGAAAATGCATTTAAAAAAAATGAAGTAATGTAATATTATTAAAATTTATACCTATGTACATCTATACCTATGTATATATGTACATTTATACCTATACAGGCCTTTATTTTTTCCAAGGGAAATATCGTCAATGCTTGCTCAAAAGATTATTAAGAGACTTAATATCGCCGTGTCGTTTAGAGCAGGCCTGTCCTCTAAAACTGACCATAATTTGAAGTCTAAAGGGTTGAGGTCTGGGTTAGATGGCCGGAATGTTGGTTTCTGACCAGGCTTGGGTAGTTCTTGCCTTGTGACCAAGTAACAAGTTTCCGATAACTTGAGTAGTTTCTTTAGAACTGTGACCGTACACTTTATCATTTTGCTTATTGTAGTGTTCTTCAATCGTAAAAAAAATTTCATCGGTAGAGGATATTTCTGTACTTTTCACCTGCGTATCGCGACAGAAGGCGTTTCGATCGATCCACTCTCTTTAATTTTAAAGATTGATTTAGGGTATGTTCTTTAGGTTCTTTATATTGATAAGCACCAAGCTTCAGGTCCTATTTTATAATACGCGACAGAGTCCTAGCGGGAATCTTCATTTCTCGCGATAAGATTTAAAGCTTCCTAATGGGGTATCAACGAATTCTGGCTTTAACAGTATTAACAGCACGCGGCCGCCCCGATCTTTTCTGGTCTTCGACAGACGAAGTGTAGTATCTGTTGATACTACGATATACGAACATATGGCTGAAGTGTCTGGAATATGACCGACGGCTCCATACCCACTTTATGCAAGGCAATCCTATTTTCTTTAACACCCAATTCCGAACACGAAATAATTGTGAAATGGTGCAAAATCGAAAGAAGTTTTTAAAATAATAAACGTGTTCCAAATTCAAAATAATTAAAAAGTTGGGAAAAAGAAAACTTTTTGTGTAACAGTATTTATGGCCAGATTCGTTACATTATTTATTACCTTAGTTAAAGTGACATTTATGTCCGACTATTAATCACAAATATTTTGATTTATAGTCTTTATTTAGAATAAGTATTGTAGTCATTACTGTAATGAATATAGAGTAGTAATAATAATAGTCTTTATTGCACAGAAACATACATAAAAATGTGAAACACTAATAATTAATCGACAAGCCGGTTAATTTATATTTTATAGCTTGACCTTGGACATAGGCCTCCTCTAAGAGCTTCCACGTTTCTCGGTGGCTTTCGTAGGGCCAGCTGCTCTACTTATACCATCTTCCCATCTTTTTAAATGTCTTCCTCGTTTTCTTTTTTTATAGACGAGGAGGCCATGTTGTGGCTTATTTCGTCATTTTTCTTTGTCTTCTCTCATAATGTGTCCGGTCCATTTCCATCTTTTACTAGAAGTAACAGCATTACTAAACTTTGTCAATGTATATTGAATGGTCCTTAGTGTGAAAATATTTTTATTAAATAATCTTGTGTAGTTTAATTAATTAATCTTCTATGTTTTTTCAGAATCTCTTTTGCGTTTTATGTCGGTCGGTATTCTCAGCATTCATCGATTTAGTAAATGCGGGTGTAAATGACGAAGATTTAGTCGATTCAATAGTTCTCATTTGTAATACTTTATCCATTGTCAGTCCGAAAGTGTGCCATGGAGCTGTTTTATTAAATGTGGTAAGTACATCTCTCAATGAAAGGTAATTTGAGTGTGCCGCTATATGCGTAGAATTACATTATCTTCTCTAAATTACCATTGTCATTCAATATATTAATTAATTAATTTATACTAATTCCATATAAAATATAATTCTCATTGTTGAAGTCACAAAAATCACAGTTCGCGTTATAATTGTGAAAATTAATGTAAACAAAAGTTGAAAAATGTAAGTCAAATGTACCTAGTTTAAAAAATATAATATTGGTTTAAAATTTAGAACGTGTATTTAAATAAATAGCTTATTTTAAGAAACAGTAGATAAAATAATTCATAATATTAAAATAAAACACGAAATCTTCTTATTTTTAACAATATTAGGTATATTGTTAAGAGCCTGACAACTGGTTCGTTGTTATTAAATTATTAATTTTGAAACAATAAAATCTTTCTCTATACAAAAAAAAAATTGCCTTTGCCATTTGTCTATGTTTTTTGGCAAAGCACTTGTTTTCATATTCCACGAGTCCGACTTAAAATATATCGAACAATTTTTTTTTAAATTTTTTGATCAAACGCGGCCGCTTCCTTTTTTACGCGAGGAAATGCATTACGTATACTCCCGCGGTGTGATTACTTGAAGCGGAGGGTTATGTGGGACTCGCTATCTGTGCAAACCCACTAAAATCCCACTGCACCACCAACACTCGCCCTATACAGGACACGGTAGCAGCCTTGTCGGCGCTCCGCGACGCGAGCTCTACCAAGTTTTTGCCCAAGGTTAACAGCCTTTAACAAGCTCGTAATTATTTCAGCCAATTTTGTCATACATAGTAAGGAATACGCCAGAAGCCGAAGCGAGCACGTTTTGTGGGGTTTTCTTCCAAACCGCAATAGAAACTGAAAACTGTAGGTATAATGATGAAAGATTTAATTGGAAAGTCGAATTGCCCCCTAGTGGAGAAATTTCTAAGGTCAGTTTTTATAGTGTACACATTCAATAACGGTACTTTAAACACCGCTACCTACATTACTAATATTTTAATAATAAGTTACTAACCATACCGCTGTAATCTAAACTGTTATTAATAAAAAGTTTATACCTACATAAAAATCATTGAAAGTTTCAATGAATGAATTACCCCATATCCAGTTATGACTTATGACGCCTTCATAAATAGTTCAGCTATCACAGATAATCGAATGTTTTACAAGCCAGACGCGCGTTCAAACCTTGGCTATGGTACATTTGATTTTTCTATCCGCATAACATTTGTTCACACGGTAAAGGTTAACATTGTAAGGAATGTCCTAAGTCCAAAAATCAATGACAAGCGTCAGGTACAGAATGAAGTCTTACGTATAAGAGAAAAATGATCAAAGAAACAAAAGACATAAAGGGTTGCAGCTGCATTATTATTATTACGGACAATTCAAGGTTAATTCAATAAACTACACTGACATTATCACTTAATAAATAGATAATCCAAAAAGTTGATCAACAATTATAAGATTACACGAATAAATAACTTTATCAACTGTATTTCAAATAAACAATTTTTTGAAATCGATCTACTTCATTGACAACATAATAGAGTAATCGTAATCCTTGTGGTTTTATCCATATCAAATATTATTAAAACACCAGCGACCTGATGAAAAGCGACGCGTGTTGTGTCGAATCAAATTGTGGCGCTATCGAATACCCGAAAATACCAGCGCTACAGCGTATGATTTATGGTGATATTCATTAACGAGACGTATCGCGAATTAGGATCCCGTATCTGGAAATCCAATACATTGTTGATTTAAGTCTAATTAGTCTAATTAGCCTTCTTTTTAAGTCTAATTAGTCTCGACTCTGAATCTTATCAACAGTTCTGACATTTTACACGCTATATAGCTGGTGTTTATTGAACGTAGTTTATTTTATTTTGAATAAGAAACTAATACTTGTAGTATTACTTTCTTATTATTACGTAATATTAACAAACGTGTTTTGCATAAGAATAAAAAAATTGCGATTTGATTGCTAGAATTCACTACAGACACAAGTCTATTACCAAAGATAGATAGACTATGAAGATGACATTAGTAGATCTTTTTAGCTTAATTTACGTACTTTACATTAGTAAAATGATTATGTATGATTATGATTTTTGCAGATTTCTTACGACAATAGAAAACCTCTTACTGTGGCGATAATCACAGATGCCCACATCGATCCTCTATACGAGGAAAACGGCGTAGCTGATTGTTCAGAACCAACATGTTGTAGAAAGGGACAGACACCGAGAAATCATAAATACACGTATAATCCAGACAGAGACGAGTCTATTATATTAAAAAGTTTAAATATCGTTAATGGTGAACCTATTATAGATATTGGTGTAGCTAAAACGTTACGGGAGGTTAGAAATGTTACAAGAAAGAGTGAGAGGTTTGAGCCTCCAGCAGGATACTGGGGCGATTACAGGAATTGCGATTCACCGATTCGGGCGTACGATGACGTTGTGGATAGAATACATTCATCACATAAGGTAATTCTGACAGAGATTGCTTGATGTGACAAGACATGGCGCTTTTACTGTCGTAAAATTGCTTTCCGTCCCGTAAAACTTGAGATAGTGCAAAACTTTTTCTCTGCAACGCTCAATAGCTATAGCGATTGCAATCTCAACTATTATCATGTTGAGTTTTTACTTTTTATGGGGCATCCACACGCTGGCTGTTTGTCACAAACACCGCAAAAAGCAAACGAAGTCCCAAACACCAACCACAATCACCCAACACAAACAGCCATCCACATGCTTGGCGAACGTTCATAACATTCCGAATCGGCAAACATGGCGGACGACGAGCTTGTTGCAGCTATTACTTTCGGGTTGACATATTTTTATTATAAATTAAAGCAAGAGAAAGAAAAAAGGAAAAAAAAGAAGAAAGCAAAGACGATGGTGGATGATTAAAATACATAGAAAGCGTACAAGGCTTTAGACCTATTATTTGAGCTTTACTTTGCCGTGTTTTTTTTTAATTTTACTTAAAAGTTACTTAAAAATGTCAGAATCGTAGGTGCTCCAATCAGACATTTTTTACGCTTTGCGCGCCAACGAAAGTGTAGCAAGTAAATACGTCCGCCTCCCGCAAGCTCGCGCGCATACTGATCGCTGCCAAACGTGTGGATACGTAGCAAACTGTTTGCCAAACATCCTTTGATCTGGCAAGATAAACCGACACCGATGCCGAACACTGCCCAACACGAACACAAACAGGCAAACAACGACAAACACCCATCCACACGTCCGTGTTTGCTGTTTGCTGTTAGCTGTTTGCCATTGTTTGTCAAGCGTGTGGATGGGCTTTTATACCGCGCAATCCGATGGTTTCATATCAGCGCTACGAATATTATAAGAAATATCGAAATTGCATAATATAGGTACAGAAGTAAAGTACTGGCACCGAATCTATTTTGTTACTTAGGGCTGTTTTAATTTTTACCATAAAGAAAGTCTTACGTTTACTTACTTTTTTACCTACTTTTGTCTTTTTAGGATGTAGACCTTATTTATTACATGGGAGATACGATTGATCATCACGTATGGGAAACCACCTACGAGTTGATTGACGATGTTAATCAATACCTTGTAAATAAACTGCGTAAAACTTTTGGTGACGTTCCCGTCATAGCTACTATTGGAAACCACGAATCTCAGCCGACTAATCAGTAAGTATAAATTATTTTAGACACAATGAGTCGATTTCTCTCTTAAGGTCAGTAAACTGGTAGTAATATCGGAAGGGTTAAAAGGCCGTCAACGGACTCGCGAGTCCTCTGGCATTGAGTCTGCTGAGCCTCTGTCCATGGGCGGCGGTATCACTTAACATCATGTGAGCCTGCCGTTTTCCTCCTGTTGTATATAAAAAAAAGCTTTATTCTCTTTTATAATTCGTTAACATTCATTTTCGCTGCAGTTTGATGGACTGAGACACGTAGGTAATCGACGAGTGCAATTCTGATATAAATTTGCAAGTCATTTAAAAGAATACAACAGACAATCTAATAGTAGACGTAAAAAAAATATTTTTATGCAAAACATATGCAGATTTTTCTACAATATGTGACGATAAAAACTAGGGCTTTAGTTTGAAGCTTTTTTCTTGAAAGCTAGGCTAGTATGTCTATGTAACCGAAAAGCACGCAGTAAAAGCTTAAATTCATATATTACTAATGTGTTGTAATAATTAAAAAGTTATATTTAATCAGATTTGCCCCTGAAAGAATATCACAAGAGAAGTTAAACACAACCTGGCTGTACGAGAGCTTAGCCCGGAAATGGGGAATATATTTAACAGAGGAAGCGAAGACAACGCTGCGTAGACGGGGCGATTTTTCTATGGTTGTACGACCGGGCCTGAGAGTAATATCACTTAACACTAATATCGCTTATAAGAACAATTGGTAAGTTGTTGTATGGAGTTTCATAACTTCTTAATAGAACAAATTTCAAAAGTTTAGTTAGACTAAAACGTGACAAAATTTGGTTACGAAATAATTATGGTTTATTTGGAAATCAAACCCGATCTACTGGTTTACGAAAGCATACAAATCCGGTTGAGTATTTTATATTTTTACTGGAGGCTTTAACATCGTTTTTATCATTACTTATTAAAATGAAAAAATGTTTTGTTAAGTCAAGTCAAGTCAAAAAATAAATATAAATATAAAGCTTTAAATTACATTACATTTACTGCCAGTTCTCAAATCAAGGGCGCAGAACGGAAGACCTTCTCTTCCGTTCTGCGCAATAAACTATAACTATATATAAACTCTCCGCCACTCTTTTTTTTGTTCAATTGAATTCTTGTTTACCATCTATTTAAGACAATACAATTACCTACATTTGATATGTAAATTTGCAGGTGGCTAGTCTTCGATCCACTGGATGCTAAAACCCATCTAGATTGGCTAGTATGTGAACTATACAACGCAGAAAAAGCCGGTGAAAAAGTTCATATCCTGACACACATTCCTCCTGGAGTTCATGACTTAGTAAATCCATGGACACGGGAATACAATAGAATTGTGAATAGGTAAACCCTCTTTATTTAAACTCTGTATTTGCCGACATACATTTTCTAAGAGTTTCATAATAATTAACTATGAACATTAAACATTTTTAGAAAAAAAACGACGGGTTGCAGTCCGGGAGTGCCGGCAGAAGTGAAAACTTGAATATTAACGTTGCGCATTTTTGATATTTTGGAATGGTTAGGGAAATTATCAGTATAAAAGTACTATCATTTATGTGGTAGAATACAATATTTATTTATTGCGCTATCGTACACAAACATGACAAATTATATTACATTAAATACGCCGCGCCAGCTGTCTAATCTACATCCGTCTTACGAAACATACACAAAATAATTAAAATTAGTATTAAATAATTCGCAATTTTTTAAGTTGCTATTTTTTATTCGCGTCAGTCTGACCAAATCGTTAATAATAAAGCTTTAGACGTTCCGCAAAATTAAACCTTGATGTATTGACTTAAGGTCCAATTCCACATGCATCAATGTATTTCAGGAAAGAGACAAATGAATTAAAACCGTAACTATGTAGCACGAAGGTTCATAATCCTTTAATAAAACATCCGTCTTACGAATTTGTTCTGACGCGAGTTTGACATTATTTACCCATTCCAAAAAAAGTGTACAACGCCGCTAAAGAAGTTTTCACTTCGAAAAAGTATAAACAAAGTCTTAATTATAGTATTTAAAGTAAAATCTCTGGTCTTTCGCCATTTTTTAAATTATTATATACAATATATTTTTTTATATTTATATCTTAATATATATATTTCTTCTGTGCGTGTGTATGTGACTGAACTCCTCTCAAACCACTGGACCGATTTTGATGAAATTTTTTGTGTGTGTTCAAGGGGATCTGGGAATGGTTTAGATTCACAAAAATCAGCCCGGCAGATGGCACTGCAGTCGGTACTTTCATACTTTGCTTAATATCCTAATCGCTTTAAATATCATGCAGGACAACGTCTGTGGGGTCCACTAGTATATTTATAAAACAGCATGCTTAAAATTACAAATGTAGTTATTCTTATTAAACATTTAGATGGATAAAGCTTAGGTGTCTGACCGGTGAGTTTATATTCTGGAATAACTGATTTCGTATCTATTGTTTTGTTACTAATGGTAATGCTAGCTATTTTTAATTTGTATGTATTTTATATATATTTTCTAATAATTAATAAAAATAATATTTCCCAATGTTGTGGATCACAGACTGTATTTTTTTCAGTACTCTTCTTGATTGAGGTATTTGATTTGCAAGCGATAGGATAAGATGATAAGAGTAATTAGAAAGGGCCATGATAATATAAAAGTAAAAAACATTTTTTTTATCATAATATTAAAGTAAATCAAATTTGACGAGGAGCCGGGCCTACCCCACTACCCCAGTGCGGTCTAGTGCGCACCCTAAGATTAAGAAATTCTGGGTTAGACACCTAAGAAAATTTTGATTTCAGAGCCTATTCTCTAAAATGACCCACACCATAGTTTAAAAACAATGTACTTATATTTCAGATTTCAACAAACAATAGCAGCGGAATTCAATGGTCACACTCACACAGATGAGTTTAAGGTATTTTATAGTATTGAAGATAAGGATATTCCTATTGCTGTATCATGGGGGGGCGGAAGTGCCAGCGCATACTCGAATAATAACGTGAATTATAAAATAGCTGTGCTTGATCCTAATAACTACGTAAGTATAGTAAATTATGTAGCATCTATTTTTATTATTTAACAGTATATAATGAAATATGAATGTTGATTCAAAGATTTAAGTATTACATATTATATTAGCGCTTCTCCACGCATCAAGTAGTAAGACTTACCAAGTTTGTTGTGTGACAAGAGATGGCGCTATATTACATTTAGTTTAGCCTGTATTGATAACTGACTTCAAAGGGGCCTCATAGCCTAGCGGTCTTATTAAGTGGCAGCTAGGTGAGTGGTACCGGGTTCGAGGGCAAGTTTTAATTTATTTTTAAATTTGTTCTCGGCCTTTGGGAGGGTTGTGCGGTACCGGGCGAGTGCTTAAACCGTACATGGAGGACACGGTCGAATTTCTAAAGACAAGCACGAATTATAAAAAATCCTATACTTGACGCTAGCTAATGCACAAATCGTGCCAGAGCCATTAAAAAAAAAAGTGACTTCAAAAATACAGAAGAGGATTTAAAATATGACGTGTATATCTTTGTTTTTAATTTAAGACTTAACTTCAACACTAGGATTTAAAAGAGTAATAAAAAACAGTGGCGCTACACCTTCAGGGCCTTAGATTTTTGTACTTGTGGCAATCTGCGTTCATGATATTTTTTCTTGATAGGCAAGCTGATGTGTGATCAGACTTCTGTGCGTCAGGCACACCGTCGATTTTTAGGTGTAAAAAATGTTATTTTCTCACAGTTTAGGCTAACTCACTGCCTATCGTAAAACTCCTATTTTAAATTTAAAAATTACGTAATTTATTGTTTTCAGAACCCTATAAGCATCAGCAACTATGTGTATAACTTAACAGAAGCAAACTTAACGCCAAATAGACGACCGCATTGGTTCAAACTCTACGATTTTAAAAACACATATGGTGTCAAAGACCTCTCCCCAAATTCATTGAATGAGCTAGTTTACTCAATGGTGACAGACAAAAAATATTTATTAGACATTTATAGCGCATTTTACACAAAACTAAGCGACAGAAGGTGGCCATATTGCTCTAACGATTGCAAAATAGCCAATTTATGTAGGATTGTTGTCACTGTACTTTTTGACCGCAAAAAGTGTGAGGAATTAACAAAGTTGTATTATTCGAGAAAATAAAACATTATTATAATTTACTGTTTTATTCTATAAATCTTAACAATACCTATTTACTATTAACTAATGATCATGTATACTTAACCAAGTAATTTGGGGTTGCCATTTCAGGTCTTTGCTTGGAATTTGATCAAGGGCTGACATCTGAAAATAAAAACCATTTAAAGATTATGAATTAAAATCACCTTTAATACAAATTAAACATATTTTTAATGAAATAATTCCTTGAGTACTAGCAAATTAAAATAAGTCTATTAGTAGAAATATATTCTAAAAGAGAATAATACTTTGAGAGAGAACTTTACTTCTCAGTGTGAAGCTTCCTGTACCTGATGCCTAATAAAGTGAACTATTTTCTCAACATGTTCTGCCTTAGTATCCACAGATAATGAATAAAATCTTCTCCACACAGCTGATGCCAACACCTTATCATCTTCTAGACCTTCATCATAGCCCACAAGGGCTGCTTGAAATTGTTCCGAGAGTTCAGTCACTTGTTTTCTAGCTACTACTATATTTGCACCCTGAAATGGTGAAAATTTGAAATTATAGCAACAATTTTATAAACATTACCGAATAGAAACAAAAAGGTTACATGGAGCCTATTCTTTCAAATAAAGCAAAATCTTCTTTGCTGAATAATTTAATTATCACTGTATTCTCTAATCTAATGTTTTTTTTTATATTTCTGTATATTTAGGAATATACCACAGGACCACTTAACCCAAAAGTGTGTTAGTTTCTAATATATCAGCCTTGTAGGAATAATCTGATATTTCTGTAGGAAATTAAAAGTTAATTTCATTTAAATTACTGCAATGAGAATGAGTAGGGGATTCTTAGACTTACTATGACTAATATATAACTTTGAAAACTTCTTTACAGAAATCTTCTTCAATAATACATTTATATAAATAATCCATTAAGTTCATCCATTAATTATACCAAGAGCTTAAACAACTAAGTCACGAAGGCAGTTCAGTATAAAATTATAGAAACAGGAAATCAAGCTACTTTAAACAGAAATTATAATGAGTTAAACTATAATATATTCCTATGTTTTATTAGTAAGTTGAATAATGATATATAAGAACTAAGCAATTATACCTCAAGTAATTTTATCCTATTAGCCACATCTGCCCACAAAGCTTCAATAACACAATTTCTAACAAAATGGCCATCTCCTTTAACCATCTTCTTTTTCTCTCCAGCCACTGTTACATCTTCTGCCATATATCTTACCAATATCAGCCAAACATGAAGCTCAGTAATAATAAACCACGAAGCAAATGTATCAGGAAGTTCAAGGATATCAAACCATTCTTGGTAGCATACTCTTTCAGGGACACACTCATACAGAAAGTAGCCTGTCAGTTTTAGCCGCTGAAAAGTTACATTTTAAATTAAATCTTTAGTGAAATACACAGATGGGCCCTTGTGAAAAACTTTCTTTGTGTTGTGATTGCAGGAACCTGTTAGTTTTAATCAAATTTATTTTGTTTATATAAAAAATTTAATTCTCACAAACAAAGCAATTATTAAAAATCTAATATTTTAAGACTAAATTCATAGATGACAGAAATGCGAAGTGTTTTGTTATGTTCTTATAAAACTAGAAACTTGTGAAGTGAGTTGAGTTGAAAATTGTATGGCGATCTGTTGCTTTTAATTCTTTGAAACATTACCGTTCTCTCTTTATCCATCCATCCGACAGCTTTCATAAATTTTTTTACATAACTTTCCTCGGCGGCTATCGTACTTTGTGGTTTTTTGATAATTTTGGCATAGTAGGGACTAAGGATAGTAACTCTTGCATAATCAACATATTTTTGTCCTCTGTATTGGCGAATAACCTATATAAGCAGGGAATACACTCAATTTTTTTTACTTGGTATCAAAATTATATATTTAAGAAAATAACTTACTTGGTTTACAATTCTATTTCTGAACATGTTTTACAATATTGCGAAATGTTTTAAATAACTTTCTTTAAATATAATGTATTTTTTTAAACATTTTTACTACAAACCTAATAATTCATTATCAATTTTTAAATAGGGTATTGTGAACATTAATGTTAAACTATTTGAGAAATCAAAAAATAGAATTAATATATTTTGTGATACATAGTAATTAGTATCACCATAAGTATGAAGTATGAACTATGAAGTAAGCACAGATCAAGTAGAGGTAAATAGCATATCCTATATATAATGTACTCTATGCTTTATACATTCAGACTCATGCCTTTTGGGCCTAGGCTACCGACTGTCGACACGGGCTGTCATTTTCAAACAAATTTAGTTTTTGACTTTCTACATATTATACTAAATACTTCTGTTAAGTCATCTTGTCTAAGCCCCCTTAGTACTTCCGATATACAAGTATGTGATATACAATCAAAAGCTTGTTTATAGTCTATAAAGGCTCTGCTACCTATTATCTCAACGACTAGGGCCTCAACTTATTTATATTTGTACAGATACACTTTGGATACTGTAAAGGACACATAATTATTTAATTTAATATTACATTAATATTTAATACTCGTAATAATTAGTCGTAATTTGATAAAATTTAAGGTTATAATAATATGCTGATGATATTAATTTATCCCTAATGGGAAAGGCCTTTATACTATGGTGAGTATGGTCTATGATATTAGCACGGATTCGATCACTGACAAAACAACTGATACTACATTTACCACTTGATAACGATTTGACATAACTTAAAAGTTAAAACATGGATTTGAAAAGAAATTGAAATTTACGAAAGACAAATAAATCTAATATATAAATAAAGGAAAAATTCTACGAAAGACAAATGAATCTAATATATAAATAAAGGAAAAAAATCTTTGAAAGACTAGGCGGTATGGTCGAAAGACTATAGCCTGCTCCATGGGAGAAAAAAAATCAACGACTAGGTCCACTACCTACCTAATTATGATCAAAATTTCTAATGTGTTGTAGCTGCTTGTTCGATTCATTTATGTCGTGAAACAACATGTATGCTTAAAATATACAAGATGACTTACACAAAAAGTAGTTGCGTTTATACATAAATTGCAAAGTACTTATCGATGCGCGTCGCGCGACAAGCTTTAGACTAGATCTGTCGTCGACGTCAAAGGATTTTGTGCATTGTTCAAAGTACAACAACAATTTGTTACAATAGGATAACTTATCATAACAAATGAGTAGACTTACTTTGTATGTATGTATGACGATTTATGTATGGAAATCATGATTTTATATAAGTTTTTATTTTCTTTAAAATAAAATGTTCTTTTGAATCAAATAATATTATTAAGGTATTAGTTCAAATACTTACTGCTGTTTCCGAGAAGTTTTTCACTTTCACATGCGCAAAACTGATAGTGATATATAAATACGAAGCTACAGCGAGGCAAGGCGAGCAACCAGGGGATAAAAGTGCACCGTATTTACTCTCGCACTGTAGCCTCGTGTATAGTGTATATGTCACCGTAAAATTGTAAACAACGTTAGATTGTAATCTATCTCGCGAGATTGTAAACTGTCGAAAGATTGTGAACCTCAACGAACTGCTTACAATTTAACGTATTATTATTCGGTAGATTGTAATCTATCGAAGTGAAACCGTCAAATTGTGAAACGGATCGCACCTCGCGCGCTGATTGGTTGGACGGAATATGCCCCGCGCCACCATATTTGTTTGTTAATTCGTTTGTTGTCGAATGTAAATTGATTGTTTTGATAAAATAAAATAAAATATGTTTATTAAGGAACATAAAATACATGTATCACTTATTCCACGTCATTAAATTTGAATTTGTAGGCATCCCTACTCATCGGCAGCCTGTCTAGCACTAGTCCCAGGCCCTTTTATCAACTAGATAATTTTTTAAAAATTACTAACTTTAGATAGTCTAGTACGGGGAAATTGCAGCCTGCGTTTGTTCCGTGTATTAACATTGTGAGTATGTTCTATTCTAGTAAACTTATCACTATTTTTGTATACATACATAATATTTTCATAAATATATTGCGAGGGGAAAGGTAAGTATATTAATTTCCTTAAATTTATCTCTAAGAGATTCCCTACATTTTAAATTATAGATTGCACGATTGCCCTCTTCTGCAGGATGAAAATAGTTTCGACGAATGTAAATTGATGTCGTTTTGAAAGTAACTCACAGCTTTTGAATTAGTTATATGAAATTATTGGGAAGGAAAATTAATCTGTGATTGACCACAGAAGTTTGAATGATAACTAAGTTAGGGAGTGTTCAAGTATTACGTAACGATTTTTTTTGTCCTTTTGTAAAACGTTACGATGCGGGGCGGGGATTGAATTACGCGTTATTGTTAATATTATTTTCTACTTACACCACATAATAGTAACTAAAGAGTCACTAGGTGGTCACGAAACGTTTTACTAGACTTCGATACAGTACTGTACTTGGGTACTGAAAAACGTTAAGGCGAGTTCATGGGGGGGGTCAATAATCTCCAAAAAGTGCGTTACGTAATACTTGAACGCTCCCTTAGTGTTGGGAATGAAATGAAAGAAAATTTCGCCGGAGCTGTCCAAAAAATGTATTATTATTCGGTTAGGTTAGGTTAGTATATTAATATATTTTTTTAAATAACTGTTCAACTGAAACTCGAAATCGAATACAAAAATCGATTTTCACTTTAAAAAAAATAGATTATTTTTCACTCCTTCACCCCCTCCACCCCCCGCAACCCCCAATTCGGGTTACCGATTTCTAAGTAGAACCTCGTTAAGTCGAACCTCGATAAGTCAAAAACCTCCAAATCTCGAAAAACATTTTTGTTCCCTTCCCTTAAAACACCAAAACCTCCATTACTTGAAATCTTGACCCTCTGTTAATCGAAATAATCACCGAGTCCCTCCAAGCCATTTTGGTACATATTTTCACTCTATAACTCGAAAAGTTAAATTTGACCTCTGTATCTCGAACATAGGAACGTTTTATTTTACAACCTTTACAACTTGATCATTTGGAATTTATTATCTCTATTGTTCGAACAAAAATAAGTTACCGACTTTAAGAACTTGCCGCCAATGTGAGTACACTATTGTTTCTTAGAAAACATTTTAGGAGTATACAATAATAAATTTATGACTCATGGAAACACGTGTTTGCTTGCTTTGTGTCAGGTGTTCAATTTATAAGAATAAAGTTGAATAAACCTCAAACTCTTTATGTCGAATCAAAATCCGCCTAAGTCGAAATCCTCCATAAGTTGAAAACTCTATAACTCGAATTTTTTGGCGTCTCCCTTGATTTTCGACTTATAGAGGTTCTACTGAGTTACCGAGAAAATATTGTTACGTTTCTGATTTTTTTATTTTGATATACGTTTTTTATCATGTGATGTCAGAATTATTGATTACCTACTAAGTAATAAATACTAATTTGCAATTTAAAGTGCATTCATTTTATTTGACCGATACCCTTGTTTCATTCCTAACTCTATGGACATATAACGGTCTACTATAAAGCCGACCAATCAGGGACAACCTCCGGACAGTTGACAATTTTAAGATTGTAATTTGACGGTTTCACGTCGATAGATTACAATCTACCGAATAATAATACGTTAAATTGTAAGCAGTACGCTGAGGTTCACAATCTTTCGACAGTTTATAATCTCGCGAGATAGATTACAATCTAACGGTATTTACAATTTTACGTTAACATATATACTCTCAATGTATTGAATGACGCTTGAATTTCTATTAAATTCGATCGAAATTCTATGAATATTGGTTTCATTAAGCAAGTGCAATTTTTGTGTGGTTAAACGTTATCATATCGTAAATAAACAACTATTTTTTACATTTAAAAAATTAGTTATGATAAAAATAGCACGTCGCCAACGTTTTATTTTCACTTAGGCTATGTTCAGATGGCAAAAACTTGACGCGCAGCGTTTTCAAATCGCGCGACTAGACATTGTGGTATTTTCATACAACTGTTCAAAGTTCGCGGCGCTCAGAGAAAAAGTCTCTAGACGCAGGTGATCGCGCGTTGACGCGCGCTTTGATATTAATGTAATGTCCGTATGCTGAACAGCATAGCGCGCGCTTTCATCGCGATCGCATGTAATTTTGTTAATTTTCGTAATTATATTTATAACAAGCTGGGTCTATTTTTTTAAAATTGGATGAACCCAATGTGTACGTTTTCTTTTTCTATATTTTTCTTTATAAAATAACCACAAAATAATAGCCTCTTCCACGTCCATTTTTTACGTTCTACCGAACTAGACTGACGAGTACTCTCGCAACGCGCATTAGCGCTCATCATCTGAACTCTCATCAAATTTGATCGCGCGTTTCATGTGAACATAGCCATAAGCTGGCCATAGACGGACCGCATGTTGCCGACTGCTGTAGAGCGGTCACGACTTCAACACGACCGCATAATGCAGTCGACTACGACTGCTTGGAGCAGTTGTGTTCGACCGCAAAATAATACTGATGCAAGTTCATTTACAAGATGGATTTCGATGAAGAAACACTGCTACTTGTACTACTATTACGCAAGCGTAGGCGTAGAAGACACCGTAGTATGTGGGTGCGTCTTAAATACTACAATCAAGAGAACAGCATGGAATATTTCATACTTTGTATCCCCAGCTGAGAGAAGACACTAAAAAGTTTTTCACCAAACATCCTTCCTCCCTCCTCTACTCACAACATTATTATTTTGTTTCGTAATCGCATTTTAGTGTTTATTGTTTTTGTTTGGTGAAATATTACATAAACTACCTATTTAGTGTATGTAAGAGGGTAGGTACAGTATCAATAAAAATAAGTACACAAATAAAATATTTTTATTTTTAATCTTCAATTTTTTGCTATCTCTCAGTTTGTATGACGTCATTAAGCCAGGTTCGCAGATATTTCCGACGACTTGTACTTTAGAATGTCC